GAAAACGCAATGGGATTGGTAGCAGGGCAAGACACTGTCATTTCCAGCCTCGACCAACGACGTCTCGAGAACTGGGGGTGGTGGCTAGAGTGGTTGCGTTGAAAACGGCACTTGGGTTGCGTTGGGTCTTGCGTCTCCCTCTCCAACAGGCAATGATTCGCTCACAGTCGGCCAAGACATCAATTGATCAGATTCCCCAAGGATCCTGATGGATGTGTGCCAACGTGGGAACTGGGCACCAAGGTGCGCTTTTACCAAAGTGATTCCAAAAAAAAAAAGAGAAAAGGAGAAAAAAAAAAAAACAATTTCCAAACTCATACCTGGTTTGTGATGGGGGTTAGGGGTGACACCGAGGCTCTTGGGGAACATAGAGTGAATGCGAAGGAAACGAAACGTTTAGTCTCACCTCACCTCACCTTGCCAACGATAAGTGAGCGATCAAGTGAGAGTTGACGGGTCAAATCTCCCCCTCCTTTGGCTGCGAACCTGCAATCTTAGTGTAGTTTGACGTGCCGTGCGCTGGCCGCCTGCAGTCCGTGATGTAGGCGTGCATTGCATCGCCGTCCATGTCCATGTTGATGGCAGCTATAACACGCTCTTCTAAGGCTCCCAGGTCGCCCAGGTCGCCCAACTACTGCACCGTCCCTTGCAGAAGGGGCATCGGCGGAGATGACATCCCATAGCCAACGCAACATCACGAATCATCCAGAGAAAGGGGTGCCCCTCCATTCTAATGTTATTCCTCCACGAGGTTTGTACCCCCACCCAAGGCACGGAATGGCTAGATTTCTCTCTTTTTCTTCCTTTTTTTTTCCTCTTTTTTTCTTTTTCTTTTGGAAGTCGGAAAATCCTTGTGACGCCGAAGCACCACCAGCTTCATTTCGCACGATGTAGTCCCGAAAGGCTAGAACCGAGATTCGAGATTCGGAACTCTGTTATCTTCAATGTTGTCTTGTCCCCCTTCCGAGCCAGTCTGCCCCGTGTAAGATATCAGTGGACCTTGCAATGTGACCCGCCCTCCTCCGTCAGCCTGCGTCCCCCTCACCACCTCATTCTACAAGATCTACATGTACAAGATAGAGGAAGAGAAATCCAGAAGAGCCCACATTCACCACCCCAAGATCCACCAGAGGCTCAAACAACATTGCACATTGAACACTCAAGGGCGGCAACAGCGGTTGAGAGAGGGGCTAAGCAGCCTCAGGAGCCCCTCTCTGCCTGGATCAAGGATCTACTTTTGTGCGTGTAGTGTAGATCCCAGCCCAGCTCCCTTTGCTCGTCGTTGGCCGTGATAAAGCCGAACAAGCCACTCGTCCTGAGACTCGCAGGATCCAAACACATCGTGGGACCACAGAGCCGTCTTCTACCAGATAACCCAAAATCAGGGCCCTTGAGTTGACGGGATTCCCCTGGTTCACTTGACCATAACAGACAGGAGGAGACGGGCTGGGCGGGATGGGAAAAGAAAAAAAAAAGCAGAACTCCAGCCCCGGCCCTTGCCACGCACAGCACTCCGGAAGTGGAATTCGCTCTCGGAGGGGAAAAGGGCGGATAGAATCCACCGACCATGGATCAGATCGTTCGTCCGTTGTTTTACCGCCTTCTAATACTTGAATACTTCCATGAATTTGAACTAGGCCGCCCGCTCCTGAAGCAGCGCCTTCCTGTCGAAAGCGTGGTATATCGCTCACCTCTCGCCCCAAGGGATTTCCGCGTGCAGAGATATGAAGCACTAGCGTCTTCCTGGAGTTCCCCAATCACTTAATACGAATCGGGGTAGAACAGCTATTGTTTTCGGTTCTACGTCTATCACTCTTCCCCCAAAATCGGCATACTAATTGTCTTCAACATGAAGCGCAGCGTCGGGTCTAGAAATGCCGTGCTAATCATGTTGAAAGCTACAGAGACGCAACGGATAATACAATTTCACTATGCCTACATGTAGCTTTCTTTCCCCCTTGGTCGTGAGGGCTCTCGTGCCCTTCTTGACATCATCGTGATCTCGCATCTAATTTGGGAATGGGAAGCCGGCGTCCGAGCGCTGCAGTAGGTCGAGCATGGCGTCGTATCGGTATCAATCCAGAAGCGCTCGCTTTTGAGATGATTGCGCATCCCGCCCACAGCATCGCATTGCACCGTTGAGAGCGGAGGGGAGCAGGGAAGAGAAGTGTGCTCAAAACTACAAGTACGACCCCCGTTCAACAAGCCAAGCGCATTGTCACCTCCGCGAGAGGTTGCGTTTGACCTCGTTTCCTCTGCCCTTCTCATTTCTCCTCCCATGCTGTGTCGCAACCCGGGCCCGGCGCAAGTTTCAAGCGCGGAGTTCTCGGTGGGCAACGCAATCAGCGAAAGGCGCGGGAGGGGAAGAGAAACGGTGAAGGGCATCATTTGATGAATGGTCAACTCATAGAGGAAGGACAACGGCCCTCGAATACGACTGTACCCTCCCCACCCATGTGGAATGCCCCCAATGCACCCGATGCAACATAAAACACATTGAATCCGCCATCTCGCATCTGCCAGGAAACATGAGACCCACAGCGGATTTCGGATCGGCCTACAAAACGCAGATTACCCGTTCGATTCTTTGATCCGCAGAGCCAAGGTGATCTCTCGAGATCGCGTCCAAACCCAGTGTCAGGACACACTGGCAAAGTTCGGTTCTAGCCATCCAAGGGAAGAGGGTGGGGGATGGTGGGAGGGGATGGTGGGAGGGACGCTACTCTGTGCACGGCGGAGAGACTCATAAATGCTACTTCACCCACTTCCAAACTGAGGCGTCGGAAACGAAACTATCCGGGCAAGTGGCCATGTTAATAGAACAAAACCTGGTCGGGGTATTATGGGCAGGACTTCGTTCTGGCCCCATGACCCTCCAGAGTGGAGGGGCAAGGAGATGAAGATGCATCGTGAATATGAGGTCAAGACCCAGGAGCTCCCAAACTCCGAGATGCAAGACACGCAAGCTCAACCAGTTTCCCACCGTCTGTGGCACGCAAAGTAGATCCATCGTAACTGCCGATGCTCCATAGCCCCGAGGACTAGACTCGGTGTGAAGTCCCCTCGAGGACCTCGAACTCAAGAAGTACATTTGGTCTTCAGAGGAGCCTGTGGCATCACACTACTCCGTGAGAGCCAGTAAATTGAATACTGCCCGGCTTGCGAAGTCTGAGAAATCACCACAAGCGATTTCGGGGATCTGAGTGCCAAGCGCCCTCGTCAGTGCGGCAAAAGGCCATCGAGGCGGATCGTCGTGGCAGTCCTTGATATCGGATAGGAATCTACGTGTTCCTTGAGTCCAAAGGCCCGCTCTTTGACCAGCCAAGCGAGGCTGGTAGACATAACAAACACTCTGGGCTATGGGCAAAGGTTCCCGCCTAACAGCTAAGTGAACGTAGCAAAAGAAGGGCCACAAGGAAGTGGTGTGGAATATCCATCTGGCCACCACTGTCCTGTTTCTTACTTCCATGACAACGCAGCTTTCGGACAAGAAAAGTATAGGAAGGGGCAATATCAGCAGATATCAAAAAGCCAACATCTTGGCGAGAGTCGGATGAGTCGGGAGGCATGAGCAGCATACTTGCTAACCACTGAGCTTAACATCTAGGTGTATAAACGCGGCCAATACCATCAAACTCGCCTTCTCTGAGATATCTCAAGCCCCTAGAATCTAATGCATCCATCATGCTGCGAAAGGGTTCGAGGAACTAAAGCTGGGCCGGTCTCCCGCCCCCGCCTACTTTTGAGGAACACTCTTGTTTATATCAAGCGTTTGCGAGTCCGTTTATAGGTTGAAGTGAAGTCACAGGTCACGCAATCAGATAGTACGGGGCCTGGGGCCGCAAGGCTTCCCATCCCACACCTTCTCTCTCAGCGTTCTATCTTGCGGGGATTGAGCAGATCGAGGGGACACGGCCCCGTCCGAGTCTCAATGAGACGAGTTCAACCCAACCGCATCAGTGAGAAACAGCAGGCTGAGTTGAGGGAAGAACCTTGCCGCACCCAGGGCAGATACCTCCCCGATATGAGCGAGATGCTTCCGGCGAGTGGCTGTCGCCATGCGCACAACACCGGCTCGATGGACACTACTTTCAATGAATTACGCGCCTGGCCGCCTGAGCGAACGATGGACTCAGACTCATGGTCCACACTTGAGCGTTCGGTGCCCGTACCTCTGCAGGGAGCGAAGCAGAGGATTTGGCATGGCATAGAGCCTTCTCCCCGTATGGATCAATGCCTTTTTCCAAGGGAACAAGAGGCTCCGAGGCTCGTAATGAGAAAGATCGCAGCGAGAAGAAGAAATCGGTACTACTAGGGCCTCGCTGAGAATGCACGCGCGTGCTCCAATAGGGTTGGACGCGGTGGTTTGACGGACTCCCGCGACGAGAGGGAGGTCTAGATCAACGACATTCGGGGATGAGAAGGGCTACCCCAATGGCCGCGGTTTAAATTTATACCAACCCCTCTCGCCGTAATAGGTCATTCCGCAAGTCGTTATTCGGGAGGTTCATGGTTATACAGTTCCCGGGACGATTGCCTAACCAACCCATCAAAGCTTTTGACATGTTTATATCCTTGGCCCCCGAATGATCTATGAATCCCTCTCCCATTTCCTCTGAATGAATATAAATAGATACCCAAGAAAGAAAGAAAGAAAGAAAGAAACAGCCATCCGTTCAGCCTTGTTTGCTGAGACACCTCTCGACTCCAATAACGAGGCAAATCCAGTCACATAGCGGCGGATGCGTATCGATTTCCCGGTCCCTTTTTGTCACAAATTTTATTATTTTGCCGAGGGAAAAAAAAAAAAGAAAACATGACAAAACCCATGTCCAACGCTCCGAGAATCATAAAGCCTCCTGTCCCATCCCCGTGTGATTGTCTTTTTGTTCTTCTATATCGTCCCAGTCATCACCGTCGGTTGGGAAAGGTTGGTGGTGTTTCGTGTCAATGTAGATTGAGTTATTGTGCGTGTCCCGTTGACACCGTAGATCGTTCGTTTAGCTACGCGCGCGAGCACCGTCGTTAGTCCAACCCAGAACAGTGTTTTGGTGCGATAATCAATTTGAACCCACCAATAACAAAGTCACTTACAACTTGTTAGGAGGGTTGGCCGAGGTCGTGGGCCACTGGTAGCCGGAAGCGTCCGCAAACTTGTATCCGTACGAGGCAGTGAAGTCATCAAGGACAGCGGGGCCACGAGAGCCTGTAAGAGGAGCAAAATATGGTTAGCAAGGCCGAGACATCCAGGCAACGTCCTCTACATATAGAGATATACGACCACTCACCATAGGGATATTCCATCGGGATGATATCTTTGGTGTCATCAAGGTAGTGGAGGAGAGGGGTGAAGATCCTCCAGCTGGCGTCGAGCTCATCGTCTCGAACAAAGTTCGAGTGGTCGCCCTTGAGTCCATCGAGGATAAGAGACTCGTATGCCTCGGGGATCTTGAGGTCGGAGAATCGTCGGCGATAAGTGAGATCAAGCTCAGTCACAACAGTCTGCATGCTGAGGCCGGGAAGCTTCGAGTTCATCTTAAGGTAGACACTCTCGTTGGGCTGGATACGAATGACAAGTTCGTTCCTGGGAATGTCCTTGAAGATGCCCGAAGTAACATCCTTGAACTGAATGCGGATTTCCGTCTTTTGCTCGTTGAGAGCTTTGCCAGCCTTCATAATGAAGGGAACGCCGTCCCAGCGCTCATTCTTGATGTAGGCAACGAGCGCGCAGAAAGTAGGGCACCTAGAGTTAGGAGGCACGGTGTCGTCCTCCTTGTACGAGGGCTTCTGGCCGTCAAGCGATCGTCCGTACTGGCCAATGATGACGTTCTTGGGCTCAATGGCGGGCATGGCGCGGAGAACGCGCACCTTTTCGTCTCGAATATCCTCCGCGGAGAAGGAGAGAGGCCTCTCCATGGCGAGCAGGGTGAGGACCTGGAGCAAGTGGTTCTGCATGACGTCTCGGATGATGCCAAACTCGTCAAAGTATCCTCCACGGCCTTCGGTACCGAAAGGCTCCTTGAAAGTGATCTGCACGTTGTCGATGTGATGCCTATGCCACGTTGCGTCGAAGAAGGAGTTACCGAATCGGATGATTAGCAAGTTCTTCACCATCTCCTTGCCGAGGTAGTGGTCGATTCGGAAGAGCTCGTCCTCCTTCCAGTCAGGCTCGAGGCTGGCCTGGAGCTCTCGGGAGCTCTCCAAGTCCTTGCCGAAGGGCTTCTCGACCTAGACAAGTGAAAAATACGTTTAGTTTTAGGCCTCCATCACAGGTTTGAAAAAGACAGGCGAGAAATACAAGAAAAACTCAAAGAGATAAAGCAGGAAAGGCGGGAAAAGCGGGTTAAAAGAGCAGGGTAGACGGAGGAGAGAAGGAGACCCAGGGCTATTTTCTCCAGGAAGAGGAACGCGATGGTGTATGACTTACAATGACACGACAGATACCCTTGGTAGGGTAGCAGCAGCGCTTGAGGTGCTGAGAGACGACGGTGAAGACGCTCGGGGAAGAGCCATGTAGAAAAGACGGTGGGTCTCGGCCCTGCCGCGCTCCAGCTGCTCGATGTGCTCGGTGAGGGCGTAAAAGGACTCGTCTTGGTCATACTGACCAGAGACGTATGTGCAGAGCTTGCAGAAGTCCTCAAGTTGCTGCTCAACCTCCTGGGTAGGGACCTTCATGTAAGACTTGATCCGCCTGAGATACTCTTCATGATCCATCTTGGTTCTCGCATATCCGACGATCTTGATGTCTTTGGGAAGGAACTGGTTGCGGTACTAAACGAAAATGCCGAGTTAGTGATGGGCGCCCAAAGGGGATGCGCCGAGGGACCCTGTGGAGGGGAAACGGTTGCGCTTACAAGGCCGAAAAGAGCAGGATACTGTATCACACAACTGTTAGCACTCGTGTTTCGTTCTCTTCGCAGCTTCTCTTTGACCTCTCTCGAAGCAAAGATTGCCCGCCAATTCTGGCTTCTGGAGCTCCAAGCGAGTGAGGGGTGTGCTTCTTACCGTCTTCTTCTTCGCCAGATCACCCGAGGCACCAAGAACAACAATCACGGTGTTGTCCTTGAGCTCCATTGAGCTGCGAATCGATTGATTAGTTTCATTCTAAAGCCACGAGGAATGCGCCCAGCAGTTGCATGACGAGGTTTCGGGTTCCGTGGCAGCGGCCGAGCTGCTTTTCTGCGGGCCCAAAACCCAAGAAGAGGAGGCCGGCAAAAAGGGAGGAGGGAAAAGACCAGGCGAAGAGCATGGCCCTAGAAAAGAGCTTGTCTTCCTTCTTCCTTTGCATTTTCTTCTTGGGGTGAATGGTGGGGTTGAGGCAAACCTACCTGGCAGCGGAGGTGCGACCGGCCATTTTGAGAGGAAGCTGAGCGCTCGGTTGGGCAAAGGTTGGTTACAAGGTGCTTTTCGACAAGTGGGAGATGGTGCTCCGGGTAAGGTGTAAGAGAAGGTGATAACAACAAGGGCAGTCAATGCCGGAAAGAAAAGATCAAGAGTATTTTTGAATCCCACGTTTCGTGTCTGGGAGGGAATTTTTAGTCGAGTTCGTCAACTGCCGTCTTTTTCTCCCTATTTCGGCGTGGGAATCGAGAGGATGGATGTATTGGAAGTGGAAAGCTGAGGTGGGAGGAGGTTAGGAAAGGTTGAGAGGAAGTCGGGGTCACCTGGGGGTAGGAAGGTTACTCGGCAGGTCGACCCAAGGTTTGACGGTTTTAGCACAATGGCGGCAAATTTTATGATCGACAGCAGGTCGGAGCGGCGGTTTAATGTTGGGGAGCTTCAGATGGTGTCAATGGATTGGCGGCGGTGATGAAGCAGCTCTTGGAGGTACCTGGAGCAAGAGGCAGGACAAGGAGAGACAAGGAGCGGGGCGAGCAAGGAGGGGATGGCGGGATGGCGGGGGTAGCTTCGTGCGGACGGTTTGCTGCTGGGTACCTCGCGCTGAAGGCGGGGGTTTGAGCTCTCGTTGATATTGCTCTCAAAAATTTACGTGGATGGCCAAGTACGGCCCTAGGGTCCTTTTCCCGTTTTCCTCAGGTGTCTCTTCCTTCAGTGGTCTTTTTCTTTCTTTTTTTATTGTCGGTTCTCTTTCTTCCTTCTTTCTTTTCGGGGTTAGTCTGCAGAGTATCAGGGGACGACGATAGTCAATGGATTCGTGTGGTATTTTCTTCACGTAACTGGACGAGACACACCACGCCTCACAACCACACCCCAAGCCCAAGGCACGGATGAGGGGTAATAAAGGAGGGACACCAGCTTGTCTTGCCGCACTGGATCAATTCTCATCGACAGCCGACACAGCTCGGACTTGAGGCGCGCACAAGGGTGAACAACCGGCATGGGACGCGACGAAGCAATTGGGCATGGGCGGACACTGATGAACGTGAGTGGGTTGGGGGGCATGGGGGTTAGGCTGCAGCTACGAATGTGTGAACCAGTCCAGTACTGAGGTCCGGGCGGAGACCGAAAGGAAGGAAAAAATTATTGTTGCGATGCGTGAGGGTGAGACGGACATGGAAGTGACGGTTGGCGAGCCGGATCCGGATTGGCGAAGACATGGACTAGCCTGGTCACTTGAACCTCTTGACTCCAACCATTCCCACAATGCATCCGCGAGATGTACTCAGGGATCCGGTTACGGAAACGCAAACAATGAGCACCGTGGGTGGTCTGGTTGATGGATGCAGGGAAGATTGAGAAGGGGTGCGTGGTGTGGGAGGTACTGAGGTGGAGAGGGTGGGGAGCCCTGGTGGGCTCGATGACAGAACACCGAACGGTGCTGGAACGAGAAGCTCTTACAACATGAACGATTCGATCAGCTCAATGTTCCGATATCGATCAACTTTGATCCTGCGCTGGCCACATCACTGGGAGCACCAAGCAAGTCCCAGCTGCTGTAGCACTCGTGCTGTCTGCGGGCCCGCTTCATGTCCCTCTTCGCCAGAAAGGGGCGCCTCCCAAGTCCAATTCGTACATAAACATCAACATTGAAGCAACGTAGAGGGGCGATGTTCTATTTCCAAAAGAGCTAGTCACATCCAGCGAGCCTGCCCCACCTTCCGGACATATCAATTGGAAGGCACGACTAAACTCCAGCCCAATTGATACTCGATTGGAAGCGTCAATTGTACACCGAAAGGGGAAAGTGAAAAGAATGGCCTACGAGACGAGGTCGAAGTAAAGAGAGAGAGAGAGAGATAATAGAGAGGAAGAGAGAGAGAGATGGAAATGGAGCGAGAAAAAAAGAACAAAAGGAAGAGCGAGAAAGAGACGCGAGGTCCGAAGCCCATATCATCCGGAAGTGGGGTCCATCGGACTTGTTGACCTAGTTTCCTGTGCCCTTGCTGATTGTCAATTCAGGTTGTATTTCAAAGCACCCATCAAAAGACAAGTAGCTGGTCTGGTTGCTGTCCACTCTTAAACATGAGATAACATTGATAGACTTGCTAGACCTGTGGAGATGGAAGTGAGGACTGAGTCACTCCTTGTATTGCACCCAAGTCCAACAAGCCCTAGTCGGACCTACCAAAATTGTCATTCTGGTTTGGTGGATGAGCTCGAAAAGCATTGATCATCGGTGTACGTCACATTTCTTGCCGCCAATCTTTTTCTTCATTCGATAGAAGGGTCCTCGGAACATTGAAGCGACGCAGTTTTCTCATCTCCTTCCCCAAAGCGAGGGTTATCACATAATCACAGCTGATGTCCAAGACCTCAAGCCCACGCTCAACCTCCAAAGGTCACACTACAATGTTCTTTAAGAAAAAGGGTCAAAACGAAGAATGAGAAAAATAGACAAGCGATTCATGTACTTGAAAGCTTGAAGGGGGCAAGATATATTGTTACATGGTTCCCGCCCTTCCCTTTATAATAAAACCCGATCTTGATACCCTGGTTCAGGAGATTCATGAGCCTGGATTTAGCTTCACACCAGCGTACTCTAAACGGGCAAACCGTTGTCCAACTTTACATACATCGTCATTGCATTGCCATGACGGCTACCAACAGCTGCCCCCGCTATCCAGGTTCCACCTGACTCTTCAAGGGCTCTCGACCAGCAGCGGAGACTTCCACCATGAGGCGATTGAGGAAGCTAGGCGCGCCAGTCCCATAGGAGAATTGGCCCCTTAGGATCGCACTGCTTTCAAAGGCACGCCGCATGTTCTCAAGCAAAGGATCGAAGATGGGAGTATCTGGAACCTCGAAACCGACGCTGTGCGAAGGAAGCAGAGTCATTCAATCTAGTGTAGGTCTCCTTCCCACCCCCACCTCAGCCTCTTTTTCTTTTTCTTTTTTTCTGGCGGGGGAAGGGGCAGCCATCATCTCATCCTGGACCCCCATTCCACTGTTCTCAACCGTCTATATGGATCACTCATCCCACTTCGTACCCCACCCCATTACTTGTCCTAGTTTTCGCCCACGAATGAGCTTTTTTCTCTCCTTTTTCTTTTCTTTTTTCCCTCTCTTCATGTTAGGATAGAGGGGCGCGCTGATAAGGTGGCAGGCCCGTATGGAGCTTTCGTTGGGTTGAAGACTTGCCCGCTCATCCCCTCCCCTCCATACAAGTACGATACACAACCGCCCCTGTCTGGCCTGGAAACACTGAGGATCGGCCCTGGCCCTTTTTGTCGTCGCAGGACTCGTTCCATCGTCGTTTGAAGCACCATTCACCCTCGTTTCTCCCCTCTGCCCCTCCAGCTTGGGTATGACCATCTTGAGCGTGACCATGCACTGGGGACTTGATGATACGCAAAAAAAAATACTCGAATGGTTGCACATGCGGCTTCTAGCTTCTAGTGCTCCCCCAAGCTTCAAGTCTCTTCCATGTTCTGTGCCCCACATTCTGCCCTTCCGGCGTGGCGGACCTATGATCACTCATCTCTGCCCAAGCTGCACGCACCTAATACTTGTACCTCAATCCCAGCAGTGCACTAATAAATTGAGCCTGTGTCCGCACTAATAGAAGCGCCCTAATAATCTGATGCTGCCCAGGCCCAGCGCAGTTTATCCGTCTAGTGGGGTCGCGTTCGCATGCCACGCACGGAAGACACCGAGAAACTGCCAGTCGAGGAGTGTCACTTTGTACAGTGCCTCACCAAGCTCGCTCGCCCGCACCGCACAGACCGAACCACGAGCTAGAATTGGCCTCATGACTAGATTCCTGACATTCTTTTGCAACCAATGCTCCGGGGAAATGGCCCTCGTCCGCCTAGGGTAAGGGCTCGCTCAGAGACTCACCCACTCTTTCTTACCCGGCTAGATTTATCCCGAATCGGTCGAGGGAGCTAGGAACCCCTCACGCGCTCCAGTCTTTCTCTCCAAACCGCCCGTCGAGAAGAAAAAAAGTACACTGTGCTCCATCAAGCTCCAGCGCTGGTTGCTTACCGCTCATTGCTCGGCGATTTCGGAGCTGCCAGAAAGTCCAACTCGAAATGGGAACTGCAACCACCAACCCGGCCCGGAGCTACCTGCCTCTCTGCCGCAAAGTTTGGCGTATTAGTTATCTTTAGCTTGCAGCACTATTTTATCCTTCGCACATTACCCTAATCAACACCAAGCAATCGTCTCCCCCCATCTCGCTGCCTCGACCCTGCCCCAACAAAAACCGAAAAACTGAATCCTGACGGGTTTAGTTCACAAATTGCTCGGGTGGGTTAGGCGCTCCGAGCAGCGCAGCATGGCCGGTGGAGGCACCCGCTCCTTCTCCGCCCTTGAGGGGAAATCCTAGAACCGTCACGTATACTCGTAGGGCCGTCTGCCTCGTGTGAAATGTGGAGCAGATTGGATGATCTAGCAGGCGGTGATGTAAGAGGACCAACAGATCTCTGTATTTGGGAGCGAGAAACGCTGCTCCGGATCCCAGTGGCCGGGTATTAGCGGCCGCACAGTTGGTATATGAAAAGATTCCATCCAGGATCGACACTACTCCAGCCGAAACACTATTGGCCGGTGTCTGCGCTGGGACGTAGAGCATGACGAGTATAATCTATCGTTCTCGGTTGCTGTTCCTGATCAACAACCCTATTTACACAATCGGGCGCTCCAGCCGTGTCATGTACTAAGCATTTGAACCTAGCCCTTCTCCTATAAATTCTGGCCCCCATCTCTTGCCGTTGACTTGTACCCGACATGGCCGTAACCGGGGGCGACCAAGCCTGTCAAGCCTCGCAGATATCGCCTTGAAATTCAGAATGGCGCGAGGTTCCGCGGCGATACCACCAGCTACAATGAGTTGTGCTGCTCTGCAAATCTAATTCCGCGCGATCCACCGCACCCATCGGACTGGACCCAACCTCCGTAGCACCGGGAGATTGGAGAAAGCGAGCCAAGTGGTAAGCTTACAACTTTGCCTTGTCTTTGGCCGCCTCCTCCTCCTGCTTCACCTGGTCTTTCAGGACCCTACGGAGAATCTTACCCGCTTGGGATTTGGGGATGGCGTCGATGAAACGAACGCCACCCCGCAGCTTCTTGTGCGGCGCCGTCTGCTTCGCAAGCCAGTCGGTTATTTCCTGGACAAGAGCGTCGTTCTTGGCGATACCCGGTCTCATCACAACGTAGGCCCTGGGCACTTCGGTCTGTCGCTCCGCATCCCAAACGCCGATTACACAGGAGTCGAGGGTGTCCTCTCGCCCGAGAAGCATTCCCTCGAGCTCGGCAGGCGCGACTTGAAATCCATCTGTGCGGGAGAACTTGGTTAGACGCAATGGATATCTTTTCGCGCGAGGGTAGACGCGAGAAGGATAGACTCACTGAATTTGATCAGTTCTTTAACCCTGTCAGTTACGTAGAAGTTGTCCTTGTCATCGCGATACACGATATCGCCCGTCTTAAAGTAGCCGTCCTCGGTAAAGATTTCCTTGTTTTGTTCCGGCTTGTTGAGATATCCGCTGAATACGTTGGGTCCTTTCAAAAGAAGTTCCCCGACCTATATTTTGAGTCTGGTTAGCAATCCGTCTCCCTTGGGCACAGGTGGCCGGGTGCCAAATAAAGGTCATGGAAACTCATACTTCGCCCGCCTTTGTGACCTCGTTGCCCTCGCTGTCGATGATCTTGGCTGTCATGTTGGGGATCAGCTTGCCAACGGACCCCACAAACTTTCCAAACTCGTCAAGCATCTGGAGGACCGCGGCAGGGCTCGTCTCCGAAAGACCGTAGCCCTGCTTAACGGGGATCTTCAGCCTTTGCCACAGCTCCTCCACGAGTTCCCTAGTGAGCGGGGCAGCGGCGCAGTTGAGGAACCGAATCGACGACATGTCGTACTTGGACACAAGGGGGTGCTTCGCCAGCCCGAGTACAATGGGCGGTGGCACGTAGGTGACGGAAATCTTGTGCTCCTGGACAAGCTGACAAAACCGTTCCAGGTCGAATTTGGGCATGACGACGGTCTGAATCCCCGCATTCATGCCGCCGAGGATGATGATGGCCAAACCCTAGTGATGCGTGAGAAGTCCGTCGAAGCGAGACGTAGGTCTGACCCTCTACGATGGCTAGTGTCACTTACATATATGTGGAAGAAAGGCAATACTCCAAGCTGAACGTCCTTGGCCCAGTTAAGGTATCTGAAATCAAAGTGCTTGATCTGGGCCATATTTGCGACAACATTGAAGTGTGTCAAAACAACACCTTTGGGGAGGCCAGTCGTTCCCTAAGCCGCAGGCTCGAGTCAGTGAGTGACATACGGTAGTCGGCACCAAGGCAAGAATCCGGGAACGCATACCGAACTATACACGATAAAGGCAAGGTCCTTGACAGGATCTATCTTTGTCCTCTTTGGAGTGAAGAGGAGATTCTGGTCTGTGATTTGCGTCCAGTGCTTGAAGTGGTTCGTCTCATCTCGCGTATCGCCGATGAGGATGATGCGATTCTCGGGGATTCCCACTGCGGCAGCGGCCTCTCTCGCAATGGGCAGCATCGGCAGTTGTGTCGCGATAGCGGAGGCTTTGGAATCCTTGAGCTGGTGGGCTAGCTCACCCGCGGTATACAGAGGGTTGGCCGGGCAGATGATGCCCCCGGCCCAGTGGGTCCCGAGCATCACAACAGGCGTGTCAATGCTATTTGGCGCGTAAAGCGCCAGGATGTCCCCTTTTGCCAGTTCCATTGACTCTTTAGGCCCTTTCCGAATTCTGCGGTAAGACTCTTCAGCTGACCAAAGGTATAGGAACGCTTGGTTTCGCTGTCGGTCAAGAGAACTAGGAAATCAGCTCTGTCAGTAAGAGGCCTGGGCGCGGATGAGAATAAAAGAACGCGTGCGTACCATGGTCGGGTCCGAACTCGATATCCTGACGTTCGTAAAGGAAGCTCCAGAGATCGATATGCGGGAGCGGCACGTCTGGGTACGGAGACGTCAACGGCATGATGACGAGAATGAAGCGCCTTGGGCGTCGCGAACGATCAGGTGCGCTCGAGGTATTATATCAAGGAAATAAGGCGATGGCGTTCCTCCAGATCACGAAGAGAACTTTTGATTATTATGTGCAAGAGGGAGTCAGATTACGGGGGTCAGGTTCTACGAGTACGAGAAGTGGCGAGAAGGGTCGGGGTGGTTGAAATCAAGGGAGGCATGCCAACCTTAAAGGTCACGGGCAGGATTGGCGGGTGGCTAGATGCGGTTAGGGGCAATCTGGAGAAGTTGGGGAAAAGCTGGGGTATCACAGGATCCTCGGCCCTTGGCGCTTGCTTGTGGACCATCAATTTTTGCTCAGTTGGGGTAGTTCCCCGATGTCAAGGTTCGCTTACTAGCCGTGAGCGAATTGAATGTTCGGGCCAGGTAGCCTTATTGATGCTAGTATCTGGCTCTGGGCAGTCGTCAACTCTGCTTGAACCCCTAATGGTGGTGGGTGGTGCTTTGATAGCAGTTCGGGCGGAGCCGCTACTGTCATTAGAAAGAGGGGAATGGGGAAAGGGGAAAGGGGAAAGGGGGGACGACATCAAAGGATGATGCTACTCTAGTCTGCCGGTGCCTATGAAATGTCTTAAGCCTACGAGCTAATCATAAAATGAAGCTTGGTGGTTGTTGAGATGCCTCGGCTGAGGAGCTTTGGAACTATCCACCTTGAGATGCTTGTGGGTGATTTCAGCAACAATACATCAATCATTATCAGGTATGAAGTTGGTATGTTCTAATTTAGCGGTCTCAGCCGCAATGCTCATTGACGGGTCCTCCAGTAATATACATTAGCGCGTCTCGCTCTCCCGCCTCATGGTACATGTACAGCGAATTCTCCAGTGATGCCTCGCGGCAGTCCGTTTCCCCTGCGCTCTCTAAACCATCCTCTCAGTCTCTTCAAGCAGTTTATCGATCGTAAAGTTTGGGTCCCCGTTGGCGAACCAGTCTAATAGTTGCTTTCGTTCTGCGCGAGGTTGGCCGGATTCCTCCCAGGCACCGTAAAACTTTTGCAGACACAGGACGAGGAACCTAGCATCCTCCACCTTGGCTCCCCTGTTCTCAACGACCTGCCCCTGCATGAGGACGAGGCCCCTCTCGTCTAGGAGGTCCTTGTGGTGAGTAATGGTCGTATGCGGCTGCGCGAACTCGCCGCGGGCCTTGTACTCGGCGAGCTGGGTAAACAGAACGGTGCTCGTGTTGGACGCGGCGTCAAAGGTCCATTGGAGGAAGTGGATTTCGGCTCCCTGCTCCGGATGAGGGACGGGCAGCACGAACTGGGGGCCGAGCGCGCGGCAGCCTCCATGGCCGCGTAGGTGGCGGCGGGAATCGCGGCGCAAAGGGTCAGCGGGTCGTGGGCGTGGCGGAGGCGCCAGATGGCTATGAGTTCCTTATCAGGAAGCGTTCGGGCCTTGTCGAGGTCAAGGATGGCAGAGAGGGGCTTCACCGTGGAGGCGAATTTCGAGGGTGTGCCCGAGGGGCTGCTCGGGGGTGTGGATTCGGGCGTCGCTGCGGACGAGGATTCGCTCGACGAGCTCGGCGAGGAGGCTTGAGCGAATCGGGGACGGCATCTTTTGGCGAACGGTGGCAATCTTTTCAGAGTATGCCGTTTTTAGCTCCTCCAAATCGCCATAGCCCTGCTCCCTTGCCTTTTGGTCGAGCTTCTCCCGATACCTCTCGATGACGGCCCTCGGGGGCTCGGCGGTCGCAAGGAATCGCACATCGTGAACCTGGGCCCATCGCCGTTGGGCCGGTGCCCGTAGGTGTCTTGTTGGAAAGGCGAGCAATTGCCTTACAGGCCGGATGAGATGACTTGCCATTGCTGCCTCCTAGTGGGAAGGATGAAAAAAGCGGGAGGGAAAGAAAAAAAAAAGTGGCCTCTGACGACACCACGGAAGGCTGGCGATCTCGTTCAATTGCTTTCAAACTAGTCGAGGAACTGCTTATTCAGCGACAGTGGGGGTTTGAACAGACAATTTTTTGATCGATCAATCAATGCGTTCATTGATCTAATTATTACTTGTAGTGCACCGTCAAAGGCCAGCCAATTGACTTTAGTGGGGTCTCGTCTCTTAAAAACGCGCCACGGCTTGGGCGTGTCTTGTCACGTCAAGCCATTTAACGCACGCCCCCAGAAATTTATTACCATTCTCCATCCTGGGCAGGCGGATCGAGCGTCCAGGATATTGGACTGCTTTTACTTATCCACCCTTCCTGATCTTTGAGAATCGATCTTTTTGGTGTCAACACGCCCTTCGATATCTCAAACACATTGGTCCATGGTCGTGGATACGGTCTCCCGTATGTATCCACGATGCATTCGTCCAAGTCCTTGCCTTCATCAGACGCGTCACGGCCCCGATCAGGAGTCCTTACCCCGGCCTCCGCCACCTCGCTCAACCACGAAACTAGCCGCGATGCTGTGAGCTCTCGAAAGAGAAAACGGGATTCGAGCGCCATGGAGGATCTCCTGAAACCTTCAATAGTTCTCAAGGTTTGTGGGGAAACCCGAGCCCTTCTTCGTTCGTGTCTTGTGTTGACTAGGGCCAGCCACATCCCCCAAAACTCCTCGCCAAGAATGCCGTCCTCCAACCCTTGATGATTCTGCCCCGCAGCGATTTACCTCTCTCTTACCTCGATCTTATTTCCTCATGTGGCGATCTTACACCAAGCCGCTTCTATGAATCCCATGTCAGGATTCTCGATCTCGAAAATCGTCGCGGTGGCGAGGCCCATATCCTTGTTGCTCGACTAGATACGAACGGCTCTCTTCGCGATCGAAGCGTTCGAGAAGAGCCTCTATACCGCGTGTAAACTTGGCTCATGGGTAGACTTGGACCAACTCAGCTCAAAGGCAACGCTTGCCTGCCAGCAGTTGCTCAATGTCACTCATGGGCCGGGGAGGTCGAGACCCAAGCTCTAACCATTACTACTCCGAGCCTACACATTGCTCACAAAGAAAAAGGATGGCTATCGAAGCCCTCCAATCGGTTGTACGTCGAAAGTCGCGCACGCAATCAGTTTCCACCTTGCCGACGCTCGGTGAGGGTACCATGACCCCGCCTAGAACATCCGCCGAGGCTCCAGGCCACAGCCCACGAGACTCTCTGAGGCCGTCACTCTCAACTCTTGGCGGTGATTCCTTTGCGTCGTCTCAGCTACTTCCCGCTTCTCCGGCACCTCCATGCTCTCTTCCACCTCCTCCGCCCTCCGGCGAGGAGCTCCTCGAGAACATCCGAACCCAGTATTTGGACGCCCTATATCGATCAAAGGTACGTACCGCTCCAGGGGCACTTGATGCTGGATCATCTTGACTAAACCCGCCGTATAGGGATCATTAGCGTACTTTCCAAAGGCCCTCTCTCACGCGCGCGTGCCGCCTTTCACCTCGAAAGCGATATCAATCTTAATATGGGTGATCTAGTCGAGTTTCTCAAAGCCCTCATTTTGCCGCTTCGCCAGATGAACAAAAAATACCAGGAAGTAATCCCTACAATCATTCGAGACATGAAGACGCGAGTAGATTCATCAGGTGACGAGCGGAAGAAGAAGCGCAAGTCCAAAAATGAAACTCGGTAAAAACGGGCTATATCCCGGGGAGGAGCAGATTGTCCGGTCGTGGTGGCTGTCCAGCAAACCGGATCTCACCGAGGGTGAAGCGGCCATATCGGAATCCCAAATCAAGTCTTACATCTCTCTTCTGAGGTCGCGAGAGACCCAACTGCAGCTTATCCTTGTCCTCGAAACCCTTGCCCTCGAACCACTCGTTGCTACGGTGGAAACATCGGAGACTCAGCTTCCCGGATTGCAAATGTCGATCGAAGCAGAGGAACCCAAGAAGAAGAAGGGCAAAGAACAAAACTTTATAGACTTGGCCGAGATGCATGCCGATTTGTTGTGCATCTGGCAGTCCACTATCTCTGACGAGATTCGACTGTTGCAAGATACGCAAATCCCGGACCAGGTAAGGGAGGGCCAGCAAGTTCAGAAAGCCTCGTCCGAGCCTATGAAAGACTTTTGTGTGGATATCATTATGCCATTGTGAGTTGTGACCGCCTGCATGTTTGGCGTAAACTTTTGTTTTCCTAACCTGACTGCGTAGCTTCTCGGCGCGGCTCCCGGAACTTTGCGATTCACTCAACAGAACGCTTGGCGGACCCATCATTCTCGCCTCTCCTCCCAAGTCCTCAAAGCCCACAAAGCCGAAGTCGGTCGCCACCAAGCAACCAAAGCCCGGTGCTGTTGCTAAGCGACCATTGTTGGCGAAGGATGCTCGGTCACTGCAGCGGGCATTCTCTAACGATCAACTCCAGCGGGACCGACGGAGTATGTCCAGAGGTCCCAGCAGGGCCGTTGCGGCTCTTCTTTCTGCGACGGAAACGGCTATCCCCGGCCTCAAGACAGAAACAAGCGACTCGCACTTGTTAATGAATATTCCAAGAATCAAATCTGACTGTGGGCTCTTCAAATCTGCCAGAGCGGGATCTCTGTCGGGCAGCAATAGCGTTTCAGGCGATGATCCGAAGGTCAAGAAGAAGGCCATGGTCGAAGCAGAGCTCCAAGATGCAATCGCCGCACTAAGGAAGCCGAACAGACAGCTCGCAGGCGCTTCAGTCATGGCGGCGGCCGAGAAGAGAGTTACCGGGAGCTTGTCACAAACGAGGAGTAAGTCCCAGCCAAGGTCAATTTGACGTGCGACATCCGCTAACGTCCGTATTTAGAATCAAAGAAGCCAGTCCGCCATACTCCAAGTGACCAGGTCAAGATCAAGGCGACGCCGCTTCACAGCAGGTATCGGGATACAATGGCTGGCCAGTCGCAACCCGCGCCCATCGCATGGCCACTTCCGCGGCTAATTGCCAATGAGCCTCCCCTTCCTCGGGCGGGTCAGTCATTCCAGCAACCGCCCCCAGGAAGAGCTTCAGGGACGCGCTGCAGAGCAGCGTCTCACCGGCATTCGACGCCATTGGCTCAACACCTGCACGAACTTCCAGAGTAGATATGCTTGATGCAACTCCGATAGCGCCAACGAGCGCTATAGCATCAACGCCAGTGCGGCGGACGGTGAGCTCGGCTCCTGAACACGGAGAAGAGCAGAGCATCCTACAGTCCTCACCTCTGATGCCGCGACGAGCGGCGCCGAGCCAGCACCTCACCGTCCCTGGAACGGGGTCATCCCGGTCGGCGGACCTCAGCGGCATCCGAAGCCTAAAGGACATATTCCGCACCCCCGTGAAACCAAAGGCAAGCCTACCCCAAACCGTGGAGGCCAAGGCCAATGAGAAGCCCGCTGCGGCTGAAAAGATGTCGGTATATGAGAGGTTGGGATGGGATAATGAGTTTGACGACTTATGAACGCTTTTAATTGTTTTGATTCAGCAATATTGGGTTGGGAGGTGTTTTTATTTGCCCAAGTGCCCAAGAGGCGGCGAGGCCATTCATGGTGGATGTTTATGGGATCACAGCGGGCAGGTTCTTCTTGTCAGTAAAGTTGAGGGATTACTACGTCTGCATTTCTAGCATTGGGGCGGCGTTTGCTTTACTCGGGGCAATGACCTAAGGTCTTAGAAAATATACTTAGGTGCATTACACGGCAGTAGAGCTGAGGGAAGCATCCATGGGTTTCTATACCTCGATCTGTTGAAGTGATTTTTTGGCATTACTCGTGACCTTAACAGTTCCAGCATGTTATGGCCTCTTCTCTACTACTATAATAGGTAAATCCCGTACATCCACGTGCTCCTGGGAGCCGAGATCCACGACCCTAACCGCCTCAACGCCCAGCACTCCCTCCCGAAGGGCCATAAACTTCAGTTCGGCGACATGACAAGTACCGGCCGCCAGAGGCCCAACCCGGACGTCCGAGCTAAGGCAGACAACATCAGTTGCTTCGACAACGGAATTCTTGTGCATCGCATGGACAATGTTGTCGTCTAGGACGGCATCGGCAACCTGCCCGGAGTCCGCTGTGTGCCCGGAGGAAGCGGCACCGCCAGGGTTCGCGGGGATGCGCGAGAATGGCTCGGGTAGCTCACAGATGGGGGCCGGACGACACGGTGGTGATCCCTCCGGCGCTTAGGCAAGGCGAGGATGGCGAGTTTGCGGGGCGGTGGTGGAGTCTTGTCTGACGAGCGGTTAACGATATAGATGGTCCACGAGAAGGCATCGCCCGGGTAGATGGGTTCGACGGGAGCGCTAAAGGTAATGGTGATACCGAGGTCGGGGATGGTTGTCTCGGTTCGGTTGGCTGCCGCCTCGAGGGTGGGGAGGGCGTCAGGACGGCTGACGGAGGGGCGGTAAAGGAGGACTCGCCGCCACCGATGGAAAGCTGGGAGGGGCGGTGGGAGCGCTGGATGGGCTGCATGGCGGGGCCGAAGCCCGGGTTCACTGGTATGGTGAAATCGAGGGGGTGACCCACGACAGGCTCAGTTTTGGGGTGCATGACGGTGCGAGGTTGGCCGTGGCCTTGATGGTGATGTCCAAGTCGCGGATGGGGTTCTTCACGATGTCCTCGAGGTCAGAGGGGAGGAGGGAGTAGAGAAAGGTGACGTGATCATGAGGGAGGCAGGTCAATGGAAGAAGCTGCACGCCGGCCAGGTGATTGAGATCATCGACCGTTCCGCCCTTGAGGTGAGGAGTGATGCCATCGATGGTGATGTCGCATGGGGTCGTGCCGCTGAAGTCGATCTCGAGGACGGCCGTCAAGGCTGAGTTGGGAGGTTGGCCTGTGGGTCTCGCTATCCTGACACGGGCGTGGACGGCTGGGGCTATGTCCAACTTGATCTCTTTCAGAGCCTTGATAGACCTCGCTAGCTCTTTGGGGTCGGTGAGTGGCGCGACTCGTGAGACGCGAAGGGCCGAGAGACGTGGCTTGATGCCCTCGACCGCCGGGTCGTTGCCAAAGGCCTCGAGGAGATTCAGGCCGGAAGGTACACCACTCTGCAGGTAACCAATCTCTCCCACTGTCTGATCCACCGGCTGAAGGGCGGCGGACGCATGGAACACGGCGACAGGGCGGCGTAGCCTTAACCGGGGCCGGGCGAGAAAGACGGGCATCTTCCAGATGGCGTACACGTGCTGCTGCTCCTGCTGCTCCTCGTCGCTGTCGTCGCTGCTCGCATCAGACTCGTCGACGATGATGAAGGGGTCGTCCAGGTCCTGCACGGTACCGGTGAAGATGACATCTTGACCAGGAGGGCTGGAGCTCTCGGTGTCACCGACGGTGCCGGTGTTGACGACGTGAGCTTCGAGTGAGATGACGAGGCGAGAGAAGTTTGCGCTCAGCGTCTTCTCGTCGGCCCAGGGTGTCCTTAGTATGAGGAGGACGTCGACGGTTTCGTCTAACACGGATGGTGAGCTTTTGACTAAACGCCCCTCGCTCGTTGCCTCCCGCGACTTGAGAGGATGGTGAGCTCCGACATACCAAAAAGAGTGACTTGCGTCTACGAATAGATTCTAGGATGGGAGCTGACGGATCGACATCCTTGAAAGCTTCCTCGAGATTGAGATCCGTTTCAAAGGGAATCATATATGTCAGATGTGACTGGTCCACGAAGCGGGCATCCGAATCCCCGCGAGCTTGGTAGAGCTCATCTTCAGGAATCGCCATGGCGGCTGCCGTAACCTGTGAGGCCGGACAGGTCAAGGTTTAGATGAAGGTCGTGCAACGGGCCTTATGCCCCGTTGACGGTGGTGTGTGATGGAAAGGGGTCTCAATAGGACGAGGGCTTGGTTTGACTACTTGATGGTGGGGGTACAAGAAGTCGCCGTACCGATGCGATAATCACCGGAGAGGCTAGGGAATCCGGGTTGAAAACGGGCCGGACAAGTTAATACTTGATCAATTCAATTGTTGGGTGCAGCGGCGGCGCTTTCAAGCCCATGTCCAAGGCGCGCAGTGTGTCTGTGGGTAGATTCAACCAGGGCGCCGGAACAAAGCAAACGACAATACGTTGCAGGCCATTGAATCGTTGATCCCTCAATGGATCTATGGCAGCGAACAGAATCAGCTCTTGCAGTGTTCGATAGCAGCTTCAATTCCCCACGTCCACTGCCAGCCACTACAAGGTCAGTCCTAAATTAGGCCAAGCTAGGTGGGTGAATTAGCCCCAATTTGATTTTCAGGCCCCTTTAGGCGCATCGAGTTAACCTGAGCCAGCGATTGTGCGCCGAAAGTGATTGATCCTCCATGGCTCCTTCCAAGGGGATTTGTGTCCAAACACCGTGCGTAATACTTCAAAGCTTCAAGGATGTGTCGGCTAATCTCCGGCCGAAACACGAGGTGGACGGAATTTTATTTCTGGCTTTTCAGTCCAAGACCGTGCGACCCAACGCGACCGATCGCCATCGCATCGATCTTTCTTCCCAACCCTATCACCATCACTCATCAATCCATTGAAGCTCTCTTCTCCCCCAGTTCTATAGGGCGCCTCGCGCACTTCGTTAATCATGAACGGCGTGGCCCCCTTTTGGCCAACCGCCGCCTGCCTGGCAGACGCATCACACACCCGACGGTCGCCTGTACTTCTACAACACCCTCACAAAAGTCACGCAATGGACGAAACCAGAGGACCTGATGACCCCAGCCGAAGTGAGATCATCGCCAAACCCCTTCCTGAGATACATAGTAGCTAACACCTGTTTTTTTCCTTGGTAGCGCGCTCTTGCGAATCAGCCGTGGAAGGAATACACCGCGGAAGGTGGACGCAAATATTGGAATAATACAGAGACGAAGCAGAGTTCCTGGGAGATGCCAGAGGCCTACAGGAAAGCTCTCGGTATCAGCAATGAGTCTACCCCAACGTATGTTGTTCCCGTTTGTTACATGTTGCATCCATCTTGTGCCGCAATTCCTGACATAGCCCGTTCCAGCCCCGGAACACCTCATGGTGCACACGCTGGCCACGAGCAACAGCGCGATTACCGAGACCACCGAGAGTCCCGTCATTCCCACGGCGGACACGATTCGCACTCCCATTCCTTCTTTGTACCCGCCAGCAACGATCCCGAGTACTCGACTCCCGAGGAGGCCGAGGCTGCCTTTATCAAGATGCTGCGACGCTGCGGCGTACAGCCCGACTGGACCTGGGAACAGACCGTTCGTACAACCGTCAAGGATCCTCAGCATCGCGCCATCAAGGATGCGCGAGAGAGAAAGGCTGTTTTTGAAAAATTTAGTCAAGATATGATCACGCAGGACAAGGAGCGTGCGAAAGAGAGACTGACAAAGCTCCGCGCCGATTTTGAAACCATGCTCAAGCGCCACCCCGAAATCAAGCACTATACTCGCTGGAAGACGGCACGGCCAATGATTGAGGGCGAGACTTTGTTCCGCACCACCGACAACGAGAACGAACGCCGACAGTTGTTCCAAGAGTATGTGCAGGGTCTCAAGCGTGCGCACCTCGAGCGTCAAACCACTATGCGCAAAGATGCCATGTCTGGCCTGATAGACCTGCTCTCGAAGCTCAATCTCGAGCCCTATACACGGTGGGCTGAAGCCCAGGATGTCATCTCGGCCACCCCTCCGTTCCAGAACGAGGAAAAATACCAAACTCTCAGCAAGTTTGACATCTTGACCGCGTTTCAAACCCACATGAAGGCCCTCGAGCGTGCCTTTAATGACTCGAAACAAGAGCAGAAAAATCGAAAATACCGAAAAGAACGCCAGAACCGTGATGCCTTCAACGCGTTACTTTCCGAGCTTCGTCGCGCCGGCAAGATTAATGCGGGCACCAAGTGGTCCCAGATCCACCCCTGATTGAGGGGATGAGCGCTACACTGCAATGGCTGGACAGGCTGGTTCAACTCCCCAAGAGTTGTTCTGGGATGTTGTTGAGGATGAGGAGCGCGGCCTACGGAGCACGAGGAACGATGTGCTAGATGTATTAGATGTAAGTCACATGCCTGCTCTCCGGTCTTGTATGCGGTGTGATATCCGAGACTAACGTTACGAAATTGCAGGACAAACGGTTTGAAGTTACCCAAAAGACTTCGTTTGACGAGTTCCTTCCCATTGTCAAGGATGATCGTCGCACTGCTAACATTGATCCCGATATGCTGCGTCTAATCTTTGAACGAGTAAGTCCCACGGTCCCCAAATCAAATCCGGGATGCACCTTCTATTCTTACCTTGAAATTTTGTATATATGCTGACGAGAACGCGAATTTAGATCCAGGAGAAGTCGGCCAAGAAGCCGGACGATGATCGCCACGCTGAGCGTCAGCAAAGGCGGGCAGCAGAGAACTTGAGGTCATATATCAAGCATCTAGATCCCCTCTTACCGTTCAAGACACGTACGAAAAGGCTCGCCCTCGTCTAACCCGTAGCGATGATTTCAAGCCGTGGCGTCTGAGGATGCACGCCGTGCCGTCTTTGACAAGGTTATCCGAAGACTGCGTGAGAGGGAAGAGGACACTGAACGGGACCGTCACAGACGCCGAGACCGTGGCTCGGTAGATCGGGATGCCTACCGAGAAAGAGACCGTTCCCGGGGCGAGAGATCCCACCGAGGCAGTGGAAGGGCGTCGCGTCGTAGCCGCACTCCCGAGGCAGATGCGTACGAAGCCGACCGTCGCAAGGCCATCGCTGAGCGCGAAAGGAACCACCGCAAGGCCACTCTAGCTGAAGGTGTGTTAGTGTCGGAGCGACGGGCGTCGCCCGGTCCTCGCCGTGAGCGCGATCGAGAGCGGGACAGAGAGAGGGACAGGGATCGAGAGCGGGACCGTGACCGTGACCGTGATCGAGAGCGAGAGCGGGACCGTGATCGTGAACGAGATCGAGACCGGGAACGGGATAGGGACCGGGACCGGGATCGAGAGAGGGACCGAGAACGGGGAGGAGACCGTGACCGGGACTACGAGCGTCATGCCAGGTCCCGCCGTGAGGATGATGCCCACTACGAACGCGACCGCAAGAGCCGCGACGAGGAGCGTGAAAGAGTGTATCGCCGTCGCACCGAAAGGGGTGGCTCATACGATGAGCTTCCATACGGAGATGAGCGCCCATCGACACGCCGTCGCCGTACTGAGGAAGACGAAGATCGTCGTGATTCAAAGGTAGGTGCTCCCCTATTAACTTCTCAAAGTAAGCCTTGAAACTCAATGCTAACCCTTACTTTTCTTTGGCGATAGCGTTTGAAAAGAGAAAAACCCCTCGTGAGCGTAGTACCCCCAACGTGAAAGCCAGCCTCCCAAGGCGGACTCGCCAGCTCAACCTTCCAAAGAGGACCCTGGTGTTCACTCTGGCAGCGAGGAAGGCGAGATTGAAGAGGACTAGGCTCCCTCTGCGTCCTTCTAGGGCCGAAGGCCTCTTCACCCTCCCCTTCTGGTCTTATTTACATGGGGCGTAGGGTCGGTCGTCCACCATTTCATGCATCTCTGCTTCCCCGCAATAAGATGAAGTCCCACTCTGAGCTCATCCTTCCCCTCGATGGCTAGGCTTGTCACGAGTGTCAATTGGTGGAATCCATGGGAGGTGATCTTGCGTTTGCTAAGTCAGTTGTTCCACTCCTGCCCCCTTTGAGCAAACAAGGCTACCACAGGGCGCATCAAGGGCAAATGGGAGGGAGGGAACAATGCTTCTCCCCTCCCCACCCCCGAACTTGAACCTTCTTCCTTTGGCACAGGATCCATTATCCTGCCTCTATTGTTCGACGATCCGGCAAAATGGTTACGGGTTGTGGTGGTCACTGGTGGATGGCTCGGCAAGGGACGCACTGCGCAAAGACCGAGAATGGGTTCACCTCACTGAGTACGTACTGCAAACAAGAAAAAGGAAACCAAGGAAATCTCGCTAGGATGTGGCCGGTTCCAGATGACTCTACCTTCAAAACCAGCAGGCACATCAGTCCGACGACGCCTTGTTCCGCGCCACCTCCCTTCCTCAACAGCAACATACCTTGCACAACATTGGCCTCTCCCCTCTCCTCAATCTTTCCCTCTTTTTTTCTTTTTCTTTTCTTCTCACACTACTACTCAAGCTGCTTCCGGCTTCCTTCTATTTTCTTCCCTTTGCAACGCCGCTTGAGTTCTACCTCGGCCCCAACGCCAGCCCTCCCTATCATCGGTGTGGAGTTTGTCCACGATAAAATAGGCCCATCCTCGGCAGAACAGCACGACTTGTTAGAAGTCGAGTACGTCTCCCCTCCAAGTCCCCTCCCATCGTCAGCATTGAGCTTTTCCGTTGGTCTTCTTTTTCTGTCCCAATTTTTCCCCTTCGCTCCCTGCCATATGCTCGCAAAACTCGTTAAGTACAATCAATGTGTGTAATCTACGGCGTCGCTCGAATTCCGCACGACGTCCCTGCTTTAATCAGCTGAAAGGAGCTGCACTACGTCACCATAGAATCCAAGAAAAAATTTGCATCAAAATGTCCTTGATTTGTGTGCGGAAACGATGGTGAAGATGAATGATATTGTGTGTGTAGTACGAAGCAATGTATATCTAATAGCCTCCTCTCTATGCGAGGAGAAAACATCTCTCTGGCCCCATAAAAGGATTAAATCAAAGTTCTCGAAACTTCGAAAACTGACGGGATGGGGAGGAGCTTGGTACGACGGCAGCCTTCCTCGTTTGCCTATTGCCCCTTCCTCGACCTGGCTCAGAGTTCAATAATGATTCTCTGTACCCGGCGCCTACTAATGGATTTGGTTCAACAAGAGAGAAGAGACAAATAAATCTCGGAAAAAGAGGAAACGGAAACTAACGCGTTATCTGGAATACAGATACCGAGCGAAAGGAGTGATTGAAGCTGGTGACAAACAGATGTGGTGAGAACAAGAAAAAAGGGGAGTAATAAAATCAAGTGTCGTAGCAGCATAGCCCAAACTCTTTGAAAGCGTAAGGAGGGCTACGAACACGAGGCACGAAAGAAACTTTGGGGTCTGGGTGGGGAAGGGGTCTGGAAGGGTCAGACACGAAGAGCAAAAAGAACGACACGAGCAGGGACAAACAGGTACAACAGAACAAGAAGAATAAGGGTAGGGAACCATTGTAGGCAAAAGAGGTCAATAGGGGAAAAGCTGCCGCCGCCAATGCTATCCATCCGCCTCGTCGTCATCACCGCCAACGCCATCATCTACCCCAGCAGCTATTGAACGGCCGCCACCGGCACGTTCGATATCACCATGCGCTTTTTGAACGCCTAAAACGCCGGTATCCAATGCATGATGACTGGAAGGAAAAGTGTCATTTGAGATGCCCTATTTAACTTCGTTTGGGGCCGTCATCCATGAAGAACTAGATACAAAGACGAGCAAAACTATTAGCAGGGAGAACAATCGGGCTTGGGTAGGGAATTTCGGGAGGCAAGGTACGTACGAAGTTGCCGCCACTCTTCTGCTCCTGATCGAGCTGAGAACCGTTCTTGTTGATGCGGGGGCGGTAATTGCCGGGATCGCGACGGAAAGTGACGTCGAGGTTCTTGAGGAAAGTGTTGCAGCCAGTCAACAGCGATTCGGGCTTGTTGGCATGGGAGTCGATACCGGGCTGGCCGTCAAAGACAATGACTCGGTCGGCAAGGTAGGTGGCCATGATGAAATCGTGCTCGACAATGAAGGCCGTCTTCTTAGCGTGCATGATGAAGCGCTTGATGACGCGAGAAGCAATGATACGCTGCTCGGAGTCGAGATAGGCAGAGGGCTCATCGATGAGATAGATATCGGCAGGCATTCCGAGGGCAAGGACAATGGCAACACGCTGCAATTCACCGCCAGACAGATTCTTGACTTCCTGGTCAATAAAGTCATCGAGTTTGAGCGGCTTGACGACATCGGTCTGGAACTGGGGCGACAGGAACATGGCCCTAATCTTCTTGAAGAAGAGCTGGCGGACAGTGCCGTCGAACTTGGGGGTGATGGTCTGGGGTTTCATGCTGATGGACATCTCGGGAACGGCCTTCTGGCTATCAGGCTTAAGCGCGCCTGCCAAAAGACGACAGAAGGTGGTCTTGCCGGTACCGTTCTCGCCCATCATAACGATGATCTCGGAATCAGTAAAGTTACCGGAGTCGATCTTCAGCTTGAAGTTTCCAAGGGTCTTCTCCATGGCGGGGTACTTGAAAGAGCGAGACTTGTCGGCATAGACATCTTCAGTTCCCTCAGAGATGCGGAAGGTAAGGGACTCGTCGCGGAAACGAAGGTTCTCGGTGGGGATGTGGCCATCGAGGAAGATGTTGATGCCTTCACGGACGGAATGAGGCAGGGTCACAACACCATAGACAGCAGGCTGGCCGTAAAGCACGCAAACGTAGTCGGAGAGGTAGTCAAGGACGGACAAATCGTGCTCGACAACAATGACGTAGTCGTCGGGGCGGAGGAGTGAGCGGATGATGCGCGCAGCGCTCAATCGCTGCTTAACATCAAGGTAGGAAGACGGCTCGTCAAACATGTAAACGTCAGCATTCTGTACACAGACGGTACCGATGGCGAATCGCTGGAGTTCACCACCAGATAGCAGCTGAACTTCACGGTCCATGATATGGTTAAGCTCTAAGCCCGAGGTTAGTAGGCGGCGACATGATAAACGTCACGAGAGGCGGGGGCACGCACCAAGAGTGTCGAGGACTTCCTGCGTGTTGCCAAGGGTCGCGCGAGAGGCAATAAGCGACCGGACGGTCTTGTTAGGGCCACGGATGGACTTGGGAATCTGGTCGACATATTGGGGCTTGACAATGGCACGAAGGTCATCTTCGAGAAGCTTGGTGAAGTAGTCTAGATGGGACGGGATTAGCGGTCGCCTGGGCACGCGGAAATGATGCTGAGGGGTGGGGGCTTACTCTGGAGCTCGGAGCCACGGAAATACTTGATGACGTCCTCCCAGTCAGGTGGGTTGTCGAAACGGCCAAGGTTCGGCTTCAACTTTCCGCTGAGAATCTTGAGGGCAGTACTCTTGCCGATACCATTGGTTCCGACGAGGCCAAGAACATTGCCAGGACGGGGGTGGGGAGACGATGAAGCTTGAAGCTATTGGCCGAGTATCGGTGGGTAAGCTGAGTATCGAGGTTGGTAGGAAGATTGATGATGGTGATGGCACTGAATGGGCACTTCTTCGGGCAAATACCGCACCCGATGCACAGAGGCTCCGAGATGTAGGCGATGCGCGAGTCGGGAGCAACCTCAATACAGAGCTTGCCACTCTTGACCACAGGGCAAGACTTCTTGCATTCTTGGCGACATTTCTACAGATGCGAAGATTGCAATTAGCAAGTGCACATTACATGCGGATATAAACAGGGGGAAAAAAAGAAGGAAAATAGAAGAAGCAATCGACGAACCTTTGGCTTGCACTATATATTATTGGACGTTGTCAAAATTCCCGTGGTTAGTGACGTACTATTATTTCCAACAGAGGGAACATGGACATGGGGATGGCGGGGTTGATAGAAAAGGGAAGGCGGAAAAAAACCACCAGGCACGCGGGGCATCCGTCTCAAAACTTGGCTACGAGGAAATAGGTCCAAACAGGAAGCCCTACCTTGTCGCTATTGACGATGGCCACACTATTCGAATAACCACGCGTTAGTATCAAGCCCGAATCAAGGTCCTCTCACTTGAGGATATGAATGAAGGGGTGGTAGGGCGAGCATGTTGTCGTCGCGGGCGGAGCATACCGAGTGAGTTTGTCAGACATTGTCGTTGCGCGGACACTTGGTCTCTTACACTTTTCGAGCTGTGTTAGGGTTATAGCAACCGGTATGGAATGACGAGGGGTAGGTAATCAGGATGACGCGCAGCTGGCGGCGAGAAGCAATTCAAGGTGCCTTGCGCTCTTTGTACTTGTCACAAGATCCAGGAGGCCCGTCTCGTGAGGAAGAGGAGGAAAGGTCGATGCTCTTTCGCTTGCAAGACGGCGACTCAAGCCAGAGGCAAGGGGACGAGGCAGGTTTTGTTCGAGTAGTAAACGGTAAGGGAAGTGTGGCGGGATGGGAAGTTGGGAATGGCAGGTGGGGTGGAGAGAGATCATTCACAGCGTAGGTAATTATTTTTCCCTCGTCTCTGAGTCGTCGGTTCTGCCTGGGCTTTTGCCGCTCCACAACCACGCATGGCCTGGGCTAAATTTGATTTTTGAATGTGCGTTCAATCAACTATTGTTTAATGTTTGATTTGCTCGATGGAAATCGAACCTCCGGTCTACGTTTGAAAATTGCATGTTGCCTTCCGATCTACCTGTAACCTATGCGGACCATGGCAATGTTCTGTTTCCCCGTGCCGGTTGATGCTCGATCTAAGCCCTTGACTTGTCGTCATGAGATGAGGAGCAAGGGCCGGCCACATTGCTCCAGCGCGTTGTGGCGTAATGGATGGGTTTGTGTCCACACAGGCCCCGTTTCGTAGGAGACTCGGCCGTGAAGACTTTTACTTTTCCACATCCACAAAACCCTCGAACTGGCCAGAGACCCACCACCACATTCGATTGCCGCATCAAATGGTGACGGCCTCCCCGTGCAAGCAGTTCCTACCCACTTGACCAACGATCAATTGACGGTTATAGTAGGCTCGCGCCTCTCCCGTGCTAGCAAGCCTTTTGCCAAAAGGACTGGGAGACAGGGCTAAACATCAGGAACAATGCTCCAGCTTCGTACACCGAAACATCAGCCTTCACTTGTGGACACCAAATTTTGGCCGTAGCTCTTACACTCGTGCACTCACCCCAGACCCACTATTGCCCATGACTAAGCAAAAAAATATATCCGTCGTTCGTTTGATGTGAGATGCAGGTAAGGACACGATGGAGCACACCTGTTTTCTTGGTATGCAAAGAAGGGGAGGAAGGAGAATACAAATAAAAAGAAGCAAGTTGTCTCTGAAGAGAGCACTCGTGTTTTTCCCTCTTTTTTTCTTTTTCTTTTTCCCTCTATTTTTCAAGAGAGACAGCAAGGATGCATAATCCTTGGCATGCATTATCTTCGAAGAATCTTCGTCCTCGATCTTTGAGGCCCGAGTTGACCATGAAGCCTAGACTGCCCACTTGTTCACCGAAATTATCTTTCCATGCTCTTTGATTCATAGCTACATATAGAATTTGTAAAGACAAGAAATATATGGAGTGTCAAGCCAAGTCTTAAGCTTCTCTGAAAAGGGCTTGTATTTTCAGCATCTCTTTGCTCTTTGAGGGAAGGCCTCTTCTGCTCACCTGTCGTGTATGTGAGGTCTTAGAGGCCTCAATTATCAGGATCCAAATTCGGTTGTGTGTAACATCCATAGATCAATTGATGGCTTGGTCCAGTGGGACAGTGCCAGCAGAATCTGATCAATTGATGACAGGCTGAGAGTGCTTGGCTTCAAGTTCCAAACTTGAGGAACTGGTGGGTGATCAGACCCTATGGCCATTTGGGGTTGGCTGTACTGGTGACTACATCCTAGGCAAATTTCCACTGGAAGTACATGTACCTGCTCCCTCCACTTTTTTCTTCTTAGCTTCTTGTGTCGCCTTCCTTCCCCCAATGCCTAAGCCTTGACACCCACCCTCTGAAATTTCCCGCTCTAACCCACTAAACTCTTCCCTACCTAATTCTTCCCCTGCCACCCTCACCCGCGCTTTTTTGTCACCATACTTTCCCACCAACCTCACCTCACGCTTTCTCTTCTCCCAATTCTTCAGTCCCATCCATAAACATCCTGCCATCTGACCTTCTAATACCAGCATTTGGTCACCACGATTCTGCTTTTATGCTGCCTGAGAGCCACCCTTCTTTCATGACTCGTAGGTCCATCACCCTTCCCCACCAGCAAGAAAAACACGACCCTGGTCTGAGCTTGCCATGGCGATGTCGGAACCTCGCTCTTCCTCTACCGATTCCGTTGCGAAAGGCGAATCCACGACGCCTTCATACTACCCGAAACGGGTCTGGAGCCTTGAATAGCGGTTTCGGCGGATGGAATCGAATCGTATTGATGGTTCTGCCTCACCTGTCCTGCTCTGCTGGTCCCCTTTTCTCTTCTACCTCGCCCAATTGCCCTTTCATCCCTCGTCAGCCTCGCGGCCATCAAAAGCTCATCGAGAGTGCGACGAGACGAATACTACATCCTCCTGCTCCCTTTACATACCTGGGTTGTTGTAAATGACTTCCCTCGTGGAATTGCTTATCTTGGACTGCTCTACGATGCCCCAACGCCTCTCCCTCACCTTGCTAACCTTTCCCATCCTCCGTCTATAGCAGGCAGCCTGATCAACACGGCTCAAAATGTCATCCTCATCGGAGTCCAGTCCAGCTAACGGACACGTCTCTCCCCCAACAATAATGTCGACGGAATTCGATGCCGGCGATGCCGCCTCGGATAGCGAAATCTCCGACATCCAAGACGTTGTGGTTGCCGACCCTGCCTCGCGCGCGTCCTCCGTCGCGAACGAGGTCCCCACTTACACCGAGGCAGACCCAGATGCGTCAGATCTAGAAAACCAAAATGAAACCGATTCGGCCGAAGATAACAACTCGGATGATGGAGACTTTGATATGGATGATAACCCCCATCCCCCAGAGCGATGCCGTTGACGATGTCGACGATGCCGGCTCGAGCTCCCAAGCGTCTCGGCGCATCGCCAAGCGCAAGGTTGCCGTTGAAGAGGATTATATTCACCAGAACCCTGAGTTATATGGCTTAAGGCGCAGTGTATGTTTCTTCATTGCCTTTCTCTCTCGCTCTCAAACTGCGTCTTGTTTCTTGTTCGACTTGCCTCTAACATTACTTTTGTTTAGGGCCGCGCTACACAGGCGCGTCGGTTTGTGAGTAGTACCCTTGCCGCCTATCTGTGACCTCTTCCAACCTCGTCGATTGCTAACCCAGTTCTCCTTCTTTGCCGAATAGGTTGATTCCGATTCTAGCAGCGAGTCCGATGTCGTCCCCACTAGTCGACGTCCGCAAAAGAAACGACGCGTTGAGACGTCTCAACCCAGTATGCCGCTTACCCCTCCGTTTCGCCCACCTCGCCTCGCCCACCTTTCCATGTCTCTTTTTAACACCTTCTTCTCTAAATAGGTTCTAAACGGGCTACACCCGCCCGCCAACCATCTGCCTCTGACTCAGACTCTGACAATTACGGTGGCGCACGCGCCAAGACCTTTCGGCGGAAAGCTCGCCGTCAAAGAGAAGAGCAACCCGACCAAGTGCTGGCTGAGAAGAGATGGTCGAGTCGTCGCGCCGCCCAGGTTCAACAAGGCATGTATCAAGAAAGCAGCGCGGAAGAAGAAGAGGAGGCGTCAGCAGATAACAACGATTACCTCGAAGAATACGTGGACACGCGCCCTTATATCGAAAAGGTAGTTCGCCACCGCCCCAAAGTCGGTACCGAGATCGACTACAGTGCCCGTCGAGACGACTTCGAATACTATATCAAGTGGCAAGGGCAGAGTCACCTTCACGATACCTGGGAAGAGATTGATGACCTCAAGGAGTATCGAGGTTATCGCAAAGTCGAAAATTACTTCCGGAAGACGGTGGAGTTTGAGCTTCATCTCAAGTACAGCGACGACATCCCCCGGAGAGCAAGGAGCAATATCTCCTGGACAGGAGCGAGACGAAGAAGCCCTTGAAGACTACACCAAGGTTGAGAGAATCGTTGCTGTTAGAAACGGCGAGCATGGTACCGAATACTTTGTCAAGTGGAAGGGTCTCGCCTACGATGAGTGCACCTGGGAGGCGGAACTCGACATCAGCCCCGAGTTCCAAGACAAGATCGACCAGTACCTCAACCGATCTGTCCGCTCTTGGGGCTCGGATCGCAAAGAGGCGAGCGTCAACACTCGAACTAGGATGACGAAGCTCGAAGAACAGCCTTCTTATATCAAGGGCGGCGAGTTGCGGCAGTTCCAGCTCCTGGGCCTGAACTTTTTGTGTTTGAACTGGACGCGGGGAACAATGTCATCTTGGCTGACGAGATGGGTCTGGGCAAAACGGTGCAATCCGTTTCCTTCTTGAGCTGGCTTCGCAATGACCGCCTACAGGAAGGCCCCTTTCTTGTCGTCGCACCTCTCAGCGTCATCCCCGCGTGGTGTGATACTTTCAACAACTGGGCTCCCGACTTGAACTATGTTGTCTACCTCGGCCCTGATTCTGCGCGCCGCATCATTCGCGATAACGAATTGCTGGTGGATGGCAACCCCAAGAAGCCCAAGTTCAATGTCCTCGTCACTTCTTACGACTACATCCTTGCAGACTGGCAATTCCTTCAGACGATCAAGTGGCAGGTCCTTGCTGTCGATGAGGCTCATCGTCTCAAGAACCGGGAGTCTCAACTCTACGCCAAACTCTTCAATTTTGGTGTACCTTGCAAAGTTCTAATCACGGGTACTCCCATTCAAAACAATCTTGAGGAGCTCGCTGCCCTGCTTGATTTCCTGAATCCCGGCAAAGTGCAAATCGAGGGAGACCTTGAATCTCTCTCCGCCGATGATGCTCAGGTGCAATTAGAGAATCTCCACAAGGCTATCTCGCCCTACATTTTGCGGCGTACTAAGGAAACTGTAGAGTCCGACCTTCCCCCGAAGACGGAGAAGATTATCAGAGTCGAACTCTCCGACGTCCAACTCGAGTACTATAAGAACGTGTTGACGCGCAATTATTCTGCGCTTCGCGACGCCAACGGCCAGAAAGCGTCGCTGCTCAACATCATGATGGAATTGAAAAAGATCAGCAATCACCCTTACATGTTTCCGGGCGTCGAGGACAGGGTTCTCGCGGGAAGCACCCGTCGCGAGGACCAGATCAAGGGCTTGATCACGAGCAGTGGAAAGATGATGCTTCTGGATCAACTTCTCACCAAGCTCAAGAGAGATAACCACCGCGTGCTAATTTTTAGCCAGATGGTCAGGATGCTTGACATCTTGAGCGACTACCTGTCTTTCCGTGGCTACAAATTCCAGAGGCTCGATGGTACCATCGCCGCGGCCCCCGTCGCATGGCCATCAACCACTTCAACGCTGAGGACAGCGAGGACTTTTGCTTCTTGCTCTCTACCAGGGCAGGCGGCCTTGGTATCAACCTGATGACGGCCGACACCGTCATCATCTTCGATTCCGATTGGAACCCTCAGGCGGATTTGCAAGCCATGGCGAGAGCCCACCGAATCGGTCAGAAGAAGCCTGTCAACATTTATCGCCTTGTTTCGAAGGAGACTGTCGAAGAAGAAGTGTTGGAGCGCGCTCGCAACAAGTTGCTTCTCGAGTACCTGACCATCCAGGCTGGTGTCACCGATGAAGGCAAGGCCTTCCGGGAGCAGTTCAACAAGAAGGGTCTCAAGGTTGATGGACCTAGCTCTTCGGAAGACATCCAATGGGTTCTCAAGATGCGTTCGCAGAAGATGTTTGAGCAGACTGGTAACCAGGAGCGTCTTGAGCAGCTTGACATCGACACGATCCTTGAAAATGCGGAGGTCACTAAAACAAAGGTTGACGACAAGATCAATTTGAGCAGTGGTGGCATCGATTGGGATAACTTTATGCAGTACACGGACGTCAAGGTGGACGATATTGCCCTCGACTGGGACGAAATCATTCCTGCCGAACGCCTGGAAGAAATCAAGGCTGAGGAAGATGTCAAGAAGCAAGAGGAGTACATTGCGAAGCTCGCGGAGGAGAACGCACCGAGACGTGCCGCCATGAAAAGTCGCAACATGGAATCTGATCGTGCTGATCGCCTAGCAAAGAAGAGGGAGCGTCAGATGAAGAAGGAGCAGGAGGTTGCTGCTCACCGTGCGTCGTTACGAGATCCGAAGCGCCCTCTGACTGAAAAGGAGCAGAGGAATCTCATCCGTGCATTCCAGCGGTTCGGATGCATGGACGAACGAGCGGACGAAATTGCGGAGGACGCCCGTCTGGCGGATCGCGATCGTGGATTCCTGAAGCAATTCATTACCGATTTCATCAACGCCTGTGAGAAGGCCATCGAAGACAACAACGCTAAGCTGGCTCAAGTTGAGAAGGAGATGTCAAGAGCTGTGGCTAAAAAGGACAAGAAGGCGGTGTTGTTTGATTTCGCCGACCTCAAGAAGGTAAACGCCGAGACGCCCTTGGAACGGCCGCCCCAGCTTCGCCTTCTCCGTAAAACGGTGAAGACTCACGGCGATTGGAGGACATTTCGCCTCCCCGAGGCTTCCAAGGCTGCGCACTACAGCTGTCCTTGGGGCGCCCGAGAGGATGCCATGCTTCTGGTGGGAATCGACAGGCACGGCTTTGGTGCTTGGGGCCAAATTCGCGATGACCCCGCGCTCGAGATGGGTGACAAACTCTTCCTCGAAGAGCACCGAATCGAGAAGAAGACGGAAAGAGACAAGGTTGGGGACAAAAGATGAAGGCGCCCGGCGCTGTCCATCTTACCCGCCGTACCGAGTATCTATTATCAGTATTGCAAGCCAAGTACACAGATGATGTCTCCGCCCAGAGGGCAGTGGATGGCCACCATCGAGTCAAGAAGCAAGCCTTGTCGAACGGTCACCGAGCATCCCCTGCACCTGGGATGGCGAGAAAAGGCAGCTACCAGCGCGACCGTGATTTCGAGCACCGCCGGTCCCATAGCATGACGGACGACCGTGATACTCCGAGATCTGAGCTCAAGCGGAAACATAGCCAGAAACTCGAGCATGAGCGTGATCGATCCGCCAAGTCTCGCCGAGCGGAAGACCCCAGGCGTGCGAGGGGTTATGACGATGAGGGTTCCCCACGATCGGACAAGCGCAAGCGTCGTGATGACCGGGACGATCGTGCCACGCTCAAGCATCGGCGGGTAGAAGACTCTTCTCGACGGTATTCGGATGACCCCGGCGCCGAGACGACCGGGACAGGCCTTCGGATGAGCGAAGACGACACGAACATCGTCCCAAGGAACAGGATGGCGCCGGAGAAGATCAACGCTCCAAGGCACTGAGTCGTTTGGCCCACCTTCGTCGACTGGGTGACCATCCTGAGGCACGCAATACTGATGAGGACGCCATGCTATGGTATCTACTCAAACCAGTTAGAAACAACTTTGAGTGCATTCTCTCGACGACGAAGGAGTCGGTCAAATCCAACAAGGAACGAGCGTCGATCTTTGGACGCGAGCTTGTCGCTATTGGCGACTTTCTTAGCGAGAAATCGAAGGCAGACAATCTTCCCCAGTATATCGTTGATAGATTTTGGTAAGTCTTTATTCATCTTGGCTTTTCTCCCCTACCCTTTCCCCTAACCAAGTGAGAGGGCGCACCGAAGCTAATAACTGTGTGTATGCAGGGATTTCTTGGGAAATTTGTGGCCGATTGAAAGCACCAAAGGAGGGGCCATTGACGGCACCAAGCTCAGCACCATGTACAAGAAGCTTCTCGCCTCGAAGCAAGCCAGGGAGGCTCAGGGTGGCTCTGGCGCAGTGATTCCCCGTGCCAACGGCGCGTCCTCGTCCGTCTCCAAGGCAGAGGCCTAAACTCTCACCCACCGCACGCACTCGACCTGATAGGCTTGGGGTACATGAATGGGTTTTATTTGATCTTCTTACTGCGGGATCGAGGCTTGAATCGCAGTCGTACACCCTCTGATATACTGCTCTCGTCCATCATGCCTATTCCCGATAGGTCACTTCTTTTTCACGCCAGCCGCTATTAGCTCTCTCCCGGCATTGTCACGGCTTTCGTTTTGACAATGTTCGATGGGAGAGGGGGTGGTGGCTGTTTCGATTTGCATTTAACGGCATAGTTTCTGGCGTCTGGTCTAAATTTTCGCGAGGCTCTACTCTGCGTTTTACACCTTTTCTTCTTTTTGACCTTTTTCTTGCCCTCTCCATGACGTCCTTTTCTTTACAATCAGCTGTTCTACTTTACTGGGTGTTGTATTTCTTAAACTGGGCATTGCTGGTGTGTAAGGTGTGAGGATAAAAAGTTGCGAAGCAAGCGTCTACATACCCCATTCTTCAAGGTTTGCATTGTACAAGGGGGTAACATCTGGGACTGTCAATGTCCCCTTTTGGGCGGGATATCATGTCTTTTGTTATCATTATCTGGGCTTTGAACGTTTTCTCGTTTCGCCCCGTGTGCCGGGAAATGGACTAGACAAACATGAAAGGAAGAGGCGAGTCACCCTCGCTCTCTATCTCTCTTTATCCAATACCTGGCCGTGCCTTTTGTCCCGTTGATTCTAGTATGTCTTGCACGATGGTAATAGCAGTATCAGACAGATCTGTTGGTGATGTTCCCAGTCCCAAGGACTCCTCCCAGCTAGCACTGAGATCCCGCACTTTCCAATGCTTTTTTCTTATCCCTTGTGTCCGCATCGGTCCCCTTAGTTTCCATCCCAGGGTCTCTCTTTGGTCGGCACTGGTGTCCAAGAGAGGATCGGGTTTCGGTTCGAGAGCTCGGCCGACTGCCGTTTGTAGTATTGTGCCTGCCTACAGGTTGTAGGGCTCCCCTCCCGCCATGCGTTTATCAGTCCGTCGCCAGCGTCTCTCTGCTGCTTTGGCGGGCTTCGACTCGGACATACACAGCGCGTCAAACAAGGTTCGATATGGTTGCCCGGGCCTTGGTTCGTGAGGTCCAAGTCACCTGACCTAGTTATCGACGGCTGCGAGTATGTACCGCACGCCACGCTTGCCCAGCCAGACAAGGAATAGGGAAGACTCCGCAAAGGGGAACGAGCATGAGGATAGGTCACGATCGAGTGGGACGTATTCAGCGTGTTGAACAGAGTAAAAGGGGTCTTTTATGGCAAATCACCGCTAGATATCTGTTCTACGGGAAGGGTCGATGCGAAACGCAAAAAGGGGACCGAGACCCGAAAAAAGGAAGAAAAACCTCCTTCCCCTCCGCAAACGCCAGAATCCCAGGCTTCTAAAATACATCCAGGTGATGCAGACGGGAAAAAAAAAAAGTTGATTGCGGAACCGCAAGTCTCACGGGGTAAAACGAGAGATGAGGATGACAAGATAGAAATATGGGGAAGGACAGATGTCTATTCCCTCGCTTGAACCATGCACCTGATATAGAAGGATTGAAGCAAAAAAGTAGAAGAAAAAAAGACCGAACCAACACCAATGTGTGTGGCGAATACTCGTCGCCTACTCTATCATAGCCAGGATGATTAAATAAGAAGACAAAAGAAAGAGAATGGCCCCTCTTCCCCTAGTTCCTATTCTGCACAGCTGATGATTGCATACAAGTGGGAGAAAAGGGGAAAAGGAGGCCGCAAAAAAGCAAGCAAGGGCGCTAAACAGTGTAGGTCGCAGAAACCAGCACAGTTGTGAGACCTGGCACTAAGGATTCCCTGCTTGGAGGTGGAGGAGAGGCGCGGCGGCCTATGCAGAAAACACTGGGAGACCGGTGACGGCGCGTCTCGCCAGCGTCGGCGAAGGGGACTTGTATCATCGACGTCGCTTTCCAACTGTCGCTCAATGGTAAAGACAAATTCATCCGAGGCGCGGCGGGCTGGCCGTAAATCGGGGAGAGCAGCGGCCATGGCAGAGTCGGGGAGGACGCGAGAGAGGTGAGGGTCGAGGTATCGGAGTCGTCGGCGGGGCCGGTAGCCGTAAAAGACGTGTCGATGGTGATCTTTTTGTCCAGCTTGGATGGGCGAGCGGCCCCGCTCTTGACAGTCTTGAACGTATCCGCCACGGTATTTTGGAGGGACGAGGTCGTCTTCTTGGGCTTTCGCGATTTCGGGGCGCGTGGCTTCGCGGGCCCTTTCTTGACACCAGCCTTGGCGGCGCTGGTTGTGGTGGCAGGTTTGGCGGAGGAAATACCAGCCGACGACTTGACAAAGGAAAGCTTCGTTTGCGACTTGAGGGAGATCCTGCTGGTCGCGATGCCTGAGGGCTTGGGGCTCGCCCTCGGGGTAGGGATCCCTGGACCTGATCCACGTGCTTGGAGAGGACCTCGGCGATTCCACCAGCACCATCCTGAGCTGACTGGGAGCGTGGGGGCGATGCGAGACAGACCTCGACCTTGCTCCGTCGCAACATTTCGACGCGGCGCTTCAGATCCTCTTCGGTGAGCTCGGCCGCTTCGCCCGTATCCTTGTCGTCCCAGCGGGGAGCTGGGCCAGGTCCGCTATATCGTCACACTTGCCCTTGACGATGAGATCCCAGCAATCCTTGAATTCGACGCCCGAGGGCTCGGGGTCGAGATTGACCCACGCGGTGAAGCCATCCCTGCGGCCGCGCGTAACCTGGCAGAACTCCTTGACCAGGCGGCGGACGCCGGGAATCTTGAGGCTGGTGCCAACAACAAGAACAGCGTCGGGGCGGTTGCGCAAGTCGGCCATGCTCACGTTGCCAATGGCATCCTCGTCGGGGTTGGACTCGTTGTACAGGACAATTCGTGGTCGGATACGGCCAACGCCCTGGCTACGCTTCCTCGCAAACTTGATTCGCAGTTCCTCTTGGGTTTGGCAGGTCTGGCAGAGAGGGGCCTCGTGGCTCGTGAATCGGTCGCCGTCGAAGGATTCGAGTTCTCCGCACTTGGTGCACACCATCTTCTGGAGCCCGCCGTGGAGCTGGACAGTGACGGGCCAAGGGCCCTTGATGTTGAGGGGCACATTCGTGGCTAGGGGTTGCATATTGGTATCGATACAGTCGACATTTTGGGTATACAGGCGCATCAAGCGGCCCTCGGCGGCCAGGGAGGCTAGCAGATGGTGGAAGGGGGTGGGGGTAGCCTTGCTCGTCATAGAAGCGAGCTCGCGGACCATGGTGTGGAAAGATTGGGTGGAGGAATCGTCGCGGTAGACGGCGGCATCGAACAGGTGTTTACCGGAGCCTTTGAGCTTGTGCTGCGTCTTGAGGGTCGCGAATAGTCCGGAACTGGAACGAAAGTCGGGAATACCTGCGGATACAGAGATGCCGGCACCAGCAATGACGACAATCTTTTTCTTTTTCCGCAAAACCTTGAGAAGGCGTTCCAACTGGGCACAATCGTCACTAGTATTGTCCTCGAGGGATTCGCACAGAGTTTGGAGGTCAAGATACTCGGTCGTTCGCGGTTTTGGCTGGGTAATCTTGCGTTTTTTAGCAGGGGGGCCCATCGGCTGTAGAGGGTTCCGGCGCGCCCACGCAAATCTCGTCACCGTGAAGTGCGCTGACGGAGCGACTCGTCGCCTTGATGGGAGACTGTGACCCAGACAGGGATGTGGTGGCGGAAGGAGACGGGTAGCCATTGATTGAAATATCCATATCGGGTGGGCTCGCGGGTAAGGAGGGCGATTTGGAGAGGATAGATAGTGGCGATGAAGGCAACGAGGAGGGTGACCTGGAGGCGGGCGGCGTGGAGATTTGGCCGGCTTCGTGATCCTCGTCACATCTCGAGAGGGCCTCGGGGTTATTATCCAAGGCTAATAATTGAGACATATCGCGTCGGGCAAGGAGGTGCGAATACGCAACCTCGTGCTATGTGAAGGAGAAGGGAGAATACCGATGATGAAGAATAAATGTAAAAGGGGGAGGAAGGTGAGTGGATGAGTGGATCCCTGAGGGATATAAGAAGAGTGGAATGAATTGAAGATGGGAGAGAAAGGGAGTTGGAGAAGAGAGAGTGTGAGAGAGACAAAGGGTCGGCGAGAAGTAGAGGAAGAGTGAATAGGTGACGGGGCCAGGCGGATCCTCTTGAGTTATTGGGGCATAGTTTGAATTTTCCTTAGTTCGATATCAAAGGGATTTTGTAATCATGGTGTGAAGAGGGAAAGAGATGGGTTTTGGGTTTGTTTTTTTTTCTTCTTTCTTAGAAAGCGAATAGGTCGGTCGCTGTGAGAAAGGAATCCGGTAAAGGAGAAGAGGACCCCAGATCAGTGGAGAAGCAAATTGTTTGGGGGAGCAGGCAAAGGCCGAGGCCAAAGAGCCAAAGACACCAGCAATGGGAGCGGGTCCGGTGGTTGTTTTTAATTCGGCTGTATTCGAAAGGCGCTCTGGGCTGGGCGGAGAGGGAATTCGATCTCAGGAAGAGAGAATGTGTTTGTAGGAGTGAGAGAGAGAGAGCGACAAGAGAGAGGAGAGAGGAAGGGGGCGGCAAGTGTACAAAGAGGAAGAGGAAGAGAGGGGCGGTGCCGAATGGAGGTAAGTCGAGGGTGGGAAATACTGGAAATGAGGGAAGAGTCCAAAACAAAAAAGGAAGAGATGGACGGAACAGGCCAGGAAAAAGAATGGGGAAGGGTCGATGCGCAGAGCCGGGTCGGGTCGGTGGTTGCGTCGTCGGGAGGTTGATGTGTTGGACTGGTGGACTGGTGGACTGTTGGACTGTTGGACTAGGGGAGGCACAGTCTGCCAATATGTGAATGTGGATGGATCGATGGGCTGGAGGGATTGATGATGTCGATAGAGTTTCCTGGGCTGAATGGGCCGGCCGCACGGCTGTTTTGGTTGGACTTCTCTTGGAGTGATGAGGGGATAAAACAACAGTACAGGACGGGCAATAATAAAGGGATCGCTGAGCCGTTGTGGTTGCGGGTTTTGCCTCGTCACGGAAACCGCTCTACTTTAGATTCATTCACTTGGGTGGGGGACGGAAGAAATCTATTGCTTTGGCAAAGAAAAAGGGAAAGCGGAGGGGGGACGAGGACCGGGGGTGGGAATGGCAATGGGAATGGCAATGGGACTGGGAATGGCGACTGGGAATGGCGACGAGGAACGGGGACTGGGAACGGGAAGATTAGACTTCCATGGAGAAGCACAAAAGGTCTGGGCTGGACTGAACTGACGTGATGATAATACGGTGTGAGTTGTGAGTTGGAAGCGACTAGTTGGGCCCGGGCCGTTGAACAGCAAATGTTGTTGTTTTCCTTTCCAATGCTCTCCTGTTTCCCATCCTTTTCCTCGCCTCAAGTGCTCTCTTTCTCTTGGTCAAATCCCCTTGTTTTCGCTTTTCCACCCCTCGGCCGAACAAGTGCGGTCGGGCGGGCTTGCACCGATACTAGTGGCCAGAGCCATCCGATGGCCGACAAATATCTTGTCCCTGACCTCCCTCACGTCAAATGTTCTCTCTCCTCTTTGAATCACAGCAAGCTGGGGCTCTTGCAATGCCACATCACTCAAATCCAAAAAGGGTCCGCTGTCTCGATACATGTAGATGGTCGATGGTGGGTTTGCTCATATTTCTCACGCATGCAATATGATGTTGAAAATATCCATTCTCCTGGACACAGCATTGCCCCACAAACCGGCCTGTAACCGTGGTTAAGCCAAAAGACCTAGAGCACGGGAGCCGGGACTGGCATTAATCAGTTTGACTTTGACTCAAGTCGTCATCTCACATCAATTGAGCGATGAAGTACATCCATCGCCGCATGCACCGTATGGAAAACAGAAGGGGTTTCAAAAGGGGCCACTAGCCTGCATGGGTACTGTCGAAGGAAGAAGGTTTTCTTCTTGCTGGTCAAGATGTCGAAGAGCCGGCAACTATTAGCCATTCGCCATCGGAGGCAGGGCACGATCGGAGGCCACTCTTAGACTGGTTTCTCTTGCCACCTCTCTTAACCCATTCAAACATACGCACTCTTGTAATCATCACACGCCTACCCAGGAAGATATATTGAAGAATCCGACAAGAGTTTCGGGCGCACTTTTGGGGGAAATGAGGCCAATCGATTATCCGCTCACTGCTTTTCTCCTGGATGAGGTCCATGAGTACATCAACGAGTGTACCTCCCGATTCAATGGATCCATGGATTCATACAAGTAGATCGATCAAGTTATTTGCACGTTGCAGCCAGTCCCCGAACCGTTTCCCACCCTTTCGAAACAACAAGAGTGCCACAGGGCGCCAGCGAGAGGAGCGAGACGTGAGTAGGCCTGGTAGGGAAAATTCGGTGTCCAAGCAACTCAAAGCCGCCCCAGGCTGCCTACGCGGCGGATTGTGCCAACACTTCCCGAACGCTCCTGTCCAAATATTTCTGCCCGAGCCGCCATGGTGTAAAACCGACTCATGGTGCACTGCTGTCAATCCCTCAAACCGAATCTACTTCACACATGTCGTAGTCGCCTTGATAAGCTTACATGCAAGCTACAACCATAGGCCAACTAGGTGATCTTTCTTTTTATTTAGCTTCGAACCCAAACAGTCATCGGGTCTCGCATGTGGCGCCACACGGCTGATTTTTGACATGAGGGACGTTGAGCGCTGTCGACAAGACAGTGACGTCCACGTTCGTGGTTGAGCTGTACACCCTCATTTACTGTTAAGGTTGGGATGAAAAACACAAGACAAAGCAAGCTTAGAGTATCGACCTAACCACGGACGACGGACGACGCGGGCCTCGAGGGATTTCACTCCACAAGCTCAAAACCAAGCCTTGGAAGTTTGAGAGGCATAGAAATAATGGTGGCCCCTCGCCCGAATCTCCAACAACCCACAAAGTTAAGCCATGCACATCCGGATGCAGCAGCGTAGGGGTCGACGTGACAAAGCCGACGGCCGACGTGGAGATCTCATCCCATCTGCAGTGCGGTAGATGATGCAAGTCAAACTGTCCCCCAGGTACCCGTGTCAGCACCTCCCCTTGGTCTCGACCGGCATTTGGTGGGGAGTGGGCGTCCAAAACATACATTTAAAGCTGGGGAAGCCGACCCCATCTTTGTACTAGTGACCTGAGCCGCGGGTCGGGAGCGAGTGCGGAAGAGTGAGGAGTGGAGTAGCATTATCTAATCCTCCGTCAACTGCCCAGTGCACCCACAGTGCCCTGCATATGGTCATCTTACCAAAAGAAAACAGATCCCTCAAAAGAAAACAACAGACCAAGGACATGTCGTTGCCAGGCCTACAGCCACCTTTAGTCAGCACATCCCTGAACTCACGTGTCTTCAATATTATGTAAGATATCTCTTCTTCCCTTGTCTGGAGTCAAGATTTAATGGCAATATCGAGAGTGAGAGAGGGGAGAGAGGGAGAAAAACAAAGAAGAGGAAAATAAACTCATCCATATATCCATCTATAGAAATACACTATGGCATATCTTGGTATAGGGTAGTCAGCCACCCTCCCTCTACTTTTCCTCGACCTGTAAGTATAATAGTTGATAGATGTAGGGTGTTGTGAAGCATCAGATAAGTTTGGGCAGGTGCCACCCCCACCACACACCCCATCCGCCTAGTTCCATGGCACCTGCCGACCTTTGTCTTATGGAGCCCCGCCGTTCGCAGCTTGACACCGAGAAATTGAGCACAAGTCACTTATGCATTCACTCCACAAGCTCATAGTAGCCATTCCTAGAGCTTCACTCTCAACTCAAGCTGCTTCAATCCAACAGACACAAAAATATACCCCTCCAGTCAACCCTAGAATACAGTTCAGTATCATTCACCCTCAATTAAGACACAGCTCCTGACCTCTCTATCTTCATCCCAGTCCTTCCTTCTTAAAGAATTGAGTCCATCTCGCTGTTGTCAAAGAGGAGTGCCCTCTAGAGGAAGGCTGAGAGGACGGGCCTATCTCCACCCACCACCCAAGCCATGCCCGCGGTCATCCTTATCGTCACCATATCGCCCTATGATTCCAAGTTATCCAGTGTCTAAAGGGAAGTAGCTAGCAGAGAGCTTGGATTTCCAGGGTGACTGGAATTACTCGTTCTGTTCGTTGGGCAAATGACCTCAAATCCCATCCTCTGTGCTTCTTCAATCCTCCGATGAACCAAGTCCTCGCCTATCCTTCTCCCCAGCAAAACCTAGCCTCAACTTATCTTCTCCTCCCCCTTCTCCGTGTATACTCGTTTGAGATATTGCAGTTTTCTCAAGTATTATACCCCTTGCGCCTTGTTCTCTATCTCCTTCCTTTTCCATCCATCTCTCGTCGACATCTCCCTCACACTTCGTCATGGCTATGGATGTTACGACGGAGGCTTCCAACGGAATGCCCTTTCTTGAAAACTCCCTGCCGAGCGTTCTTCCGGACGTGGATGATCTTTTGGCGGGGAGGTTCCGGTCAACCTAACCCTCTCACCCTTGACCAAAGAGCTTCGCCGAAGGGTGGACGACATTCGTCGACGGGGTTGCTACCAGTATGCAAATCAGGATAAACCTTCGTCCCTAAACCCGATATTCCTCAAGAGCATATCTAACTTATATCTATAGAACGGTTGCTTGGTCAAAATCTGGCACCATAGCCTCCATCACTCCCGATGGTCTCTATGTTGAGTTCAGGTTTCTTCGCTGCAATCCTGATGACGGCTCCTGGCAACTCGGTGAGCCTACGCGGTGTGATCTACTCTCCGGCTCCGACACGGTCCCTCTCGTCCACCTGGCCTGGAGTCCTACTGCTGTCCCCGAGCTAGCCGTGTTGGACGGCGTGGGCCGGCTCTCTCTACTCGCCTTCCCCCACGCTCTCAACAAGGCCCACCTCTCCCGGAAATGGGACGCGGATCTAGTGGATGATCTGAACGCTGTTGTCGGTTGCCACTGGCTAAACCTCATGCCGCCGAGTCGTCAATTCAACGTCTTGCACGGACCTGCCGTCAAAGATAACAACAAATACCGCTATGAGACCTCTTTCATACACAGCTTTGGACCCTACCATCCAAATGCCACCAAAAGCTCCCTCCTCTGCGTTACTACCAACGGCCAGCTCAAGCTATTTTATTCACAAAACACTGGCCGGATTGAGGAGTTGCCGATGGATATCGAGCGGATTGGTAGCACTGACGACATGATAACCCATGCATCAATCTGCACGGACAAGAGTACGTAAAGACGGACGGTAGACCCCCGACACTCTCCGGCCGATGACGCGCCGTAGCGGCTAACCCCTTGGCTTACCTAGACTTCCTATATCTTGCCCTGGCAACCGCATCTCGCCAACTGAAGTTGGTCAAGGTCACGTTGCAATGGGGCCAGGCCGCCAGTGATAAGCCGGGTGTGGTGAACCCCTTGCACCCCACGCTCGTCGAACGACACCTAGCCTCAACGAGCTGGCACCAGTACGGGCCCAACGATTCGCCCTTTGATTCCGCCATGACGCAAATCTCCCACATCGAAGCTCTACCCTCCACCCTCGAAAACGACGGCCAAGCTTGGTCGCCTCCGCTAATCTTGACCGTTCGGTCTTATCTCCCTTCACCAGACTCACCGTATCAAGAAGTAGCCAGCATAATCGACAGGTGGCAGGTCTTGGTCGACCAGCCCCAAACCGTCCATCCGGCGTTCGCCTCCTTGGGAGGGCAGAGGCAAACCCCCACCTCTGATGTGCAGGTAAGTTCATCTCTTGCGAGTCGTCTACTCTCGCGGTTTTCGCCTCCCTTGCGCTGCTCGCCGCTAACACTGTCACCCCTTTGCTACAGCCGGCGACACGACTCCAAAAGGGCGAGCCGCTTACTTTTAACAAAGTGATTGTGGGCCTCCAAGTCTTGCAGTTCGGCAAGGTTCTGGGCATCTCATTTTCCGATGGAACCCTCGAGTACCGCGACCGCCTTACCCTGAATGAAATTTATCACGAGCCTAACGTGGAACGGATCGGGAACCCTCACCAAGTCGGCTTCGTCTTTCCTAATCCAAGCCCTTGTAAGAAAGCCCCCTTGCTCCCCGCCGTTGTCTATCTACCGTTGCCTACGCCCCGGGCTCCTGTCGGACAAAGTCTAAAGATGCAAAATCGCTTTTCCAGGTCTTCAGCTTGTTCTCTCGCCCACAAACTGCTCCCTAGTGCAGGTCGCGGCCGATGGTGCGCTGAAATGGAAGCATCTCCAATTCAGCGAGGAGGATATCGGAAACTCCACACAAGATCGTAAGAGCCCTCCCCTCCTTTGAGCGCCTCGATATTTGTTCTAGGCCGAGGGGCTAACGGCATAACAGCCCAATACTCACCCGTCATTGCTGCCCTCACCGTGGCGACCGGCGCTGCCATCTACTACATGTCAACCTTTGATGATATACTGGCTGTAGCCCGGCCATTTGCCGACAAGAAGCGTAAGTCTAGCATGGAAACATCAGAAGGCTAAATTGGGGGGGCAATCGCTTTTCTTTTCTCTCTCTTCCTTTTCTCGTCGACATGACTTGTGCTTTTGCTAACCCAGCGACACTCTACCCCGATGCACAGGATTCAACTATGACTTTGCCAACGACGTCTTGTCGATGCTCAAAGTTACGGTAGATTACTCCGAGGAAAGTCACCACGATAATCTCGTACGAAACACTCACCTGCAAATGTGCCTCAGCATACTAGCGAACCTGGGCTTCCACGGCCAATATCACCCACGCACATTTGGAAGTAAATTCTCTACTTTAGCCTTGAACGCGAGAAACATTGTGATTCTCGTGACAATCGCGAGCAACGCCCCCAGCCATCTTAAAGACAGGCTAAGCCCTCTCGATGAACCTGGTAAGGACCACCCTTTCACCACTATGCGTCTGCTCAGAAAGACGGAAAGGGCGCAAGGGGATAGGAGAGAATCGTCTAGCTAACCTGCACTCTCTTTTTCTTTTTCTCTTTCACTTTACAGAGGTCATCGAAGCCCTTGCCGGATGCGCAAAGTGGTCCATCGACCTCATATCATGGCTCGCGGACAGCCTCTTCTCGCTCCTAGATGACCCGAAATTTACCGCGCTGGTTAAGGACCCAGCCAAGTTTAGCGCCGTAACAGCCTACTTGCAAGAGAAAAATGACGTGGCGCTCCACCTCCTCCTCTGCTCTTCGACCAGAGGGCTGCTTGTGGCGGTCTGCCGTCGGCTCCAGCACCTCGATGCCCTAGGGAACAGGGTGATTGGGTTCTGGGAGACGCAAGCTTTGCAGCAAGGGCAGCCTGACGCCAAGGTTCCCAACTTCGCCCTCCACCGAGCGTACCAGCGGATGCAGCAAATCACATCTTCGAGCCTCGTCAAGGCTCAGGAGTTTGAGAAGCTACTCGCGCAGCTCGGCAGTGATATCCGGTCCACCTACTCGACGGTGCTGACGGCCATGATTAGTAAGGCGGTCGGCCAGCCACCACCGCAAGCTGGTGCAGCTATTAGCAAGCATCTGGATACAGCGATTAAACAGGCTCAGGCGCAGTGCGAGCTCGGTATGCTCCTCGGAGGGCCCATCCACCCAATGTTTCGCAAAGCCCTCGGACAGTTCTTTGCCAGCCATCTGGCGGGCTTCAAGGTAACGGTCGATCCTGCCAGGCTCTTCTTCCACGACTATTCGCTGCTCGAGATCGCCGCAGATAGCCCCGAAAGCTTTGCCAAGAAGCGGGCCGGGGCGGTCTACATTGACATGTTTCGTAAAGTAGAGATCTCGCCGGGCCAGGCAGACCAGCACCCTAATGGCAACGACGGCGGGGCCAGCGGCAGGAGCAATGGTCCGGTCTGGAGCGGCCTGTGGCGTCGCTGTGTGAGGTGCGCATCCGTGATGGAGGATATGTCGAGCCCTCGGCCTGGCTTCTCCTACGTTTTGGCTCAGCAAAGAAAATGCGCTTGTGGCGGGGTTGGGCATTGCTACCCAAGGGCGAGATTGTGAATTGAGGGCTCAAGGCCCATCTCACATCAATTGATACATATACATATTCTTTTGGGCGGGAGCGAATAAAAACTAGAGCTGTAATGGACGCAATAAAGACTAGCGAGTTGCTTCTGAGCTGGGCAAGCCGGTGTGCCATGTTGTTAGATTCATGTTTTGTCCGCCTTTGCCTTTCCATAATCCCAAGAGTAAAACAAACATAGATAGTACCTGGCTCACATCGGTGATACATCGTCCGTTTTGGGGGCCTCCTCTAATCTCGATTGCCATCATTCGTTCTAGATCAAGGCCAGAAGCTCGTGGCTCCGAAGACGGCAAGACGAAATGCAATAGAACCGAACAGCTACATATAGTGTCAAGACACCGAGTGGCCAGGCATTGAATGAAGAATTTTAGTTTTTCTTGATTTATTTTTATTTCACTTTTTTGTTCATAATTGCCCCACCATTGGATTATTGTTACAATAGTGTGTTCTGGGGTATTGAGTTGGCGACCCAGGGCATCATTGCCACCATTGATAGGTCTCCTCCCCTCCTACAGGCCTGCTAGGCTTCTCTCTCTCTCTCTCTCGTGAATGAATATATGTGTTACTCTCACGACGTATCCTCCTCCTCGTTTCCTCGTGCCCATCCCGTTGCTTCGATCCCGCTTCAAGGAGCAGAGTCACCCTGGAAGTCGACGCTCTGGCTGGCGTCGCCGGCGGCATCCTCGTCGATCTTGATGTTGTTGGCGAGCTTCTTTTGCTTATCGGCAATGTCCTCGGTCCTGTCCTGGCCCTGGGCCTGCTCGATCTCGAGAAGGAGAGAGAAGAGCTCGAGCTTGAGGACCTTGTTCTTGATCTTGCTGTTGGTGAGAGAAGAGCTGGGTTAGCATAAAGAGCGCGGCAGAGACACAAGAGGTGGAGGAGGTGGAAAAAGAAAAAGAGGCAACACATACCCGACCTGAAGGCGAGCTCCCTCTTCGGTGTTCTTGCCGCCAGCAGCCTCGATGGCCTCGTTGAAGCCGCCGGCGTCGGTCTCGGCGTTCTCGGCAGTCTGGCGGGCGGCCTTGAGAATGGCAAGGTCGTCGGCGGAGACACCGGCGAGGTTGGCGCGGAACTCTTCTACCTGTTGGTTGGTATCTCGTTAGCATCATGCGCCGACATTGACTACTTGGGAGAACAAAAAAAAGTGTGCGAGAGCGGGAGGGACTTACAGGGAACTTGGCAGCGACCTCGGCGAGGGCATTTCCGGCGACACCGTCGGAGATCTGGAAGTCGGCATAGTCCTGGACGGAGAGGACGTTCTGCTGGCCGAGAACGGCGGAGACGAAGGCGAAAAGGGCGAGCTTGGAGAACTGCATTTTGGCGGTTTGTGTAAGGGGTGGGAGTGTGAAGATGGGAGAAAAGAGAGAAGTATGTAGTAATGGAAAATCAAGAAAAAAAGGAGGTATAGACAAGCGAAGAGAAGACAGCGCAGCTGTGTGAGAGAGAAAGAAGAAGAGAAGAAGAAGTGTAAGCCGCAGGCTGTGGGAAGAAGGAAGATGGTAGAAGGTGGGTGAGCAAGAAGGAGGAGAGAGTTTAACGATGCGAGGGCATCGTATGCCTTAAGTATTGTTGGAGGCTGTCATCCCATCACGGGTGTCGGGGCCGGGTTAGAGGCCGCACGTACAGACATGGGGCCCAGGGCTACGAGATTCGAAAGGAAGGATGGATTTCCCTTCTCGAGTGCAAGGTCGGTTCCGAGAATGGAATCATGGCCGGGCGGCAATGTCTTGCACCAGGAGCACAGCACACACAGTCGCTCTGAGAGGTGCGCATGGGACCCGCGGCCGGCCAGGGTGATACTATTCCTGCCTACGATCTATTATTTTCTCAAGTGGAGTACTAGGGAATACGGGCTTTTCGATGTGTCCCAAGGGGAAGGGTTGGTCAACCTCAGCTCACCCCGGTTTGGGTGGGCGAGCATCTGCTTAATCCTGGTGAACTTCAAACAGTTGATGATCGGGCGCCACTCCACTTTTTTCTTCTTCTCTTTTTCAAGAAGCGAGGTCACTTGGCTTGGGGGAGAGGTTGAGTGAGGGCGAGCGGGTGACAGCAGAGACAGGCCAAGGGGGTGGCCCCCTTGGCTGGCCGCTGGGCTAATAGAGAGCATGGCATGGGTGCGGCGCTCTGGGCAAGATCAGTCCCAGGGAAGGGGCAAGCGCGTGCTCGAACCGCGAGGAGTTTTGAGTGTGGGGGACCAAGGAGATCAAGGCTTTGCAAGGGTCAGTCGGATCGACGGCGCGATCTCGAGTCGGGTTGCCCTAGCTATCAAATGTGTCAACTCAACGAAGAGAGAGAGAAGGTTCAATTTGCAGGATCGGTTCGAATGCCATTGATCAATTGGGGCAACGCGAGCGTGGGTTAGCGGCATTGATGAGGCTCTGATACAGGCAGTCCCCAGTTATGTGCAAGTCTCGAGCTTGGCCAACTTGGTTCATGTTGTTAGTATTGGAATTAGCCAGTGGATGGAATCAAGGGTGGATTCACGGTGCAGGCGCACGGGGCCCTCTGTTGTGGTGTAGCCAAGGTGAGAAGAGACCCCCCAAAAGGGGAGTTTCGATGTTCTGTAACATGCCTCCGACGCTGGCTGTGGATCTCGAACGGACAAGGGTGCACGGTGGCCAGCCAGCAGCGCAACCTTGATCGATTGAACCTTTCTTGATCGGCATGATGCGATGGATCACCTCCGAGGCGTTCGTGTTTGGGTCGTGTCCATTGCATTGACGACGGGCTTTCAAGCACGTCCTCGTTTGCGAGCGGAGGGATCCATTCCACGAAGTTGGTGCTACGTCAATTGATGTCGCGAAGGACGGGAGATTCGGCTTGAGGTTTGGCTTGGCCAGCCTGATTGATAATAGGAGAGTGTACTGTACTGTAATGCGGCGGCTGCTGGGCATGAGTCTTGCACAACCCGAATATACACTAGACAGTGATGCTGAGTGAGGGTGGTATTACAAAACCATGCGAGAGTGGTGCTTGGAGACGATTGAAAGAAGGAGGAAGAAGAGGCTCAAGATACTGTTTCTTGGTTCACTTGAATTTCCAACAGTTGAAAACAACAAACAGCCGGTTCTTAGATTGGGTTCCCCCTGGGACCTGAGGGGAAAATCGCCGGGGCTTTGGGAGCGCTACCTCGCATCAGTGGGAGCCCGCGGGGCGGGATTAACAGTGGAAAGAGATCTTCTGTTTCCTCGAGCGGTTGCGGGCGATCTCCCAGGAAATCGCCAACCAGGTTCGCTCGATTCTTGGTACCAAGAAAGAGCCTGCCGATGCGCTGTGCTGCGAGCAATCCATTCACCATATCAATCTGATGGATCACTAGATCCGTGTACTCTCCAGCCGCAGCCAACACTGATGCATATGCGCACGATTCCAACGAGTTCTTCAGCACCATCCTATCGGTGGAGTCGACGATGGATGCTCATGTCAGGGTCCTAGGGAAATGCTACATTGGTGGAGTTGACTCTCTTTTCTCAACAGACAGCCTGGATCAATGCCTACCCCCGTGTTTCAAAAATACCAGGAGTAGCAAGTCGGTAGGTAGTATGAGGAGTGGACGCGACTTGCATCCTTGACGAACAATGGACGACAAGCGCAAGTCCGCAGCTGGCGTCGGCTGCCTCGGTATAGAAGGGGTAGCAGTGGCTGGAGACGGAGAACAGCGCCAATCCACATTCTGTGCCCATCAATTGATCCCAATTGGCTTGTTTGTCGCTCTTTCGGCCCCTTTGCTGTGCGGCCCCCGGAACAGCCTCGGGACCCTGTTCCCAACCCTGCGTTGAGAACGAGGAGAGCCGCTCCAAGTGACGACGGATTCACAGCCGAGTAAAGTCCGTCACCCCCGCCCGTCTTCCCTCTGCTCTCCTTCCAAGTCGGAGACACATTCTAACGACTCCCCTCCCCTCTTTCTGACGGATTTCTGTCTTCCAAACTCTCCCATAATAACAAAAACGTGCCCACTCTTCGAGAAGCTAGGGGATTGGAAGAAAGGGACGAGCGTAAACCCGTCAAAGAACCGGACAAGGTCTCTTGAACTGGATGAAATCCCACCTAGTCGCCTGCCCAACCTCACTCACGTCCCTGAAAATACCACCATATCTTCCTCTTCCTTCTTCTGCCCCCTACCCCTTTCCAGCCGAACCATGAACCCCTGGCCTTGCCGAGTTCCCGCCGTCCTCTTTCGAGGCCGGGCGGCCTCAGCCCTGGTCGGCCCCCGCCTCACCCACCGCCAGAGGCCATTCTCCGTCTCATCCTATGCCAAGTCGAGCGCACCTGCGACGCCGAACGCCCGGGGACCGGGCACTTCGACGTTACCCTTGAGGGAATCAAGGTCCTTGACATGACCAGAGTATTAGCCGGGGTATGTTGGTAAAGATGAGAAGAAAAAGGATGAAGATGAAGCCGATGATGATGAAAGGGGGAGAAGAAAGCGAGAGAGAAAAGAATTTCCCCTTCCTGTCCCCTCTGTTCCCACTCCCCTCTCCTTCTCCTCCCTCTCCCCACACGTCTCTCACAGAGACCGGATGAACTCTCTATTTTGAGATTTTGTGGGGCGTGTAGCAGATGTGAAGGGGGCGGCATCATGTCCTGTGACTTGAATTAAGATGAAAAAGAGGCTAACTGAAGCCGTGAATGTGGTCTTGTTCCTTTTCTTGGCCTTAATGCTATAGCCATATTGCACTCAAATTCTTGGAGACCTAGGGTAAGCTCATGATAACTACGCAAAGCATCCGAGAACACAACATTCTCCCTCCCCAGTACCGCCCTCCTCCCCCTCGTACTCCTCCCCTTTCCCCCGTATTCTCGTTCATCCCTCATCTCAACCTCCAACCATGTGTGGTAAGGACCGTCATCTCTAACTCATCTCTGACCCCCGTCTTTCCGGGCCAATTTTCCCAATCATGCAGAGCCGAAGTTATCAAGATTGAACACCCCGTAAGGGGTGACGACACTCGGTCGTGGGGCCCGCCCTATGCCGGCTACACCCCGGAGTCTGAATTCGAAGGTCCTGGTGAATCTGCGTACTACTTGACTGTAAGTAGTAGAAGCATCCTCAGCTGTAGCAAGCACCCAACCTCGCCATCACAAACGTAAAGAGGTCACGGGGCAAGATCCCTCAAGGCCCGGGGACGCCCTCTCTCTCTCAACCACCACCTATAGCTAGAGCTAACTGACGGACGTGGCTCGCCGGCTAGGTAAACCGCAACAAAAGTCCTTGGGGCTCTCGTTCCAGCACCCCCAGGGCGTCGAGATCCTCCACAAGCTCGCCGCCCAGGCCGACGTTCTAGTCGAGAATTATCTCCCAGGCACCCTGCGGAAGTATGGCCTAGACTACGAAACCATCCACAAGATCAACCCCGGCCTCATCTACACCTCCATCACCGGCTATGGCCAGACGGGGCCGTACTCTAACCGGGCCGGCTACGACGTCATGGTCGAGGCCGAGTTCGGCCTGATGCACATCACGGGAAACCGAGATGGCCCTCCCGTCAAGGTGGGCGTGGCCGTGACCGACCTCACCACGGGCCTCTACGCGAGCAACAGCATCATGGCTGCCCTTCTCAGCCGAGGCAGGTCCGGAAAGGGACAGCACCTCGACGTCGCCCTGAGCGACTGCCAGACGGCGACCCTCGCCAACATTGCGAGCAGCTGCTTGATTAGCGGCAAGAAAGATTCCGGTCGCTGGGGCACCGCGCATCGTACGTTGACCACACTTGCCCTTTTTTAATACATCAGAGAGAGAAATGAGAGAGAGAGAGAGAGAGTCCTAACTTGCTGCTTCGCTCCAGCTTCCATCGTGCCGTACCGCGCCTTTGCCACCAAAGACGGCGACATCCTGCTCGGCGGGGGCAACGACCGCCTCTTTGGCATTCTCTGCGACAACGTCGGGCGGCCCGAGTGGAAGACGGACCCCCGGTACAGCACGAACGCGGAACGGGTGCGCAACCGCGCCGACCTCGAGGTCATGATCGAGGACCTCACGCGGCAAAAGACGACGGCGGAGTGGCTCGCCGTCTTCGAGGGCAAGGGCATGCCCTACGCCGCCATCAACGACGTCCAGGCGGCCCTGGAGCACGAGCACACCAAGGCCCGGAACATGGTGGTCGAGGTGGACCACCCGGCCTGCGGGCCTATCAAGATGGTCAACACCCCGTCAAGTACTCGGAGAGCACCCCGGTCCCAGGACGCCGCCGCCCGTGCTAGGCGAGCACACGGACGAGATTCTCACGTCCTACCTTGGATTATCCGCAGATGAGGTGAAAGGGCTGAAGAGCCAGGGCGTGGTATCATAAACAAACGGGCCCCTGTCCCCCCTTGTAGAGGTGGAAAAGAGGAAAAGAGAGAGAGTTTAGTCGTTGTCGGCATAAGTCTGTTGTGTGCTGTGCAACCGAGGCAAGCTAAGCTCTCGGCTAGACGCGACATCCGCCGTCCCGCATATGCGGTGGCCCGGATGCAGGAGCGCGGTCGGACACGATCAAACCCAACAATAGAGATGGTAATACGTAAATGCCATTATACCACATAAGTGCTGCCCTTTGACGTTGATCCATGGCAGATGTGACCTTGTGCAAAAATATAAAATAAAAAACCAGCGTAGAAAGTGCCCCTCGCTCCCAGTTTCGAGTAACCCGCCCAATTCACCCTTCCCATCACCACCCTCACTTTTCAACTTGGACAAATTGACCTTGCGCGCACCTTTTGAATTTCCTACCTTGGAGACGCGAAAGAAACCCTTGAGCTGAGCTCCTTCCCAAATCATCTGGGAAGATGTCCCTGTCCCGCCACGTCCAAGTCACGTTTCTCACGTGATTGGCAACTTGTTTTCTGGAAGGGCTCAAACCTGTTGCTTTCGCCCAGTTGGACAATGTGGTTCTCGATCCTGGAATGTTGCTAGAGAAAGGGAAGAGGGAAAGAAGGGAAAAAAAGAAGAAGAAAAGAAACCCACCGACTTCCTGTAATGCACTTTGCGACCTTGGCTCACGGATTGCCAGCTTGTGGATTCTAGCGTGATCGTGCCATCTTGCGCGGCAACCGGAGCTTACACACCTCATGCTCTGTCTCGACCATCACCACCTTTGAAGCGAACCTCGCACTTGCACTTGAGCCACCTTGCGCTTTTTGAATCTCTGGGCGTTGCTCCTACTTTTGGGTGGCCCTTCCCTTTCCCGTTTCTCTTCGCTACCTTGCCTCTTTTTCCTTCTTCTTTTCGCGGGGGCCTTTCCTCCCTTTTTCCCCTTTGCCGCTCATCGTGGCTCACCTTTTGCCTACTTGATGGCATTCAATTGCAAGCTCCCGCTGCGACCTCTAAACTCTTGTGTTTTGCGCCCCCAAAAAGCGCCTAGAGGCCGCGGATAACTTGCCCAAAATATTTCCCCCTCTTTATAAAAGGTAGCAACGTCCCGCATACCCGAGCAACTCCAGCCATGCAGCCATCAGAAGCGGCCAGTCCCCGCCAGCGCACGGCGGCCGGCGAGCGGCGCACCGAGTCTCGCCCGTCGTCGCCCTCCCCTCGGCATCCACGCCCTCGCCCACAGAGACGCCGGCCGCGCGCCGGCCGTACCAGCCCCAGTTCACCGCCATGACGGCCACGATTCTGGAGAGGATCAGGAACGGCAACGCCAGCGTCAGCTCCGCGGTGGCGGGCGCGCAAGCCGCCGGCGTGGTGCAGCTCAGCCGCGCCAAATACGAAGACGCCCGCCGGCGGCTCGTCGAGACTCTCAAGACTTCGGACAGCATCGAGCTACCCGCCGTGCCTACCCGCCGCGTCAAGGGCGTCGCCCCCACCCCCGCGCCCGGGAGCAGGCCGGCCAGCGCCGTGTCGACGCCGACCCAGGGCGCCCTGAAGCGCAAGCGCAGCCACCTCGACGCTGCCGCCGCCGCCGTGGCCCAGGATCACGGCTCTCCCTTTTCCGACCTGGATCTGGACGGCCCCCAGCTGAGGAAGATGGCGCCCCGGCCCCCGTCCGGAAGAAGAAGGCCAAGGACGATGGTGCCGCCGGCTCCGCCTCCAAGCGGTGCAGCCGGTGCGATCGCCAGGCCTGGACCGAGGACAATGCTTTCATTGCGTGCCCGCGCTGCGAGGAGAGCTGGCACCTTTGTGCAACCCGCCCGAGGTCGTCAAGGCCTACAAGGCTGACCGGACCAGGTTCCGGTGCTTTGGGTGCCTCGAGGAGGCGCGCCAGATGGCCGAGTACCAAAAGGCCAAGGCCGAGTTTGCGCAGCTCAAAAGGCAGCACGAAATTGCGAAAACAAAGGAGAGGGTGCTGGCGTCGCTGCCTGTCGGCGCCGCATTCGACAAGCCGGAGGCCATCGGCTTCGCGGCGGGGAGCGCATCGGATGTCACGGTATGGAAGCACCACAAAAAACCTCAAATATCATTGCGTCATGGGCGAGACCTGAGTTTGCTAACAATAATGTGTGTGTACGGACACAGCGCGCCGACTACTTTTCCGCCTTGCCCCGGAGGGACCTCCTCAGCCTCCTGGCCTTTTGCGATAAGCTCCGGCCGAATCTCCTCGTCGATCTCCTCGTGACCGCCACGAAAAAGCATCCCGAGCTTCCCATCTTCAGCTCCCCGGACTGGGCGGCCCAGGTCACTGCCGGCGCCTCCCGCCCGAGGACGCTGAGCATCGACCCGGGCCCGGAGAAGCGTGGGGTGGACTCACCGATACCGTCTCACACCGCCCCGAACCCGCCGCTCTCCACGCCCCAGCTCACGGCCGCGATGAAGCAGGCGGCGCCCCCGAAGCAGACGCAGACGGTCGACGCAACCGACGCCTGGGACGACGACGACGACTTTCTGCCCCCTTCTTGGCCCAAAGAGGGGAGGGCATGTATGCGACGCTTCCGCCGGAGAGCGAGGACGCCGAGCACCTGATTGACGAAGATGCGGGTGGCGCGTTCCAGGGCTTCGCGATCAAGTCGGAACCCAACGACTCAGTCAGGCTCGAGCCTACCGTTTGCTGCTAGGCTCGCGCGATTGCCTTATGCCCCCTTTCCACGTTCCATTTTTCTTTTTCTCTTTCACCAACTCTTCTATTATATACAATTTTCGAATCCAGAGCAACAGAGCAATCAAAGTCCCGTGTGCTCTTGGACTAGCTTGACTAGGTCTGAGATGGTGGAGCAGGACATCTGAAGGGAGAGAAGGATTTTTATTCTTATTTCTTTTTTATAACGAAAGACCCATGAAGAAACGTCTGCCAAGTTTGAAATATGGGCGGTGCGCAATGAAATAAACCTGCGCGGTGTTTATTCCGTTTTGTCTTTGTACAGCAACTCACAGCACTGTTGGCCATTTTAGCAAGGTCATCAATTATCATTAAGTTATGTATTTTCCTACAAGAAAGCTAAAAGCATTGAAATACTCGTGAACCAGGATCGATAGTAGGACAATCGAGAATGTTCCAGGCCGCCATAATTGCCGCCTTGTTCGTTCTAATCCGCTTTGCTATTCGAGTCATCAACGTCATGCGCTGCCTTCTTTGTCCCTGTAGGTAGCCTTGGTATGAAGAGGAAAGCAGATGAGAGGAGCGCGTGGCGCGGCCTAGAATCGCAAAACTCAAAACCGTTGGCGGATGATGCGTCTATCCTTTATAGAGGTACGTCGACGAATTCCCCTCCTGCGGGCGACCTGCCTAATTGCTCTCTAAACCCCCTTCCGGAGTTGGTGGCCGACCGGATGTTCGTCGCTGGCGCTGGCGCGCCGGGGGTTGATGTGGTGTAGGAGGCCCGGATTCGACCCCGGGCTCGGAGGCAAGGGCTTGGTAAGGGCTCGCAAAAGATTTCTTTGTAGAGGCGACTCGGCCTCACGGGGTCCCTTCTGGCTGGATGCTGCCACGGGCTGTGTACCCTTCGGTGCCCCGGGGCCCGCCTTACGCAGCCGAAGCGGTTCTGGATGGTACTTTGACTTCTTGACCGGCCGTTCCGTCCCCTGGTGGCCGCGGCCCTGAGACTCGCCAGACACCTGTGTCCCGTGCTCTCTAACACTGCTGCCCTGCACGCTGCCAACTGGATTCCCCTCTTGCGTATACGTACCTCGGGGCCACTCCGTCATTTCCGTGAACTCGGTCGGCTCGCCCTGCTTGCGCGATGCCTGGCGCGTGTTATACTTGGCCTCGGCAGCCGCCCTCGCGTGCTCGGCCTGCATCGTGCGCTGGCGCCGGCGGAAATCCTCCTCGCACTCCGGGCACGGAAAAGGGAGCCACAGGCGGCGACGGCCCATCGAGCATACTTTACGAGGCCCGATGCAGCGCGCCCAAAGGTGCGGGCTTCCGCCTCGGCGGCGGAGCATGGTTCGGTGGCTTCCCTCTTGTGGGCGCAGTTGTGGGTCATGTGGCTCTTGGTGCACATGACAGTTCTTGTTCTGTCTTTGTTATGTGTGCGTGCGTGTATGTGTGTATGGGTGCGGGAGGGGAGGAGGTCGGGTGGGGGGGATATACCTTACGTGTGTTTTCTCTCCCCGTCTAGCCTTGATCCCTCTCTCTCTCTCGCCGGTCCCGGCTTCTTGCCTCCCTCTAGGCTGGAGTGTTTGTCAAGGTCGAGGTGTAAAAGATAGGTTTAGCGGTGTGGTATCGCGGAAATGGTCTGCGGAGGTGGAAAAAGAAAACCCGGGGTGGTATTGCCGGGGGCCTCGATCGCCGTCCTAAGCCTTATGCTGGTGTTCGTAATGGCTCTAACGCGTTCTATCGAGTGTAGCGCTGTAGGAAGATGATTCGAGATGAAGATGGAATTAGATTTTGAAACGAGCCGGGAGACTATGTCACTTATACACCCTGAGACAAAGAAGTCGCGATGACTTCCTTACACGCCCATCCAGTCTTTGATACGGCGACCAACAAAGCCGGGGGTGTACCATCAACAATGAGGATACAATAGGGACGCGCCGGCGGAGGCAATGGCGCTTTGTACTTCTATGTCGAGCAAGCGCGGAAGCGGAATTCTCTACTTCTTTGAAAAAGTCCTTGTGGTTCCTTTTCCCCTTCCATGACAGCCTTGGAGTTCGAGAAGTAGAGTAGAATTTCAAGCACGAAGAAAAGGTGAAAGCACGTCTTGCACTTACTACTATACATCGTCATCACCATACACCGCCATGATACAAGCGAGGGAAAAGCCCATCGCATGGCCGCCTTCGCGACCCAGCCCCCAAAACATGGGATCTTTGCCAGCGATTCCGCCAATACCGATCATCCCTCCGCAGGGCCCACAGGCCCTCCATGCGCACGGCATCCAACACTTCCTCCAACACCCCGGATACAGACCAAACCCTCGCCATCGGCCTCGCCATCCTGTCAGAGCGCATCGTACGCGCCGAGCGCGCCGCCAAAGACAAGGCGCCCGCACCGCGCAGCCCCTTTTACAGCCTAGAAGCCCAAGCCGAACTCGTAGAGGACTTTGATTTCCTAGACCTCCTCGACGATCTGCTCGAGCGCGGCGGGCCCGGGAATGCGCTGTCAAGGGCGCAGCTGCCACGGGCAACATCATCGACGTCCTCGACGATTTTTTAGGCCTACGTCCAGCTCCTCCCGCTACCCCCGGCGGGGCAGCCGAGCGCGTGCGCCGCCCGATGCCGTCCCTCGCAGCCATCCGGAAACTGGTTTGGAGGGCCAAGGACGGAGACCGACATTCGTTGCCGGTATGGCCAGGGCAGCGACGGCCGAGGGAGAACGGGCACTTATGCGTCGACGGGCCACCCCAACTAGTCCTTATCTCCGTGAACGCTTGGAAAGAGCCCGCGCAGAGGTGCTGAGATCGTGCTCCCATGGCGCCGACACGCAGGCGTCTTCTTCGCAACGGGGCCGGGTTCGTCCGGCACACTCTCTCGTGAGCGTCCGGTAAAAAGCTAGGCACTCTCACGGTACCGAAATCACGCCACTGCTCTCGTTCGTTGTACGAGGCCAGTCACATGAAACAAGATGCTGGATCATCGAGCCAGAAATGAATTCGTGCTTGTGTGTATGTAGGACGAGCCTGGTCATGGGCTGGAGCTTGAGCGTTCAAAAGAAAATCTATTATTTGGGGTATCATTTTACCTGTCTTCTACTACCAAATCCCTTCTGGCAAGCCCATCTCTTCCACCTCTTCTTTCTTTCCCGTCTTCTCCGCTCTTTGTTCTTGCGTTCTATGGTGGTTTTTTTCTTCTATTCTCACACGTGGGCCCAACCGTTCTCGACAAGCACCTGCATCTCGTTGATGATGCAAAAATCGCCGGGTTCGCTCCGCCCCGGGCTTTCGGCCAGCCACTTCTCGAGACGCCTGTTCACGATCCAGTCCCTTGTTTCGGTGCGGTACACCCACTTCAAGATCCGGCTGCCCCATAGACCCTTGAATATCTGCCAAGGGGATACCCAGGGCCCAGAGCGAGGGTTGACGGCCTCGTACGCACGCGGGTTGTAGCCGACGCGCACGCGCGGGTTGAGGTACACGCCAAGTTGTTGCGACAGAGGGTTATCGGCGTGGATGAGGCAGCACTCGCTGGCCTCGAGGTGGAGCGCGGCGAGGGAGTCGGGGAGGGCGCGGAAGGTCAGCGGGGTCTCGGCCACGAAGGGTTTGGCTGGCATGGCCACTGCGAAGGGGTTACATCTGTTAGCTGTTTTGTTTGTCTTGGCTTTGGCTTTTTTGGGGGATGATATCGGGGACTGCTTCAAGGCTACTCACCTATTCCATTCCAGCAGCTCTTCACGGGAACCGCGGGCCAGTTCCCGACCATGGCCTGCTGCGAGAGCTCGGAGCGGAAGTAGGGCCACGTCTGCATCAGGTGGGTATCGCCCTCCGAGTCGCGCAGGGCAAAGGTATCATAGTAGAGGGGCGGGTCGGAAACATCGAGAGAGCAAGCGGCGGCGTACTTTCCTTCGTTGGTGTCGAGGAGAGTCAGGACGTCTTCGGTGCGGAAGACGACGTCGTTGAGGAACAAGATCTTGTCAAAGTATATACCCTGGTCCCGCAGCTTGATCAGGTCCCGGAGGGTTCGGTTCCTCAGCTCGGCGAGGAAGGGGATGCGCCGCAGCTCCTTCTTGCCCCGCGGGTCTCGACCCAGCCCTCGCCGTCGGGCACCTTTGCGATCTCGGCTTCGTGGGTGACGTTGGAGAGGGTGATGTTCCTGGAGACGCCGAGCTCTCCGAGCCGGCGGTCGAGGTCCTCAAGGCCTTCCTTGGTGTCGTCCCAGCTGCCGCTCTCGTACACGCTCACAAAGACGTTTTCCGGGCCCCAGGCCTCGGCAAAGCCCACGACGGCGTCATTCCAGTATTTGCGAACGAGCCAGCCGTCGTTCCAGTGTAGGCTCGCGACGTAGACACGCTCCCCGCGGCGCCTCGTCTGGGCCGCGTGGCGGTGGGCGAGAGTCGAGGCGGCCAGGTGGCGACGCACGAGGTAGATTTCGGCAAAGTTCCAGAGGGAGAAGAGGAGGAGGAGCACGCGGATGGCGCGGGATCGTAAGAGTCGTCGGGCTCGCAATCGAAGACTCGACGGGCGGGTGGCGCGGGGGCGGAACTTGGTCTCGCTCAGGGGTAGCAAGCTCGGGGGCGGCGATCCCCTGCCTTTGCGGCGGCTACCAGGGAATATACGGGACATGGTCGCTTGCCATTACTAGACGACGCACGAAGGAGGTGGGGTTTGGGTATCTAGGGAAGAGATCCGAATCGAGGAGCTGACATTGCGGGATTGGGGAGTGTGAATGGGGAGAGGAGGGCGCAATAAAGGGGAAGGGGGAGGAGAGAAAGCAAGGGAAGGCTAAGAAAGAAGGGGGTAGGTTGGGGCTCAGTTCCAGTTCGTGAGGGCCTGGCCAAGCAGTGCAGGGGACATCAGGGACATGAATGGATCAATCAATGAACTGCGTAATAAAGTCTGGAACAGCAAAACATGTGGAGAGAGCATTGAAAGTTTATTACTCCACAGCCAGACTTGAACAAATGTTCAAATGTTCAACCATCAATTGATTGAACTAGATTGAGGACAGCGTCAATGTTGTCGCAGTTAATATCGGTCCATTCCGATTCCGCCAACAAACAAGACCCGAAAAACATCCATGGATGGTCGATGGTTCTTGCTTCCCGGATTTTTCCAACCTTTCCGTCGTGTCTTGTCGCAATATTAGTCCTAGCGAGGATCAATATGTAGCGTACATAATACTTGGTAGCTCCTTGATTGATTCGTCGGCTATTGGATCCAAGCAAAGGGATTCCCATTGTACCGGACGATTATTATTCCAGATTGGCCTAGAGATGGGATGAAGGAATCCATCGATCCTCCCAAGACTGGTAATTGCCCTCCATTCAATGCTTTTGTGTGTCCCCTCACACTAGATCAACCCCTGCGGCACGGATTGGTCCAGTGCATTCCTCGTCGGTTTATTAAATGGAAAAATGTGACAAAGGAGCACACCTGTGCATCAATCGAGGCTTCACTTTTGCAGCTTCGCGAGCGGGCACGCCCTGCTTTGATTTCGATTTGCCGAGACCTAGACACAGTCTCACCAAAAGACTCCTAGCTCCATTGTACCACTAATACCAGGAACCAGTGGGTGAACAGGCAGAGAGACTTGGCCAGGTGGCGCGTGGGCAGATACTCTTGTTATTAAAGCTATATGTGCAAGTAGTTCAAGTAGTTCCGAGGAGCGTGTCTGCGTGCCTAGAGCTCGCCTTGGTCACTTTGTCGCTTCCTGAGCAAACATAACCGACATGAGCTTATGGTGTGCGCCATGCGTGTGGGTGTGTCTGTGTCTGTGTCTGTGGGTGTGGGTGTGGGTGTGCATCGAGTTGGTCCATTGATAGCGACAGCTGCATTTTGGTGCATGTTGATGCATGGTTTTCTTAGACACATAGTTGATCCAATGGATCCATCAGTTGCTTACCACCCACACTTTCCCCTTTAACAAGTCGTGGAGCTCGACAGCCTCGTAATTTGGCAATAACACCTTGCAGTTCGCTTCTTTTTGCCGGTCCTTGCTGTCGGGTGGAAGACGTCAACCTCCCTCGCAGCCTCTCGAAAGCTGAACTGGTTGGTGTTTGTCGAGTCGCTTTGCTTTCATGTTCCCTGCAGTGGACTGAATACGAGAGAAAGAAAACGATCCGTCTTCTATGTACATGTATCCATCAATCAATGTACATGCCATTGTCAGATATCGAATGATCTAGAGGGCAGACCTCCACGATAACCATCACCATCCATTACTCTTTTTCTCTCCTTTTCACAGTCCGATCTCGCACCGCGAAGCGCTGTAACGTGGCGTTTTTAGTCGCAACATGCTCTATGCCGTAGGATCCGAGCCTGGCCCGCGTTCAAGTTCGCTTGCGTGGCGCTCGTCGTCACTCCTCCACGCCAACTTAAATCGTCATTACACGTAGGCCCAAACCATCTTTCGCATCCATACATGTATCATCCAAGGGATAAATCGACAGTCGTGTCTGTGGCGCCATCACTCTCCAAATTTGTCAAGCATATTGTCACAGGTTTGAAAAGGCACAGTTTCAGGGACAAAGGAAAATTAGATTAACAAGAGAGAGAGAGAGAGAGAGTGTGTGTGTGTGTGTCTATGTGTGGAAGGGGAAAAAAGAAGGCAGCTGAACAAGTCGTCGAGAACCAAGAGACGCCCTTGGCTTGTATCCTCAGCCGATGGCTCTCCCTTTTTTGTTTACCACACGACTCCAATGCACCTTTTCCTAGACATGTTTTCTAACCGAACCGCTTTCCGTGGCAAGACTCTCTAGATAGCAGCCGTTTCTGCTTTCACGTGTATACCTTGAGTCTTCAAGCACCGCCGCCTTCTTCTTTTGTTGTTTCTTTTGTCTGCTTGCCAGATCAAGTGGTGGAAAAAAATAGAAACCCTTATTCATACATCCAATTGAGGAGGGAAGCATCGTTCCTACCCAATGTCCTCCCCAATTATCTATCAGTTTCGTTTCATACCGACCCTACAACACGCAGGTCCTAGATCGGTTCGAGGTTTAAAAGGAAATAAAAAGAAAAAGATACTTCTTTCTCCCATTGCCGAGACAGGGCAAGGGGAAAGAAGAACTTGTCTCTCTCCCCTGCCATGTTGCTCGTTCCTGTGTATCGTCTCGTTTTAAGCCATCACATCGCTGCTTATTTAGCAAAGTGAAGATCATAACCGAGCCACTTGCGCTGCTGCACTTCGGCGACGGAGAGACCAGGATAGCCATAGGTCAAAGGTAGGAAAAAGTACCAGCTCGCCAGGACCACGGCGATGATGACACCGCTAGCCATCCAAGCCGCTCCGAGCTTCTGGTTGGCGAAGCGCTCACCAGCCGTGACGAAGTGCTTGGGACCAGGCGCGGCCTTCTTGCCAGACTTAACCGCCTGGTAGCTGGGCTCTTCCGGCACCGGCTCGGTGCAGAATACAAATTCCACAAGCGCACCCGCAACCAGGCACGAGGCAAGGTGCGCGGGGAGATAGTGGTGCAAGAAGAGCTGACGACCCATGACCCAGAAGGGGAAATAATGCGTCGCCCAGGCTAGGAAGAAGAAGCCCGTCGAGTTGTACAGACGAGATCGGCTGCCTAAAAATCAAGAAAAAACAGATTAGTACTCCGAAGAAACGACTAGACAAGTCCTTGCGTGGAATTGAGGCAGGGAAAGAAAGCGGGGAAAGGGGGGATGGAGGGGCTTACGGCGGTCGAGAGCGTCAACACCTCGGCGGAGGGACAGTTGATCAGCGGCGACAATGCCGGCGAACACGGCCAACAAGCTGCTAGCGAACCACCAACCGATGGGGTTACCGAGGAAGTAAATCTGCTGGCGCGTATCGTTCTGGGTCCAGAAGCTGACGCCGCGGAGCAGGAATGGCCACTGGTATGGGTGGCTCGAGTAAGGGTGGCTGCTGGTGAGCTGGCTGTTGTGCCAGAACATGGACCTCTGCAACTCAAACCACTTGCGCAAGAAGGGGAGCGACGTCACCTTGCGGGCCGGCTTCTCTCGTCGCTTGGCGTCAATGGGCAGCGATGGGATGTCCTCCACCACCCAGATATTGGAGCTGGGCGCAATCTGCTTGTTTCCGTTAATCTCCTGCTGGCGGTGGCCCCAGTCGGGGAGGGGCTTGGTGTGCGTCCACATGGCGACTTTGCTAGGGTTGTGGATCAGCTTGAATTGGCCCGAGACCGACTTGAATTCTTGCTTGTTCTTTCCGTGCTCGATACGAATCTCAAACAACGTGTCGTTGGCCCGCTTGCCGAATCCATCCTCGACAGAGACAGTGGTGAATTCCTGGTTCGTGGGGTAGTAAGGCGAGGCAACATCGTGAGAGAGGAGGATGGTGTCGGTTCCGACGTGTCGGAGACGGACGAGGTCATGGTTGATGACGTGGCGGCCCACCGCCTTGTCGTCCACCACAGGAATGATCTGCCAGTGGTTGTTGGTGTCGTTGAATGGGTAACCCGTCACCTGCTGGCCCTTGCTCGAAACGCGGCCATCGTCGTAGCGAAGGGGGTAGAACTCCTCGTGGGAATGAAGATAGGCCTTGGTCTCCTTGTGGCGGATGGTGACGGTGTCATAGTAGTCAATGCTCACGGCGTTGGCAAGCATAATGTTGTCGCTCAGGGTTTCCTGGAACTCGGGGGTCATGAAGGCGTCACCGGGACCCGATCGCGAGAGGACGGTGAAGTGGACCTGGAACCAGAAGAGGTAGAAGAGGAAGGGCATGATGATGAGACCAAAGGCCCTGGCGCAAAAGTGTCTGACGAAGAGCTGCATCGACAAGGCGCCACCGGGCCTCTTGACATCGAGAAGATCCCACAGATCAATGACGACGGCGGAGCCAATGGTAACAAAGGCAAAGGTACCGACGTACTTGGTCGAGATGTCGCAAGACAACGCGAAGCCAGTGAGGATAAGCCACTTCCACCACTTTCGCGAAAAGGGCTCGTGGCGGAGCTTGTAAAATCTAATGTAGGCCAACAAGCTGCAGGCCATGGAGAAGACGAGGGTGGCATCGAGGAGGATCAACCGCGTCTGACCAATATGCGCATTGTCGAGAAGGATGAGACCGGAGGCAAGGAGACAGGCAGGGAGGCTGTAGCCGGATTCCCACATGATGAGATATACAACCGAAACAGTGAGCGCACCAAGAATGGCAGGCAGAGCGCGGAAAGCGACATAAGGAATGTTGTTCGTGATGTAAGAATCGCCAATGTTGTCAAAGTGGAAATGGCCATCGTAGCCAACCAACCAGCCCATGAGAGCAAAAGAAGCTTTCCAAAGGGGGATGGACATCGAAGAAGTACGTCCTCTCGAGGTAGTACGACGCAAACTAAAACGCACACGCAAAGCCATCTGATTAGCTCCCTTCACTCCTCGCTACGGCGGGGGAAGGCCGATGGGGGTTGGCCTTTGCATTGTTGCTCTCACCTTGCCAAAGTGGACTTCGTCAAATACGACCTCGTTTGGGTGGCTGATACCCCAGAACCTAGTGACAAACGCGAGTGCGGTGATCACGGCAAAGGCAATCCTGAAGTTATTCTCCGAAACGACGGGCTTGGCATTGGCCGCCGCTAGCTTATCGAGCGCGACATCATCGATTTGGGCAGAGGGAGGGGCTGGAGACGTCGATTTTCCAGGCACGTTGCGCTGACGCAGACTGCCCTGGTTGCTGCCGGAAGCCATGGCGGGCAATGGCAATTCAAGACGATCTGTTCGGCCAATGTAATGACAGGCGTTAGCTTGGCCAACAAAGACGGCTTGTGTTGAGATGGAGAAGGGCAAATATGCTTAGGCAGGCCCGAAGCAGTTGTGGAATGGGTGTCGGGGAAGAATGGATGATGTGATGGAGATGTCTTCTAGGAATAGGGGATAGCAAATGGGGTTTTCGGCTGACGTGTACGGATCGAAGACGCCCCTTGGCCCCATTATGCAAAAGGGGGAGAGCATCAATGTTGTCAGGGGCAGACATGACCAACGGCAAGCTTCGGGGCGAGCGCGATCTTGAGTTCACATACCTTGAAGTGCACCTTGAAACCAGACACGAAGTCGGATAAGAGAGAGGAAGGGAAAAGGAGCAATAATACAAAAAGAAGAAAAAGAGGAAGAAGAAAAGGAGAAGAAGAGAAGAGTGCACAGGATAATTAGAGATGAGAAAAAGGATCCCTCGGCGGCGCGAACCAGGGTGCATACCTTGGTGCAATTAATATCAAGGTGGCCTTCTCGACGCGGGTTGTCACTCCACACACGTTTCCAGAAGCCAAGCTTCTAATTTTTGTGTCCCTTGTCACTTTTTTCCTTTTTTTCTTTTTTAGGTTTCCCTCTTCGAGCAGCTGGCAGCACAGCTTGCGACCAGGTCTTGGTCCCACACCCCTGTCCAAGCTCCAGTGCTGTCCGTCAGTGGATTAGGGGTGTCAACTACCAATAGCGCTCTCACTTGAATGTTCCTGGTACTCGAGTACATCCACGATCAACTGGTGGATCAATTGATCCAGAGATGGTGGATGGCACCAGGACTCTGGCCAGGTACCGACTCCGGAGTTGATTGACACCAGGATCATTTTAATCAATTGCTCCCGCCCCCTTCAGCTGGAGACACGACGCCGTTTAGGGAGAACAGGACCCTGCTCGAGCCTCAAGTTGGTTGATAATATAATACTAACCACGCCGTCTACCCGGTACCACAGAACGCACCCTGGTCCAGTGAAAAGCCGAACGGGTACACTCTCGAGGAGAGGCCCTCAATGCTCCTTCCCTGAGAGCCAGGAATAGATCCAGCCCTTCTAGTCCCTTTTCAGCGTAATTTTGAGCCACTAGCGCGCCGCAAACGGACCCAACCCGCGTTCGCGGTCGTGGAAAGGTGGGATCATTTGAGCTCCTCCATCAATTGATTGAATAATGGTTTCCCACGCACGATGATTCTCGACGCGACGGACACCAAACCAATATCCCCCAAGCACCACGACTCAGGCGGGTCCCAGGATACCATGTTGGAAGAGATCATGCAGACTTTGAAAGCTTAATACCTCCGCCAAAGGGGAAAAAGCAGAAAGAAGGGGAAAGGTTGAAAACAAAAGCCAGCCCCAGCCGAACAGCCGAGCGTATACAAGGCGCGTGACGGAGCCGGTCCTGTTCTCTCCAGGCATTCCTTCAGCCTGTCATTCGATATCACATCAGAAGATCGATGGCCTCTTGTGTGCGCGTGTGCCCTCTCGCCTGACATGTAGATAATGCAGCAGCTCAAGGAGTCGATCAATACTGACCCGCCGGTCAATGCTGCCGCTCCAAGCTTTGTCCCCAGCGTACTAGTACCGTACCAAGGGAGGGCCCTGCCTCGCCCACGAGCTACCACCCGTGGAGTAATAATGTGCCTAGTTGAACCCAAAGTTGGACGGGCGAAATCGGAGGTCGTGTGCTCTTCGTCAATACATGTAGCGTCCCTACCGACTAATTTTCAAGGTTTTTCTCCTGCGCGGCGACGGCGGCGGAGAAGGGAGAGCATAGAGACGCTGGGAGAGAAGAGTTATTTGATGATTGGCATTGATTCAATGGGTAGATCCATGCAATCCGTCTCTAGCTCAACACACTGGCCCTTATCCTTTGGGAGAGCAATAGCCTCGTTCGCCGTTACAACATGTGTGGTGATGGCGAGTCAGATGCTTTCAGCTCAAACAAAGCTAAGACATAGTTACCGCTCTCAATATGACACCGAGTCATTCCTGTCGAGAAGGCCGTTTGGCGTGTTGGAACAGGCAGACATTAGCTCCTAGGAGTATTATTAAGGCCCTATTAGGAATTGAGGTTACCTAATAATCAATTAGACGGCTCCTCACCAGCACTAAGGAGGGGCAGGAGCTCATGAAGCACCCACCAGTGACCCCTCTGCGGGGTATCAGCAATAGGAAAAAAGCTTCACTTCGCGAGCTTACTCAAAGCCCGATTCGACCCGCAGCGCGCAGTTTCCCCTCCCCGAACCAATTACAAGAAATCATCCTTCTTAGAGCATGAGAACTTTCTCGCCCCGGTTCATCTCCAACTTCCACCGTTCAATACTTCCACATCGCCCTTACATTTCTCCATCTCAGCTCTCCCATAACGCCTTCCGGTGCACCTCTACTAACATCAACATGGCCACCCCCGTTTACACCAAGGATGCCCCTCCGGGTAGGTACCCAAATCCGTTTTTCCATGACGCTACTATCCCCTATACCATAGTGCTGTACATGTATTAATTGCACCCTGGAAATACAGCTGTTGGCCCCTACGTAAGTCAGCCCTTGTTTTCTTTCGACACCCAGCGTTCAAAGCTTTCGATGTCTAACCTTGGTCTCGCTTTGCTCCCTCTCCCCGTGTAGTCCCAGGCCATCAAGACTGCCAGCACCATCTACTGCTCCGGTCAAGTCCACTTCAACACTCAGGGCGAGCTGATCACCGACGCTACCATTGCTGAGAAGACCGCCCTCTGCATCAAGAACCTCCAGGCCGTCCTCACCGAAGCCGGCTCCTCCATCGAGAAGGTTGTCAAGACGACCGTCTTCCTCGCTGACATGTCCAGCTTTGCTGTGAGCAACCCTCTTCCTCTCTCTCTGTGCTAGAATTGCACATCCAGTCTTACTCACACCATTGTACAGGAGATGAACGGCGAATATGAGAAGTGGTTCAAGCACAAGCCCGCCCGAAGCTGCGTTGCCGTCAAGACCTTGCCTAGGAACGCCGATGTCGAGATCGAATGCATTGCTCTTCCTTAGATAGCCTGCGGTCGATGTGAGGAAGGGGAGAACGAACGTGTCGCACCAATACAGGCACGAGGACTAGACAGGAAAAAGACAAAGAACAATGAATAAAAGTACATGTCAATCATGGCCCCCGTATTCCCGGTGCACGTACATCCCTCGCCACGCCACCATCCGCTTCATCACCACGGATAGAGCTTCGATATCACACATGTTATGCTGCACAAAATCTTAGCCTGCACGGTCCGAGGCCAAGGCCTCAATGATGCTGTCATACTTGGACCCTTCTCCCAGCCAAGCGCAAAGGTTTTTCGCGGCGTCGCCCGCCCTCGCCAAGATGACCCCTTCTCCCAATCCCTCCGCCCACGTTGCCGCTTCCCCGCAAACACAACAGCCTCGGCCCATTGAAGCAGGAGGCCCATATTGTCTGCCGCCATGCGTTCCGACCCCGGTACTGCCAGCCGGTCTCTCTGCGCCCGTGCCCAGATGATGTTGCAGATCGTACTAGTATTCTGGAGGAGTGACTCAGTAACCTCCACCGCCAGAGTACCTGGTGATACCTCGGAATGCCGGCGGCTCCTTGACCACGGAGAAGGCGGATACGGTCCAAATCTGTGGGCCGCAGCGGGTTGCCTCGCGCGCCTCGTGGGGCTAAATGGGTTACCCGCGTTCGGGTGGCGGCGAGCCCAGTTAACGCGGTGGTTGGCAATGTACGTACTCGTAACTCGGAGGCATATGTCGTATATGGATGATAGGGCTCCTTCGAAACCCCTCGCTGTGGGGCTGCTGTTTCTTGAGCACGAGTTGGTCGATGGTGTCCCTATATCTCTCGTCGGGCGGTCTACACGCTTTGCATCAGCGATAGAATCTCTAACAGATGCGAAACTCGCACTTGCGGACGCCTTTCCAGTGGTCCCGGGAGGGAGGGCTTCGCCCGTTTGCCACTGTTCCTGGCTTGGAGGGGGGCCGAAATATGACGGGGACTGTTGTATTGGGAGGCTGGCCTAAGTGAGGCATCCTGCTGCGCTGCCCCTGTTTCTGAAAGCGCACCCAAAGACCCCGATCTACCCCAATTGGGAGTAGAAAAGGTGATGATGACTCGGTCTGATGGCGGGGGAGGGTGACGAGAATCGTCGTAGACAAAGGCACTTGGTGATCTGACAGAGGGCATTCTGTGAAGTGCAAAATACAATAGGATTTGTCTAAGGTTTGTTACGGGAAGCTGCACTGCTCTACTCTCTGTCCGGGTTGCGGGTCGTGGGGTATTTATATTTGTGCAACACCCTCAACGAACAATGGAGCAGCGTAGAACCATGTCAATGTTTGGTACCGTCTGGCACGCACTCTGTCACGGATGAATAAACCATGGCATATGCTTCAGCCTTGTGGTAGGTTTCATATTATCTAGCATAATTCAAAAAGAGTTCGTCAAGGACAAGGAGAAAGGTCGCTCTTTGGCGGTCGAACCAAGACGAACCATGCCCGCCTCTTCTAGCCATTGTTTCCATCTCTAGGCTGACCAGATCACAACCCTGCCATCAACACCGCTCGCTTCAATGTATGTCAGCCTCATAATTGCCACTGCACACTAGAATTTCTCATGGGAGCGGGGGTTTTAGTTCGCTGAACGCTGGAGACCACTTACAACTGAATTTGGAAACTTTGCTGCCCGATGTTTCGTAGACCCGGACGGTGGAAATGGTGTTCTGATGCACAGTCTTGAGTTGTGTGTCATCTTTGGCTTTGCCCTTGAGATCCATCTGCTTGAACATGTTGAGAGCAGATTCCTCTCGAGCATTATCTAGGCCAGGCCGTCCCTTGGCTTCAAGAGTACCAACAACCTGCCAGCCGCCCGCATCGCCCTGGAACCTGAATGCTTCGCAGTCGTAGCCAGCCGCGATGATCTCGTCCTCGGAAGTCCAAATCAAGCTCATAAAAGGGAGCAGCTGAGTGGAAATGCTCACAACTGCGCGAGGTGGCTGTTCGGGGCCGCTAGGGTAGACGACAGTAATGCTGCTGTCGTGGGCGGCGAAGGCGAGGGCATCTCCGCTTGGCGAGAACGATACTGCATGCACCCATCCCGCAGAGTTGTTCAAGAACTCGCCGCAAACGGTGTTGAATGGGAGGCGTTCGCCCCAGACACCAGGGCTCGGACGAGCATCGATGCCCTTGATAAAGGTAGAAAACACTCGGGCGTGCGCATCCGTTGATCCAGCGGCGAGGAGGACCGAGTTAGGGTGCCAGGCGACGCTGGTAATGGTGCTTCGGATAGGCTTCTTCAAGTGCTTGAAACCCACCAGTCGTTCTCCTCCTCAAAGTAGCACGTAGCGATGACGCGGTCTCCCGACCCGACCGCAAATTTGGTCTCTGAAGGCGACCAGCGAACAAAGGTGGCGGCGCGGGCGATCCGAAGGAGCACAAGGGTAGGTTTATATCCGCTCGGGGAAGGTTCCCAGACCAAGGCATTTCGATCTATACACAGACGATAATTTTAGCTTCTATACTGTCATTAAGTTTGGGGGCCTAGAGGGGAGGAGATGTTACCCTGGGAGCAGGTGACAATACGGCCGCTGTTGGGAGCAATGTCTACACTAGTGACGGTCTTGTCATGACCCTTGAGCTCGTCCTTGAGCTTGAATGAGTTTCCGACCCTGCCATAGAGCTCAACAGAGGTGTTCCGGGCAACGGCCAGCAGCTTCCGGTCAGCGGAGAAGGAGTGGTCCGCGATCGGATTATGGAAGAGATGGTGGACCTCGGGGGCAGGCATTATGGGCGGAAGTGATAGGAGTAGCTCTCTACTATCACGTTGATGCAAGATAACGGAATGAAACTGGCGCGGAGGTATGCTCTCAAACAATGTGTGTGCGCTCTTTGGACGAAATGGAAGATGACGAATGTCGATGATGATGGCTTGAGGGTGGAGGGGAAGGTGGTTGGTGGGGTTCGCCAGGCTTGGCCGGATTGGCATCTTTTGAAGCGGGTTAATGCAGCCACCCCCTATGGGTGTGGTGTGCGTGCGTTGGGTCAACCAAAATATTCCTAGGCGGACAGCGCAAATATTAACCCACCCATCCATTAACCGACTCGACACAGCTTCAAGTTGCTCCCCCAGTTCGTCTTTTCGCGTCGCAACAGCATTTTGGCGGCGCCTTCAAACCGAGCATTTCTCAAAATACGCAAAGCTCAGTTGGGGGACAAGATGACATCCACCCTAGCGACTCGAGGGCTACCCTCCAACCCCTCCCTTCCAGCCAAGGTTCAGCCCATCCCACCGAACCAAACGTACGTTCTATTCTACGGCCCCCGACATTTCCTGAAAGCTTTGGTCGCGCCGGCGGTTTGCTAACATCATTGGTGTCCTCTCGTTGTAGTCTCTATGTTACGAACCTCCTCCGCGAAAATAAAGAAGCCAGACCTACGCACCGCATTATACCTCCTCTTCTCAACCTACGGGCCCGTGCTAGACATTGTAGCTCTGAAGACAATGAAGATGAGGGGCCAGGCGCACATCGTCTATCGAGACATCCAAACTTCCACGCAAGCATTGCGGGCACTGAACGGCTTCGAATTCTTAGGCTTGCCGATGGTAAGTCTCCCGCTCAAGGTCGAACGCGAAAGCGCCAAGCTAAACATGATGAAATCTGTAGAAGGTCGAATACGCGAAATCCAAATCCCATTTCGTGGCCAAGTTGGACGGCACATTCAAGATGTCCAGTGCCTCTGGAGCGGCCGAGGTTGAGGTCACAGACTTGCAAAACAGCATTTTCAACGCGCCAGCACCAGGGACGGCTGCTGCGGCCAAGGCTTCCGCCCTACCCCCAAGCCTCCCGCGATCGAGAGGACAACGGAGAGGGCAGACACACCCGAAAGTAGAGGTCAAAAGCGACCTCGCGACGCCGAAGAGGAATCGGAGGACGATGACAGTGACGTGGCTATGGAAGAGGACAGTGACGACGAATAGGGGTACAGCATCTCTTTTCTAGAGTATCGCTTTACTCATGGCTTTAGGAACCGCCTCGTCATCTCTTGAGCCTCAAAAATACCCATAGAATCAACGCACGACTTGATCCATCATCATCTCCTTCGGCACCCACAGCCCTACACAGCCGCCAACAAGGCCGAGCCACATGGTCAGATAGTTGTCCTTGGAGCAATCGAATCTTGACATTGCGTCGCCAAGGAGACAAGGGTGGACAAAAAGGAGGGGAATCCCGTGACAGGGTGATGCTGGATTGAATGGGAAAACACATTAGCTGGAGCCATGGCGCTGGGGCGTCCTCCGCAGGGTAGGGAAGGAATCGAAAATAGTCAAAATCATGATAGGGAAAGTGAAAGATCGGAGCATACGTCACCAGAAATACCGCCTATCGGTCCCGCACCCCTCAGAGCACCCTTGAACTGGTCCGGGACTAGGTACCGGAAAACAGTATCGATATTGAACGCGGGCTCATCTAGCGGGAGGCCGTGGAGGGTAAACCAGAGACACGGCATTCTATATGTAGGGTGAAGATGGATTTCGTATGTGACATAGCCAACATCCGGGTTAACGCTTGTGTCTCTTCTTAACGCCGCCTACGAACCTAGGTGTCAGGATTTTCAATTTGTTTGCATAGACCAGGGCGCGGTGACGAACCTCGTCCCCGTCCTCATCCACCATCATCTCTTGATCTTGAGTGGCATCAACCACGTCATCTCGAAGTGAGAACCTCTCAATCTCGTAGGACAATCCTCCGTGATCCAAGCTCCCTTGCAGCGGTCGAGTAATCTGTACATATGTTCTATGATCCGAGTCCATCCCGAATGCGGTCGCCAGGGCTGTGCAAACTTGGAGCCTCCAGCGACGGCGGAGTGGCCCTAACGTGGCCTGCCTATATTGGCGGTCTAGAAAATGACACACCTCGGCGAACTCATCTCTTTCCAAGTGAGGGTAGTTCTTAAAGTCCATCATAATTTCTATCGTCCCCTCGAGGGCTCCCAAGACGAAGAGCGTTGGTAAAAGAGGATGTGGAGGTGGGGAGGGGCTCACGCATCGGCAGATATTAGATCCAGTCCATTCAACAGATCAGTGCCTAAAAGCCAGTCCAGGGTTCTAAATGACTGGCCTAACAATAGAGCTTGAGCCTGCTCGATGAGAATACCCTGCTCTCTAGATTTTACAAGGTTAACATGATGCCCAGAATCTAGCAACTACTAAACAAGAGCACCAGCGAGTTTTGCTACATTGATCCATGCCATGCCGTTAATGGTTGATCGATTGAGTTGATCAGTTGGCACTCACGCCTTTCTCTTGTGAGGCTGGCCTGGCACGGTGACCCACTACAGCAGAATCCGTCTATCTAAGTGGATTGATCTACTATCAATCTCTGGCCCTGGATCGATGTTCGGTTCGCTCAAACACGAGGCTTCTTGGGTGTCCGAAGCAGCTAAGAACTAACGAACAAGGTCTATTAAGGCTGTAAACGAAGTGATGTAAAATATTTACGAATCCTATACCAAATATACCGTCAAAACATGCTCCCAAAATTAACAAAGGAAACAGCTCCTGGGATCCATTGATCCAGATAGATCCATTAGGTCTGGTGTCCATATACACTCGATTCCAGCCACTGAACCCGCCGCAATGTGAGCGGACCGTAATGGAAGATAGGCCTGTCACGTGGCTGTTCAACCGAGCCTGTGGCATAATTCGGATGTAACTTTTTTGCGTCCAGCCAATCAGAAGGTGTCAAGAACCTTGTGCGTCTCTCGCTTCTTTGAACATCGCGACAAAGAGAGATAGATCCCTCTCATCAAAAATCCATCATTCCACAAGCACCTTTTTAAAACCAAATATCATCACCAATCCATACTGATTATTTAAAGGAAACAGACTCCATAAGAGAGCCACTTGGTGGACTGCAATGGGTCGTCGTTCGGGACGCGCTGCCGCCAGGCGTGCGGCCGCCGCACTCGGTATGTTGAAGCGATGAATGCTCGTTTTCCGCGCCACTAGCCTCCACGACTCCCCATCTTTCTCTTTGTCGCGTGCTCAAAAATTTTATATCACTAACGAACCCTCTCTTCCGGACAGAAAGCACGCCTAAATCCTTTGATCCTGCTGTCGATGAAGACGAGGCGATGCAAGACGCCGATCCTGTAGAGCCGGAAGAAGAAGAGAAAGAAGAGAAGCCCAAGCCCGAGCCCGAGCCCGAAAGCGAACCTGAACCCGAGCAGGAGCCAGACGCCGAGCCAGACGCCGACGAGGAGGAAGCTGCGCCTGAAGAGTCCGGGGATGAACCTGCTGACAAGGAGGAAGAGTCGGCCGAATCAGCAAAGGAACCTACGCCACCCCCAGAGCCTGTCATTCGGCGCAGAAGGGTCGGGCGACCCCTAAGAACCGCCCTCCAGACTGGGACACGGCAGTTGCGACGCCTGAAAGAGATAGCGATGCCACTCCAAGGCGACGCGGCCGTGGCGGTTGGCGAGGCAGGGGTGGCCGTAAGGGTCAAGCAGGGCCGACAAAGCAGCAACAGACCATTGACCGAGAGGGCACTGTTGTCGACATCGCCGATGACGAATGTGTACTCCCAGAGGATCCCGAGGGAGAGACCAAAGTTGATAAGCTAGGCAATCTACACGGTGGGCGGGATTACCGTTGCCGCACGTTTACAGTTCTTGGTCGCGGGAACAGACTCTATATGCTTTCCACTGAGCCCGCACGTTGTGTGGGTTTCAGGGACAGCTATCTGTTCTTTACTAAGCACTTGAAGCTGCACAAGATCATCGTCGACGATGACGAGAAGCGCGATATGATTGACCGCGAGATCATTCCCCACTCCTACAAGGGCCGCGCAATAGGAATCGTAACTGCTCGCTCAGTGTTCAGGGAGTTTGGAGCACGCATGATTGTCGGTGGGCGACGAATCGTCGATGACTACGAAGTCGCCAAGGCCCGTGCTGAGGGAGCCGTTGAGGGCGAGATTGCCGACCCGACAGACAGATTCATTGAGGGCGAGCCTTATAACAAGAACCAGTATGTCGCCTGGCACGGCGCTAGCGCCGTCTATCACCAAAGCGCGCCGGCCGTCCAGGCGCCAATCGGCAAACCTGACATCAAGAAAAGGCGGGTGAACGTGAACGACACCAACTGGATGCTGGAACATGCCAGGGACGCGAGGTAAGTTGATGGATGTAAGGTAGAGGCTGCCCATGGTCTACGATGCTAACGTGCCTGTCATCTCAAACAGTCTCTTCAACAGCACCCTCACAGCGGTTCGTTTAGGCCAGGTCAGTGGTGTCTATGAAATTCACACCAACATGATGCATTATCCGGCAATGATGCAGCCAACGCATGCAAAGTTCGAGCAACAGCCGCTAGCGAACGAGGAGAGCACGCCGACTGAGAGCAAGCATTTCCCACCGCTGCCCTCACGCGTCGCGCGTAATTTCCAAGTCTTGGACGTGCACATGGAGATGCCCCCGGCTGGTATCTCGACTGCAGCATACGGAAAGACTGTCACGGCCGAATTCCTCAATCCATTCCGGGGCCTCGGGGCTGTTTCTGATGATATCAAGGATCTCCTCCCCCAGAGTGTCGAGCTGCGTTTGATGCGGCCAACGCACAAGAGAAGCAGTGGGTATCGAGGTTCCGAACCGAAACTGAAGACGGTTGCCGCCGCCTACCTGTCGTGGACAAGGCTGTGGTGCCCTTCTTCCCGTCCGCGTAGAAACCTTGCGTCTTTGTGCCCATGCAACGCGGGCCCCTGGCAAGGCGTTTTTTCTGGCGGAAGCGGGCGGTGGCGGGAGCTGTCGCGTTTCGGGGTTCTTTTCTTCTTTTTGTTTATTTGTACAATATCAAGCACACTATCGTAGGGATAGTTTCCGCGAAAGGGTTTAGTTTGGGACGGGGCGCTTGTTTTTTATATCCACCGGGCACATATATATGGGCAGCAGGCAGTAATAGGGCTCTCCCTTGTGCGATGGGATCCCTCGTCTATCCGCTCAGTTTGCCTTGGAAGCCCGCTGCTCATGTTAGATGCAAGTTGGAAATACCCACAACGTGAGTATACATGGCGGTCTCAAGCGATCAGTCCCTCTTACAGATTCGAATATCTATGAAGCCTCCCAGGTTCAATACTCATGTGACCCATCCGCGATGTTCCTCGAGGCCTCAAGAAACCCCAACTCTTCTCCACTGATGCAGACCATCTGCCAAACAAGGTTGGTTGTTCGACATATCCTTGACCACCCCCATCCAATAGAGGCTAGGATTTTCCAGATATGCAGCCAAGTACGTACGTGAGGCCCAATCGCAAGCGTAGGCGGTTTCTTGTGAGAAGCCAGGCTATCATGACCTGATTGGTCTTTTAACTGACCGAGTACATGTTTCTCGTCAAGGGACGTTCTGCATGTGCCAACTCCTGCGCCGAACCTCGAAGATGGCTCGGGAACAGCAGAGCGAACCACACTCGGTTGTCAAGACGAGCTTCACGATGGAGAGCAACCCGGTCAAACATCAAGTATTTGGGGTTGCCAACGGCAAGAATGAGGTAGCAAATGCAGGTGAAGAATAGTAGGAAACATCCAAGAGAGTAACGGCCAGATGCATTGGGCTCAAGTGAGATTTGAAAGTAATGGAACCAAACCCTCGCAGCTCGCTGGCCATGCGGGTCTTGTTCAGCCTCGGTGTGGTCGGGCTGGGAGCAAAGAAGCTGCGATTGGAGCCCCAAGCGCGCAACGAGATCACATCTCACATCTTCTCAGGGCCTGACGAGACCAGTTGCGAGACAAGGATAATATATTCTGATATTCTGCGGGACAACAACCTCCTCGGTGCAGCCAGAAGGATGTAGCAGATGCCAACAGGATTTACATCTATTCACACGCTTGATTTGGTTGGTCCCCGATCTGCCAATGCGGTGATTGTGCTTCAAGATACAAGACTCAAAAATCCAGCTACACTTGCTCGGCTGAAAAAGTGGATTCGGCGTTTCGACTCCTGCTTCAAGTTGCCGAAAGCCACGAGCTCTCCTCTCAGCGAAAGCAGGCAAACAAAGCTCGTGCACCGTGTGCTCTCAGGGCCGAAAGAGGGGTTAGGAAAGAGGAAAAGGAAGGAGAAGAAAAGAAAAAAGGGTGAGCAGGGGGTGCGAAGGGGCCTGGGCACGATCTAGAACGCGCGGGCGGTTGGGAGGGGAGGATGATCGTCCCCGACGTCTCCTCAGACTAGGGTTATGACTCCAGAGAAAAGACCATTGAAGTCCCTGAGGACGGGATTGCCAAGCGCCAGACTAGCATTGACATGCAGCAGAGGCGGGGAGGTTACAGGCGGTGTGAGGTGTGGGAGAAATGTGGGCGGCTTGGGAGGGACCGGGAGGGACCAGGAGGCAAAGGTGGGGAGACATTGAAAGTGTGAGAGGCACGGCCGAGGGCGGCACCGACAAGTTCCGAGTATCAATTCTCACTGGCTGAACTTCGAGCAGCGGTTCTGCACGCTTGACCCTGGCTTTTGCCTGGCCAAGGGAAGCACTTCGGGACTCTCTGCCTGTGCTACCTCCCCAACCATTTCCCCACCATTCGCCGTTTACCTGATCAGGCACTCATTCACCCGTGCATGTCGTGGATGAAATCTCGACGTGCAGAATTTTTAGTGCCCTCCCTTCTTCCACGTCGATTGATCTAGTGCTAATTGATCCACACCATTAATCCCTTTTGGTAGCTGCTCCTCGCTTTCGTGCAGCAGGAACGACGGGCCCGGTTTATTGACCCCCGCCCACGCCAATCACCAGGCAAGGGAGGGAAACAGTGTACACTACAGCATAGGAGGAAAGAAAAGAAGAAAAAAAAACCCTCAACTCAGCCCCTCATCATTCTCCCAGATCCACGTCCTGCATGCACCATGTAGGCCGTCCAGTCGAAAGAAGCGGAACACCATGCCAAACAGAGTATCGTCTTCCCAAAGCCGCCGGTCGACTCCTCTTTCTTCCTTCCTCTAACCTTGCGGTTCAAGATGCAAAGCGCTCCTCATCTGCACCCACATCTGGAGAGAATGGCAAGGTACTCATCCTCCCTCCCTTACCCCGCCACCCAGAGGAGGAGTCGGCCACCACCATCTTGTGTCCACGCCACCCACCCTCGCCTCCCTAGTGCGGGAGGAGAAGAAGACGACGAGTAGTGAGTCGGCTATGGGCGGAACTCGGACATCATCCCCCAATTTTGGGTAGTGATACATTTTCGTCCTGCAGGCAGCGATCAAGTGAACGAGATCGGCCTCTCGTCCCGTAACCACCGGGTCTCTCCAACGTCTTCAACATTCCACTTTGCCCACCCTCACCCGAGAAATTGAAAACTGATGCATGAAATGAATCGGCGTCGAGTAGTAAAGACTACTTATTGACATTCACTTGGACGTAGGTTCACTCTGATGGAGCGAACCGAAGTGGAGGTGCAGGCACATGCGTCCTGGCGGCAAGAGGAGTTCTTCGTTTGCTAGTAGCCTGCGTTGGTGCTCGTGACAAATTGTAGACGTAGAAAGGAAGGTGAAAATCCCGACGAAAGCATTCGACATTGGCAGGCAAGGCAGGTTCACCAGTGAAGCCTTTTTTCTTTCTTTTTTGAAGTGGTGATCTCGCCGTCCCCATGACGTAACCACGCCACCCTCGTAGTTCATGGTGAGAGGCTGTGGATGCCTACTCGCCCACCACTTCTAGTAACGATCATTCTTTTTCCTTAGTTTTGATGGATCTTGCTATTCTTTTCTTTCTTTCGTTTCGTTATATCAAGAATTTCCAACCCGACGGACAAGTGTTCTCGTGGGTACATCCATCCGTTGTATCCGTGGATCATCAATTAATGACGATACTCATTGCCACGTGAGAATGGCTGTCCCAGACGAGCGTTCGGCGAGGAACGCCATCAGAAAAGCTGCATGGGGGTGGACTCGTCATAAGCAGCTTTGGCCGGTATGATATGGGCAAGCTTCTCACGAAATTAATGAGAGCCTAATACCTTAGCCAGCTGCCTTCCCGAAACCACTTGCTCTTTAACTCGGGGCGAGAATTCCTTCTTCTCTCGTGTGGGCGCCTCTACCTCCTCGTCGGTAGTCAAAGTTTCTTACAGCCCGGCAGCGCCGCCAGCGGTGAAGCTGAAGCAGCACCTGACGTACTTGTATGTAACGGGACATCAAAATTTCTGCTGCCTGCAAGAGCAATAAAGCTTGTACTAGTACTCGAACGGCTCGCTGGCCTGTTTAGCCCTCGCGAATACAAAATCTTTCCCTGGCCGTGTTTTACTGGCCGGTTGGGGGTGGGAGAAAGAGACACATGATGTTAAAATATCGACGTTGTAGTCAATCTCGCTAGGGGAGTCGCCGAGGATATGACAAGGACAGATGCGGGCGCTTGCCCGTTAGAGGCAGATCCTAGGCAGGTCCAGATGATTTTGCTGTCGAAATGTTCATTTGAAGCTTCTCCATCTCGAACATTGAAGGCTCAGTCCGGCCAAGCGGGCGGGAGCGTTGTGTCACAATAAATGCGTTGACTGATGTAGGTATACCAGCGCACCGGGATAACGGGATAAAGAAAAACCCGCTTGCACTGGGGCTTTTTTTTTTTCTCTTTTTCTCCGTTGTCTCGAGGCTAGGGTTGGTGGTGGCTTGGTGGGGTCCAAAATTGCCCGAAGAATCGAACAATGATGATATTATTCTGTGGATAGGATCAAGATCTATCCCATCGTTCAAAGCTTGCTGGGTCATCCACAAGGAAGTCAGCCGATCTGCCCCTTCTCCCATTCGTCACCGCCACCGAGGGCCGTGGCAAAAGGGACATAGATCTGTTATCTACCTTGCGTCAATATGTAATCTTGAATGACAGACCCCGAGGCAGCGCTGGCCCCATCGTGAAAGACTTGTCGTCACCCCACGCTCTCGGATTAGGTCGGTCAAGACCCAGCGCCACTGGCATGTGGGACTTTTCTCCCACCGCCCATCGATCTTCTCGTCCGAAGCAAGGTGTTCGACGCTGACCCGTCTTGCCCCTGTGGACCAGGCGTGTAGAGAACTTTCTTAAGTGCCTGCAGCAAGTGGGTACGCCGATACTGAGTCCGCCTCCCGGTGGTGCCTGGATTTTTGACTTTTCTTCCTCCTCCCAGGAATCCTCTTGTCCACCAACCCTCTTCAGTCCCACAGTAGACACCGTGCAAACTTATAGCTGAAGCTGATAGCGCGCCCTTCTCTAAAAGCAACTGGGCGTAGCGCTGGTGACGAGGCTGGTGGCTAGAGTGGATTTGTCCACTTTTTTTTTTTTTTTTTCTTTTAATTTTAATTTTAATTTTAATGTTTTTTTTTTATACAGGAACATTGAGGATGATACAACTGGTGATTAAGGAAACGGTTAATCCGGTGGAACCTTTCTTCAAATCTGGGCTTGTGCTCTCTCTGATGCCCAAGCCGATCGATCAGGCAGGGGACCAAGCAGGGTTAAGAAACAAGTACACTACACTAGGTAATTGACACACATTGCTCATGTGTTTGAGGAGAGTTACATATTAGACCATGCCATTGGACATCTCTCTTTCCGGATTGTGTTGCCGGGCTGTTAACGACGAAGAAGAACCCCCTGAGATCGGAACGGAGATGAGCTCGGTTTAGAGATTTCCTTTTCTTGATTTTCTCGAGAACTGCGCCTTTGCGTTCTTTTCTGGCAACTTCCTCCCAATAGCGGAACAGCGGTCCACTACACTTTCCAAAATAGTACGTTGAAAGTGCGTCGTGCATGAGTGTGCTACTTGGTAGTAGTACTTCCTAGTCTCAATACTTCCTTTCTTCGGCTAGAAGAGCCAGTGATGAGGTACAGTAGCAGTACTTGGGTCGAGTTCAATGGAGACTTGATCAATCCCACGCTTGATCCACTCACTCTCCTTCGAGAACAATGGACGGCGCGAAGCGCAGAAATAGACAGCCCCTAATACCAGCCTCCGTCTCTTCAGCACGGCGGGGTCTTTGATGTTCATCAAATGGTCCTCTCGTTTAACATATTCTCGAATGTGACACACAACATGAGCCATTTTCTTGTTTACTTCCCATTCCACATCGCTTGGGATGCATGTCATGAGAAGGAAGAGAAAAATTATTATCCCGAGTCCGCCTTTCCAATTCCCACCCCCACATTTCTTTGCTGTGAGTTGTGGGTTGCAGCTTGTCATGCCATGCAGACGGAGGAAGAATAATCGTGGAGACGTTTTGCGAAGATGCCGGAACTGGGGAATCCGTGAGTCCCTGGTTATCTGGCGGTGAGGTGGCGGCGTCCTTACCACTCCTTTTCCGTATTCCATCAATCTCATATTATACTCGACACTAAATACGACCTACTCCCTCAGGAAGAGAAGCTGTTGTCATCATCTCCGCTCGAGTTTGTCCCTAGGCAGAGGCAGAGAAGGAACCCCCGTTCCCCCCTCCTTTTGGGGAGGAAGCGCCCTCTCTTTGCCGAGTACTTGCCCGTCATCCGTTGCTGGGGCTGCCTTTGGAACATCAAGAGTCAGGGTTCTCATACGGCAGGGCTCTCCTTCGACAGCGCGGTTGCTTTGTTTATTGTTCTTCACCTCAAATTTGAGAGTCGTTGCCTGATTCGAGATCCTGAGAAACGAACAGGGGCTAGTCGTTTGTCTAGGCAATAGCGTATTAATTTTCTCTCTTTTCTTTCCATCACGTCTTCTCCCAAATTTACTTTCTAGTGTAATACTTCTAATAAATGGACCTCAAGACTTCTTTAATTTTACATGTCGTTTATTAGCCACCAAACAAGGCTTCGGTCGAGACCCAGGATTGCTCGTGTTCTGCCATCCCACACCACCCACCTGAAGAAGATCAATACGAAGAACTTCGTAGCTGGATCATGGGAGACTCGCATTGTGCTTCAGTGGCGAGCGGTGTGTCTAGCGTCGGGCCCTGCCCGCGCTGGCTGGCCTTTGTACGGCTAGTGTACACTACCTTTTCCTGATACCCTGTTCCGACGCCACCGTTTTGCCCCCTTTTTCTCGAGAGTGGTCGCTCGCTGCCTCGTGCTTCCCATGTTGTACACTCCTAGTACTTTGGCTTTCGCGCTCGTGGGGCCAACGACTGTCGACCTTGCTGACATGGGCCGTTCCTCCGTCTAAGTAGACAAGGATATCCTTTTTCGTCCCAACGAAGTAAAGCGCACTACTTGTAGGCACCTGAGCATACCCTTGATAATTGGTGAGGCATCCAGGCCATAGAGATTGACGAACTGTCGAGGGGCCCTGGCCGTACTAGCCCCGAGTGTATCATTTCAAGCCCCCTCGCCGATACCTGATAGATGTGCTGCAAATCTGGCTGAAATTGGGGGAATTACGTGTTGTTGTTGTTGTTGTTGTTGAGGAGGGCCCCATGAACTACTATTGAGAACCTGAAGCCTGGGATTGGAAGGGGTACAAGTATTTGAGAAGATCGATGCCAGGTTGTCTGCTCAGAAATGTACCGAGGAGTGAGAAGATTTGCTCTGAAGGAGTTGGGTTACAAGTTTTACGGAGTAGAAACATGAGCTCAGATCCATTGTTCGTCATTGTACAAGTCGAACAGAGAGCGATATGTTCACTACACTGCTTTCTCAAACATCCATCGAATTCTTCCTTGTGAGAGGCACCACTAGACGGATGTGTCGGCTCCCTCAGTCTGGTTGAAAACTGTTCGGACGCAGGCGGAACTCGATCAACGGCCTGATCGCCACAATGTGCCGTACACGTTAGAAATCGCATTATTCCCGCTTCCCACCGTCGGCCGTCTCACATCATATTTTCCACCTTTGGTGCATGGAAGAATGGGAGAAGGGTGGGATAATTTCGAGTTTTGTTCCATCCAGACCTTCTGTTGCCTCAGGTCTTGCCGTTGGTTGGAAGAGAGATTGGACGAAACCGTTATCGATGTACTACAATAAATGTGTTATCCGTTCCAAGTAATGAACGTCCCTTCATCGAACGGAGCCAAAAATGGATGCTTGCCTGTACTTCGGAGGATCGATGTGGAAGAAGAGACGTGCCAAGGATAACGGGAGAAAAAGAGAACTTTGAAAGGACCCCGCCAACAACTTTTGTCGCACTGTCGCAAATCGAATGGTCAATCAAAATATTTTGGGAAATTGGGGGTTGGTACAGGAGGGATTACGTATAGGACATGCAACATTGAACTGCTGGAGTTGATTGGTGCCCCGTCATCTGACCACTCACCCTCCACCGCCTTTGGACCGTAATATTGATCAATTGGTGGCAGATTGACCGCATCTCCAAGGCGCCAAAGGAATTGACCTATTATCCCCAAAGTACCGAGGTATTGAGATTAAGTACTGTGGAAGCGATAAACAGACATGAAATCTGCGTGGTTGGCCTCCTTCCTTGTCCTAGCTTCAGACGGCGAGAAAACAATACAATCCCATGCCACAGGTTGCAAGGTAGATTTGTGTGTCCTGTTGATGAATTGGATATCTTCTAACCTCAGACGAACGAATAAATGAAGAGTATCATGTCCTGCCGAGAGGGCTTCTGCCGGGGACAGAAAGAATGAGCGTTTCGCTGAAGGCCAGCGCGGGAGAGTCTCAACACAGCACTGGTTGGGCTGAGCTGTTCCTCCGGTGCTCCTAACCAGAAAGGTATTAACGTGTGTGGGCAAATAGGAGCAGGTATCCTCAGCAGAAACAGACGACTCGGCCAAATGAAGGTGATAGGGCGAGGGCGGCCGTGAAGGGAGAGGATCTGGCCCGCGCGTGCCACATGATTTGGTAGGGAGTTCGGCGCCCTCCATTCAGCAATGGCCTATTATTATTGAAGGGGAGGGGAGGAAAAAAAAAGAAAAAAGACTCAGTGGCATCAGCCTGTTGACGCCAAGGGCAACACGCTCCACCTTTGCCGGCATTGCCCCGTTCTCCTGGACATCGGAGTTTCGCCTTGGCCTGTGTGTATTATTGTTATTTTTATACGAAAAAGAAAGAAAAGAAAAAAAGAAAAAGAAACCCCCGACCTCTCACTGGTTTCTTTTGGTTGCAAAGAAGGCGATTTCAGGGTTTGTCTTCAAAGTAGACAAGAAGATGATGACCTGCCATCGGCTGGCTCGGCTTTCAGTGGCTTCATTGACCCGAGATCCTGAGAGTCATTGAACAGAATAATCTTCAGTGATTGAATATATGGTTTCTCGGGATACTTTGTTTAGTTCAAAGTGCACATGTCTAAATGTAATGAGAAGTGACACATTGGTGATGTTGTTGTCGCGAGGATGAACTGGGGCGAGCCATTTGGGTGAGGCCTGGAAGAATTAATGCAAGGACAACTGAGGATCCAAGGGATCGGATTCGTTCGCCCCCTTTAAGCCTTTCGCGCCACGCCCACCAGCCCATCTTCTGTAAAATTTGCCGCTACTTTTTCGTGAAGGGAGCTATGTCCACACCCCATCGAAACCTGATCCACGTTCAATTGACCGGGTTGCTTGTTTTGACCCACCCATTCTCGCCCTAGCGCCCTCGAAGAAGTCTCGAATTGGGAATAGTTTTGACAGTCGATGAAAATGGAGATGAACACTGGCTGGCCAGCCGCCCAGGAAGTGGGTGGTCTGCTCTGTTCTGCTCGAATTCAAGTTATGATGGGGGCGCTGGAGAACGGACTTCCACAACTGGAAGCAAGGTGGAATCTTTACCGGAGAAAGTTGGGAGTAATTAAACACACTACTTTGAGATGTTGGTTGTTTAAAGAACATAGGAAGAAACGAGATACAGGTGCACTAGCCCTCAGACACCTCTGACAAGCAATCCACCCCAACCTCATCTGGGGAAGCACCACCAAAACATAATTTCTCCATCCGACCCGTGCTCTTATCCGTCTTCGGAAGGGAAACGGGGATCGGTTCTCCTCGAAGCTGTGCACACCCCTTCCACGAGAAACAAAGTCATGGTGACGTTTCTCCCTGGAAAGGCAATATTCTACATACACATACCTCGGTACACTGGACTAATAAGCGGGAGCGACTTCTAGGGGTTAATGGTGTACTTTCTTGGTGGCTCCTGCCTGCAAGGGAATTGTCTGCCTGCACTGATCATGTTGGAGGAAGGCGCGGAGGCCGAGGAGTGATACCTCGTCACCTCAGCACACCATGGTATTTGCCAGGGTGGGAAATCGGAGGGTGGAGGGCGAATTTGGTCTGCTGTTGACCCAAAATCGCGCGACCCACCTTCACTGGTGACTAAGTTATTTTGAGGAGTTCTTCATCAAATTTCGTGTCTCCAGTGTGGGAACGTCTGGTGAAAGTACACCTGAGAAACGGGCGGACGGAACGGTGCAAGCGGTACTGGAAAAGGGGGTACCTCGTACATCTTGCCTCGTACTTAGGTACTCCGCCCTCGTTTGTGAACCCACTTCCTGTTCGAAAATCCGCCTGTACCAGTACGCCTCCTCCTCCCTGAGTCCTGGGCCAAAATTTGCTGTAACCATCTGCATGGTGGTCAGGGCACTGGCTCCACCCACCACTGTCGGTTTCCTGCTTCATTTCCTTTTTCTACTCCATCCCTCCCGAGCCCTTGATATTCTTCTTCTCCCTTCACCCTCCGATCCGTCCTCTCTCCGAAACTCCAACCGAATCCGCCTTCTCACGACAAACATCGTCATTGTTCGTCGACGACTCTTTGACCGTCTTGACGTCTTTGGCATCTGGATTCAGGTTTCCTTCCCTCGACCGAGCAGAAGACGAGAATTGCGAGTTGATCAAGCATCTTGGTTGAACAAACTCTTTTTCTTTTTCCGCCGGTTATCAGAAAACACCGGTCGTCCGTGGAGCGGTCATTCAACACGTCAAGGAACATCAACACCGCCCTTCACTGTGCACCCACGGAGGCCGATACTATTGCCCTTGTACTTCTTTCGATTTCTCTTTCCACTGTCTTTCAAACACATAGCTCGCCCTAGGTTGTTGACAACAGTCCGCCACCTTCGAATTATTTGCTAGCGAGCATTTCCTGGTTTTCGACACGACTTTTTTCTTTTTCTTCCCCGATCACCTTTGACGAGAGGAGACTGTAGATTTCCTACCGCAAACTCCTACGAGAACCCCGAATACGATACGACTTTCTTTTCTACATTTTCTTTCTATTTGTACACCCGTTCATTTGTCGGGAGTTCGACCAGTTGTTGCGTTTTTGATCGGTCGATAAACACGAACAGACGACTTCGTGTGTAGTTGTCTGAGTTACTACGAAGCACCTTGGGTGGCCATTTCGCATTTCCAGAGTCATACTATACTTGGAAACCATAGAGACGACATTGTTGATGGCGACCATTTGCCATTAGAACCCGTTAACCCACCACCCCGATTGTCGGCCTGTGGCCTTGGAAACATCGAAGTTCTTCCCGCTTCAGCCACTGAGTAAGGTGCCTCCTCAAGGTACCTCATCGACATCTCTCGCATCCCTGCACGAAGTCTGACCAATTATTTCCATCATGCCTGGCGGCGTGTGTGCGGTTCTTGACTATGAGGTGGACGCTATGGCGGAGTATGTAGCGGAAATGTCCATGCGAGTGGTTTCCCCGAAACCACGGTCTCCTCGGCTTTCCGAAAGTTCGTCACGCAGATCCTCACCTCAACTCGTCTTCCTAGCACCACCATTCTCCTCGGTCTCAACTATTTGGCCAAGCGTGTAAACACTTGCAAATCGCAGGGTCCCTTCAAGGCCACCGAAGGACAGGTTTGGCGACTACTCACGGTTTCGCTGCTGCTGGGCAGCAAGTTCCTCGACGACAACACGTTCCAGAACAGGTCGTGGTCCGAGGTCAGCGGCATTGCTGTATCTGAGTTGAATGCTTTGGAAACGGAATGGCTCGCCTCCTGTCACTGGCAGCTCTATGTCAACCTAGACAAGAGCAACGACTACCAGGCCTGGCTTGACAACTGGAAGGAGTGGCTTGCTACTAAGAAGCGAGCTGCTCACCTTTCTAGCCAACGCCTGGCTACGCTCAGCCCTATCCAGACTACGTTCGTTCGCCCCAACGATATTCCCTCGCCTCCGTACGTCTCGACGCGTCCTGCCATCTTGGGCGCCGTCGACATGTCCCGATACGCCACAAAGGAGTACCCTCAAAGGCAGACTTACCATGGGCAGGACACCATGTGGATGCACTCTCAGTACAGGCCAGGCCCTCAGGCTCCCATCACCCCGCCCGACTCCGGTTATTCGACTCCCGATTACGTCTCGTCGGCGACCTCGGCTAATGGGCGCTACCAAGACTGGTTCGCCCAGGCTGCGATGCAGTACCATGCCTATCACCAGACCCCGGCCACAACCCGTACTACGCACGTCACCATGGGCATGGCCACTATCCTTACTGGGATCCGGCGATCGTGGAGTGCAATTGCCCCCACTGCCCAGCTCCGGTGGTGAAACAGCCCTATTACGTCCAACACGGCTACACTCAGCCTGTGATGGGCTAAATAGATTCCACATGGCATCATTTTTTGTCCCCTCTCTTTCTTCTCTTCACTGCAAATCCCCGGTTTATGATCAAACATTCGGCACCAGACCCAGCTTGGGCGTGGCCATTTTCATGTCTACATTACATTGATTTATTACTTTTCCCGCCCCCTCTTCAACGTTACACTTTTTCTTTTTCTTTTTCTCTATCCTGGCATACCCGGAACGATATACACTTTGCATGGTCTGATACCCACATTCTCGGCCCTGTGGAAGCGATAGCGCGCGAAGCCAAGCAACAACTCATGTGGCGGCCTCGTTGTCAAAACGAGCCTCCCTGAGACATCTCGCGACGCCTGCTCCAACAACCATAGGCTCCCGTTTTCCTTTTTCTTTTTCTTTTCATTTGCCTCGGCTGTCACGGGAGCTACCATGTGAACCCAAAAATCGACGACACGACCTTTCGATACTTTGCTACCGGTTTTCTTTATCTTTTCATTCGTGGTATACGGCATTCACTCCATCACTCGGCGCTTTCCCCTCGGAGTTTTCTATTTTGACGAAATCATTGCACTGGACTCGGTGTCCTCGATAGACTGGTTTTCTGAGTTTCTTTTAATCCTGTTCTCTCACCACATTCGAACCAGCGCTTCTACTTGGGCTAAGGTTTTATTCCATCCATCCTAGCCTCACGGAGACTCACTGCATCCAATGCCAAACTTAGGCCAGCTGGCGGCTTGGATATGAAAGAAGTTGAACAATCACGTCTAGGTGGTGACGGTGCAACACCCCACTCGCATGCGAGTATAACACGGTTCGACTTGTCTTCCAAAGACGGCCGCTTGAAGTGAGAACTGTCGACTACCTCCTTTCTCAATGTTGTGCATCCTCCGCGCCGGTTTATAGCATCGGCAGCCGGATTAATGCGAACCTGGACTCGATCCTCGGCTTGGACATTTTCAGGAACATCATCGGCAGTAGTATGCGGAAGCCTCGTGGACCAGGCATGCAATCATCACTCAACAGCTATTTGGAGCTACTGGACAACATCTAAAAGTTTTGTTACCCACTTTCAATTTTCTTTTTTTTTTTGTTTTCTTCTTTTTACGACATCAAGTGGTACAAAACATGGGCGCGGAGAATACCGTATATTCATCCTTATTGAGCTTGGCGTAACTGTTATTAATTTTTATCTTGTCTCTTTTCTTACACTTCACATTTTATACATTATTCAGGTTCATCTAGGGGATTTTTAGCATCACGAGGCTGCTCGATGCATTTGAATTGGGTGGGAAAATTTGGGTTATCTTTGGGCTGGTTCGAATCTTTTGTTCACTCCGATATCTTGGCCTGTTTCCTCCCCCAAGCATGAAGGCTGGACTCCTGCCTCGCGTGGTGGCTTCGGCGATAGTTTCCAAACGAAACACTCGTCTCGATATTCAAGGCAGGCTTTTGCCATGCTGTGAACTCTGGTCACTTCTCGCTCGGGGGCGTGGTTTCAAAAGCAGTTGATCACTATACGGAAACAGGACTTATTAGTTCCCTTTGTGTTATTTGCTCCTTTCTTACATTTTTCTTCATTCTACAACTCATCTCTTATCTGCTTAGGATTGGGATGGTATGGGGTTTAATACGGGAATCCTTTTGAGTTTGTTCGGATTTTATCTCACATCTCGGTGTTTTTCTTCTGCTCTTCTCGATATGGAGCCCGGGATGGGCACTCTCGATGGCTCGCGTCAATCCACGCCTCGCTCTCCCCTCCTTAACTCAGGAAATGGTTATTACGCATAGAGGCAGTGGGGGTTTCTTGCGCTGCAGTCCTTATCAAGGGCAGGGTTCCGGTATGATTCGGGGTTGTCTGAGAGTCTAGTTCGCGCAGATGGACTTGAAAGCCTCAAGCTGTTGGCTTAACTCGAGATGTTACGGCAGCAGCCAAACCACCATCCTGCCCTCTAGTCGGGGGTATAGCATTCAAGAAGAGATATAAATACATTTAAAGGCTATTCCCTCATCGGGAAGCGTACTTTGCGATTCGATTCAATCTTGACATTTCTTTCCTCCTTTGAATGCTGTTAATTTTGAGGTCTACTAGCCGTAGTCTTCGTTACATCTAGTTGCATCCATCAAGCTCTTCTTGGAACTATATATGAGCTGGTGCTCTGTGTGAGCTCTGTATGGTGAGTCTGGGGAGTCTGGGGGAGTGGGGTGGGCAGGATGGTAACCTGTATCTGAGACTCCTCTAACCTCCAGTCTCTCTTCCGACTAGATATGGATCCATTGATTCAATTGATCCATTAGTTGATCAATGATCTGCTGGATTGACAGTGATTGTCTAGTTGGTGGCTTCATTCTTGTTAAGAAGGAGTTGTATTAGTTACAAGTAACGACAGGAGCCAGCTTCATGAACAAGATTTGAAGATTTAGTTCAGACCGACCCAACCCCTCCACCTCTTTTTTCTAATTTTTTTTTGACCAAGCGCCCACGGATGGAGTCACTGCCGCCCGCCGTACTTCTCCTGACCCCATCCACTACTCACTTTAGGACGAGATAATCTACGCGTTGCGATATTCGCTTCGATCGAAGAGGACCGGCAGCACAAAACAGAGCTCGTGTAGTTTTGGCATCGAGGAGTGTGGCGACCACATTCCTTGTCGCCGAAACAGGGGTGGAAGGAGCAGCCACATCCCTCCAGGGGCTCTCTCTAAAAGCAATAGAAGCTGAAAAAGAAAAGAAAAACAAAAAGAGAAAAAAACCTCCTATTAGGTGCATTGAAAGAGAGGTGAGAGGTGAAGCAGCCTTGGAACAAGTTCTGAAATGACGTCGCGCTTTGTTTCCGGCGGCGCCATTGACTCTGCGAGCGGCGAGCGCATCGAAGGAGCGGCCCCCACAGACGGAGAGGCGGCTGTGGGTAAGAACAACGCCGAGTGGGAAGCGGTGCAGAAAGAAGTCGAGGAGACGAGGAAAAGGCGGGAAGAAGCGCGGAAATTGGAAGAATCCGGCGAGCAAAAGAGTTTGTTCGATATACTCCAAGCGAACAAAGGTAAGAAAGAGATTCTTTCCTCAGTCGCACCTCGTTGGAACCCACCCTTCACCCCTTTTCCCCACGTCCTTCCCCTCCTTCTCCTTTTCCCCGGCTCTTCTACGCCCTTTTGGGGTATGATGGAGGGAGGAGCAGCCAAAAAGAAAAAAACTTTGCTGCTAACCTTGCATGATCAACAGCTGCCAAGCAGGCAGCCTTTGAAGAAAAGACCAAGATCCGGAACCAGTTCCGCGCCCTGGACGACGACGAGATAGAGTTTCTTGATGAAGTGCGTGCGTCGAAGAGGGCTGAGGAGGAGCGGCTGAAGAGGGAGACGGAGGAAGGGTTAAGGGCGTTTCGCCAAGCTCAGAAGGGCGGTCCGGGGGCGGATGCTCAGGAGGCTGACGACGAAGACGGCGCCTTGGAGATTGGGGAGGACTGGGGAGTGGGTAGGAAGAGGAAGCGGATTAGAGAAAAGGACGGGGTTAAGGGCTTGAGGAGGAGGGTCAGCGGTTCGGACGAGGTACCCAAGAGTCAACGGGGCGGCCAGATATCGGAACCATCGACTGGGGAAGACACGCCAAAAGCGCCAGCCGAAGCTGAGAAGAAGAAACCTGAGGTGGCCGCGAAACCGAAACTTGGAGGCCTTGTGGATTATGGTTCGGATGATGAGGATGATGAGTAGTAGTGAATTAGAATAGGAGTCGTCTTCTCTATCGTGGATGGCCGCTATCCAAGTCTATATGCAGCTCCCATCAAACAACACAAATGCCTCCGTTCCACGCAACGGGGTAGAATCTATAGGTACAAGTACATATGCGGGCCACCTGTCCATTCGCGCCCGCAACGATTTAGTGATTTTCCTAGCAACCCTCAAAACAAATCACAAATGATCTTCACCGGGCCAGTATTGTACAAAACCGCCGTAGCACAGCGGAAGCGCCCATATCACGGGCCACCGGAGTAGTAACTACCCTATTCGTCCGAGGTGTCTCCCACCTTAGGCTCCCAGTGCTTGCCCTGCCACTGGGAGGCGCCCCATCGGAAAAGTTGGCGGAAACTTCCCTTGATCCAGCCCTCAATCTCCTCCTCGGGGACCACGACTCCTTTTGCTATGGCTTCATGCTCAGAAAGAAGCTCAAACTTCCTCATCCGGGACATGATGCGAGGGTCCGTCACGATGGGGACGGGCCAGATCTTCTCCTTGGGGCGTTCGACCACGGTCTTGACAGCCTCATCGCCCGTCTTGTCCTTGTCCTCCTTCTCCTCCTTCCACACGCTCTTGACCCAATTACGCTCTTCATGCTCGAGGAGCTTGACCTGGGGGTACTCGCCTGAGCCGTCCTCTGGCCAATCGGCCGATACGGCGAAGCAAACGGCCGCAACTTCGCGGCCAATGCTGTCGGCTAGCTTGCGACGATTAAGGAACCATCCAAATCGCTTTGGGGTGCTGGTGAAGCCGAGGACGTGAGGAAATTCGACCGCCGCGGAGGGGCTGAATTCGTGGGGGATGTGAAACGGAAGGCCCGCACTCTCGTAGTCTGCCGTGGTATTATATGAGGGCGGCTGAGGAGGGCGTTTGGGCTTCTGTTCCTCGTCCTTCTTCTCCTCTTCTTTCTTCTCTTCCTCCTTCTGTGAATCACTGCTGATCGCTGGCGCGTTCTCCTCGCCCTGGCCGGTAGTAGGAGGAGTCAGATCATCCACCTTGACCGGAGTGATGGCTTCAGAGCTGGTGGGGGTCTCTGGAAGAGCGGGGGTCAAGGGGGCCTAGCCAACCCTCATGTAAGCCTCGAAGATACTCCTTCCAAGTGTGTCTGCCAACAACAAGGTCGCCCTTGATGCCTTCGTATTCGGCGATACCGCTTCGCTTCCTAGACTCCAAGATTGTTTTGTCATTCGTTGGAAGAATGTCTTCCTCGGGCCGCTCGTGCGCCTTCCTCTGCCGCCGTATATTTTCAGCCACTGCTGCTCTTACGTCGCCTTGCTGCCTTCCTTGAACAAAGTCCCAGTCGATGCCCGATGCACTTAGGATAGGCTTGACATATTCGATAAAGTGATCTTGTGTCACACGCAGGCCGTCGCCAGGGGGCTCTCGAGGAAGACGGTAATCTTTCGGGGCATCTGGTTGGGATTCCCGAGGGGTTCTTGGGCGAGGTGGGCGACGGCGCGCGTCCATTTTGCCGTAGCGCGGTTCTTCTCACGCTTATCATAGATTATAGCGGCGGATAGACCAGTGGTGAGCGCCCAGAAGATCATCCAGTTGCGCGAGGGAAGCTTCTTAGGGAGCATGGGGATGCCCATCATCCGAAGAGCCGGGTTGCCCTGGGGGCGCGCTGTTTTCGCAGCGGCCGTGGGGGCGGTAGAAGGGCCATTCGCAGCAGCTGCTGTGGTCCCAGCGGCGCCAACCTGATAAATGTCAGCAAAGTTTGAGGAAGAGTGTTCGGGCAGGGTTGGCCTACGGGCTCCGTGGGTGGCTTCACGTCGGCCATTGCTCGTGTGTGGTCGCCACAGAGGGCTTTGTAGCGCAAAATCGGGGGACCCTCAGCTATTCGAAGGCGAGGGCTTATTTGGGCCAAGATGAGTCAAAATGCAGGTATGCCGTGGTTCCAGTCCCTGTCAACGGTATGCTGTTGCAAGAATGGATCTTGGCTTCTAGGTTTCCCAACGCGAACAAAATTTCTCTCTGCATCCGACCACTTTCGCGCTTATCGGCAGCTTATCAGTCACAGCTGATAGCAGCCGTAAAAAGCGACGAGATTGAAAATTGATTGGTTATGTAATACATCTGCTTTTGGTTCCTGGACGGACCCTTCAAATCAATGAACCCTGGCTTGCCTGGTAATTCCTTTCCTCTGTCGATGGCGGTTTAGTCGTAAATATCTTGCCCCGAAACTCCGCTTGTTCGCATCTTGTTACGCGCTATTTTGCCGTTCCAGGACTTCTGCATCTAATTCTTGAAGTGTTCCTCACCGCCAAAGCGTGAAATGCGGCCGTTGAGTCTTTGGCAAGAGGGGTGGAAACACGACATGGCATAATAACCCGCTCTGTCGGTGTTTGACCACTCGACAACGGTGGACCAATGTCGTGCTAGGACGGCGCCGAGGAGCACAGAGCACTGCTTCGCAAAGGCATGGGAGAGGCATGCACCACCACACCGTCGACTATCGAACCCTTCTTGCGTGGCACACCTCTTTTGGCTGCTTCTAGCTCTGCTTCGACTCCGTTCTATGCATGTAACCTAATGATATCCGCTGGCTGACTTTCCGGGCACATGCCATGTGCGGTGAGGGTGGTTGTGTTGCCCTCCTCCCTACCGCCTTCAGCGGAGCCCTGCTCGCCTATCTCAAGGCGGATACGAGGTTAAAACCCTGCGAGACCGTGTGTTGAAAGACTAGCCAGCAGAGATCCTCAATCAAGCCCGCCAGAATACCTGCTGCCAGTGGTGAGGTATTGGTTCAGTCTTTTATGCACCTACACAGGTCCCGCGAGAGAGGGGTTCAACTGTACGCTGAGACTGGGCATACGGCCAATTCTGTCAACTTTTAGGAATTCAGTGTTATGTAGTACTAGCCCATTGTGTTTGATGGGTAATACACCTACTGTGTTCAGGGGTGACACTTAGTAAAGGCGTTTGGTGGTGGGCAATTCCTAAAACTCACGTCAACATGTACATCATTGATTCATTGCCGCAGGTTCGGTCATTAATATTCCTAAAAATGCTTAGGACCCCAGAAATGTAGTTGACAACAGGTTCCTAACGCTAAACGATTTATCTAGTGCTTAGTGGAGTAGCGATCTCCTGCGAGACACTCGTGTATATAAAATGGGTCTCTTGAGGTTGTGGCATTAAGCTGCGTTTTGTCAGACCAACTCGGTTTCTTTCACTGTTCTCTGCATGTCCGTCTCCTCGTAAAACGGCTTTCTATCCTGGCCCACGGAGAACAATAGTGTTGCTGCTTCACCTTGTCTCGATCCTTGCGAACCACCTCGTCACCTTCGTTGATATCAAGTCCATTTACAAAGTTAGTGGACAGGACAGCAGAATTAGCGCCACTAATCGGCAAGACTTTTTGCCCCTGACCGCCGCTTTCACGCCTCCCGAGTGGAGTTGAGGTGAGTGGCTGGCCCAATTGATCCTGTTCCTCCACTTGCTACTTTGCTCAGTCCAAAAATGCACTTGATCAAATCTGCACTCCACTCTCACCGCGACCACTGAGCTAATAGCAGTGCACACTCGACGTATTATGAGGCAGATCCTTCAAACGAGCCAGTCCGTCCATCGCTGTTGGCGCCTAACTCCCAGTGTGTGCGCGCAGACGGGGCACGCTCTGCCAGCATCACGGCCCGAGGGATCAGTATTCATCGGCTTCGATTACATGTAAACTTGGAACACAAGTACACGCCAGGTTGAGCTCGGTATAATAATCAAGATCGAGAAAGGCTTGGAAGTTTCAAGTATCTGTGTCCGTCCATCCAACCATCATCCGAGGCGAGACGAGTGGATTCGAGAGCGAAACAGGACTAACACCACAAATTCACCTCTCCCATTAATTCGCCTTGGACAATTTGGGCCACCGCCACAGCCTAGGTAGGAATACTCCCAGGACCAGCAGCGGCAAGTCGTGCCCCATAAGAATACCCCAGTTATTTTTCTTTGTCTTCTGGGAGGAGTAAAAAAACGGGCCAACCGTCGTTGGACGGGGCGGAGACCAATTGTTTGACCCGCCTTCGGCCATTGGATGGAGATTGATTGCATCCGCTGCCACTCGTCTGCTCGTCTGCTCGTCCGCTCGTCCCCTTTGCCCCTTCAGCTTCAGGCTCAACCCCCTTTGGGGAAACAGTGGACCCTGCCTGTGCCTGTGCTTCATCCGCCGACCCACCCTGGTTCCTCGCCCCCTCCAAAAGCCTGTGTGCTCTGCTTTGTGCCCCTCGAAATCCACAGGTTCTCCTCTCCGCACGAGATAGTTCCCTCACAACACACCCCCATCATCGTGACGGCCAGACCGCAGAGCCAAAATAGCAAAAATGGACGGTAATTCCAACAACAATCGCCTTTATCTCAATTTCGGGAACAACAACGAGCGATTGGCAGCTCCCGACCGGGCCTACCCCACAACGCCGTCCACCTTTCCTCAGCCCGTCTTCTCCTCGCAGCAACCCGCCCAGCAGCAGGCCGGCGGCGGATTGCACCCTCCCCAACAAGGCTACTCGAACTACGGGGGTCAAGATTATTTCGTCCAGAATCAGTACCAACAGCAGTATCAAGGCCAACAAGCCGTCCCTGCCTACGCCTCTGCCCAAAATGCCGCCTACCAGCAACGCTCTGGTACCCCTGGCACAAACGACCCCAATACCGGCCTTGCCCAGCAGTTCTCCCAGCTAGGACCTGGTCGATCGAACCCCTATGGCGCTGCCGGATCTTCTCAGCGCCCTCGAACTGCTGGTACGCCCGCCCAGCCCGCCTACGGGGGCTACATGAATGCTCCGATGCCTTCTCAACCTCCCACCCCCGTCAACGAGTTCCAGATCGCCCCCGAACGCAACCCCGATAAATACGGGCCGAATGCCAACAATAATCAGAAGCGGTGCTCCCAGCTAGCCGCCGACTTTTTAGGGACAGCGTTAAGCGTGCCAGGGAAAGGAACCAAAGGTGAGTCTCGCAGCCTAGTATTCTTCCTCGCTCCCTTGGGTACTGCAGTCGGCCCCATCCACCCTGCCCTTCGGCGTGCTTGTATATCCGATATCATATCGGACTGGCGCAGCTCAGCTACCCTGAACAATGTACACTAATCTCGTTCCATCTTTGCATTCAATAGGCAAAGCGAGCTCGAGCAGAAGCTCCAAGATCCCAGCCAACCCCCAGCGCGTCGAGAGCAGCTCTGGGCCACTCACGGTCGTAAAGAAGGTCAATACCTGCGCTTCTTGCGAACCAAGGACAAGCCCGAAAATTACAACACTATCAAGATCATTGGAAAGGGTGCCTTCGGAGAAGTCAAGCTTGTCCAGAAGAAGGCCGATGGCAAGGTGTACGCCATGAAGTCCTTGATCAAGACGGAAATGTTCAAGAAGGACCAGCTCGCTCACGTGCGCTCTGAACGAGATATCCTGGCCGAGTCCGACAGCCCCTGGGTCGTGAAGCTTTATACCACCTTCCAAGACGCCTACTTCCTCTACATGCTCATGGAGTTCCTGCCGGGTGGCGATCTGATGACGATGTTGATCAAGTATGAAATCTTCTCCGAGGATATCACGCGCTTCTACATTGCAGAGATTGTTCTTGCCATCGAGGCTGTACATAAACTCGGTTTTATCCACCGGTAAGTCCATGATCATTGCAACTCGCGTGCCCCCGCCAGACTTTTGACTCACGACGATTTCTCTTCCTTTTGCGTAGTGATATCAAGCCGGACAACATTCTCCTTGACCGCGGAGGCCACGTCAAGCTGACCGACTTCGGTCTTTCTACTGGCTTCCACCGCTTACACGACAACACGTATTACCAGCAGCTCCTACAGGGTCGGTCGACGCGGCCGCGAGGTGACCGCAATTCCGTGGCGATTGACCAGATCAACCTCACCGTGAGCAACCGTTCCCAGATCAACGACTGGAGGCGGTCACGTCGGTTGATGGCATACTCCACCGTGGGCACCCCCGATTATATCGCCCCTGAGATTTTCACCGGTCACGGATACTCCTTCGACTGCGATTGGTGGAGTCTGGGAACCATCATGTTTGAATGTTTGGTTGGCTGGCCTCCCTTCTGTGCGGAAGATCATCACGATACGTACAGGAAAATTGTCAACTGGAGGCAGACACTCTACTTCCCTGATGATATTCATCTAAGCGATGAGTCCTCGAGCCTGATTCGAAAGTGAGTTCATTTTCTACCTCCCCCTCTTCTCTTCTTTGTTTGAATCCCCGCGATATGCTTTATAAAGCCTCTTTCCGACTAACGGTATTTTCTTTTTCTTTTCTCTCTCTCCAGCCTCATCTGCAATAGCGAGAACCGACTTGGTCGAGGAGGAGCCCACGAAATCAAAAACCACACTTTCTTCCGTGGCGTCGAGTTCGATAGCCTCCGCCGTATACGGGCACCCTTCGAACCCCGCCTAACTTCCAACATTGATACCACCTACTTCCCTACCGACGAGATCGACCAGACCGATAACGCCACCGTGCTGAAAGCACAGGCTATCCAGCAAGGCCGCCAGGGCGTTGTAGAGGAAGCCCCGAAATGAGTTTGCCCTTCATTGGTTACACTTTCAAGCGATTCGACACCAACTTCCGATGATGACACCCTGTTCTGCATGAGAGCGATCTAAAGTAGCCTTTAATTCTAAACTTGGCTCTTAGAGCTTCCGGTTCAGCGTCGCATTCTAGCCACAATGGTAGTGGCCTTCGTTTCCGTCCGTGTCCCTATGACTTTTTGTTTATACTATCTCTTGGGAGTAATGTTGGTGTAGTTCATATATCCCTTCGTCGCGGCCGTACCTGTTGACGTGCAGATGGCGTCTCTTGTTAGATTTCAAAACGACGTGTGTAGCATGTTTTGCGTCGTGGCCTCGTCTTTGTCTTCTGGCGGGTTCTCTTCTCTTTGTCTTCTTCTCGAAGTTGCTGCTTTCCCCTTTTAAACGACTTACTATCATGTCCGTGGGGGCGGGTCCGGTCAGACGGTTTATGAAGGGCATTTCGTGAAAGGCGCTCTATCGCTATATTGGGAAAATTTATACCAATATTGTGTATCGCACGAACTTCATCTTGTACGTTGGTCATGGGGAAGAGGAGCTTTGCTCCTTGCGTGGGTTCAAGACACTGAGGGCCGGGGGCCGGGGGCGATAGCATATAGTGGGAGCTGGCGCATATTCGAAAGCGGGAAAAGCGCAGTGTGAAGTGTTTGAGCTGCTACAAAAGGGACCCGAGAAGTCAAAAGCTTGCGCCATCTATTGAAAGGGAAGGTTGGCTATTTCAATGTACATGTGGTACATGGCGTACCGATAAACGCTGCTGTGGATTGATCTATTACAATGTTGGCTACAGTAACATGGTGCTAGCGACTTGTATCAAACCCGCACAAGTCAAGAATAAACGGAAAAGGCTTATGGTGATAGACTTCGCTCTGCTCGCAAGGGTCCGCACATAACCTGGTCAGTCTTGAGGTGTACTTCGGTATAAAAATGGCTCAAGTGAAAGTTGATTCAATTATGTATACCTCCAGGGCTGTATCGATGGCTCGTCGGCCGATGCTCGCCACTGTAGATTGTGGGTAAACCGCCGCCTCGCGCCGCCCGAGAGCTTTTTCGAATGCATGGATGATTTATGGCCATTGCACTTGTCCATTGAAGGGACAGGGCGTTAAGCCTCTTATCCCGTTCCTTCCATTTCCAGAGTTTTACAAATCCCATACCATACCTCGAACGCCATATGCATGCCGTGATTCGGGAGAATGAAGAAGCGAAAAAGACCTAAAAACACATAAAAAGACGCCAGTAGCTGATTAGACAGCGTCTTCTAACCCTCCATCTCGTCTTCGGCCGTGGGGTCGGTTCTTCACCTCCTCGCGGTGAGACCGGGAGCGGCGTTGAACCTTTCCTCGCGTTCGGTCATGAACATGATTTGGACCCAAAATTCCTTGCCGTCAACATCCCAAAAGAGAACTGCTTTTCATCCCTCTTGTCGAGCTCTCTCGCGGGGATCTTGAAACCAACAGTCTCATAGGGTTCGGCAGCCACGAGCAGGTACTGGAAGTTCTTGTCGGGCTCCTCGACGCGCTGGGTGAAGGCGTTCATGACCTGCCACTTGGGCGTTACGTCGGGGGCGGCGTCTGGGTATTGCAGCTGGAAGAGTAGGCCCTCCTGGCGGGTGACGGGGTCCCGGAGCTTCATGACCTTGTAACCGGGGCGGCCAATCTTGACGAGATTTTTGCGGGCGTTTAATCCGGCGACGACGCCGACGGGGAGGCCGGTGGCCGGGTCGATGTTTTGGGAGCGGCCTTCCTTTTGCTCACGCGCCGCACGGCGGGCTAGGTTGGTCTGGTGCTTTTTACCCTGTGTGTGCGCGAGGTAGGAGCCGTCATTCTGGTGGACCGTGAGGCAGAGGCGGCACTCAAAGGAGCCGACGTGGTTCTTGAAGAAGTAGGGTCCTTTTCGGGGTTGATGGTTTCGAGGGCGAGCTTGCGGAGGCGCTCGCGTCGGTCGGCGTTTGTGGAGCTGCGGGAGGCGACACCTCCGCCGCCGAATTTGGAACCGGCGCGGTTCTGGTAATCCATTTTGCGCGCGTGGGAAGGAAGAGGGTGTGGGGGCTTGGAGCGGCCGGGCGGAGGGGCTGGCGATGGATGTGGCTAGGTCTGTCGCGTTAGGAGGGTCGTTTAAAGGATGAAGGATGGGAGTGTTGGTGATGTGAGAAGGTAAGTCGCGAGTTGTTTCCCACGACTGGGGCGGGCGGATTGATGATGGATCTGTAGGCAAGGTTGTCGCAAATGCGTGCAAGTAGGTTGGACTTGGAGAAGTTGAGTTGCGTAAAGTTTTGGGAAGCTTCCCTCGTCTACCTGCCGAGAATTACCCGCACCGCTCTGCACCTTCCTTTCCAAGTCCCTGGCGCCTGGCTGGGCCCTGGAAACTCAGGCGACATTAGAACAAGCTTTCTGATGGTTTTCGGACGCGGTTAGTCTGCTCCTTCACTCGTTGTCCCTTGACTGCTATTTCTCAAGCCAATTTGATCAAACCACTGAGGTGCTGGTTCGATGGAGCCCTTCCCTAGATGGCGAAAACACATATGCGATTGCATGAATGACATCGAAGTGATGCTGGAAGGTTGAAAATCCCAGTGCCAACGCAGCACCGATTGACAAATTCGGCCGAGATCCACGGGTCATCCTCTCCGCGTGCGGACCTCAATATGTGTGGCGGGAAGCCATTCTAGGCCCTCGGCAGGCTCATTCCCATTTCAATTGATATCAATCAATGGGCAATAACAGGAGCGGGCCCTGCGATGATGAACCACCAAAGTCGCCTTCTAGATTTTTCGGCACCCCTGGGGAGGAGGGATTTTGCTTCTCGGTTTCGAGGCCCTCTTTGCAATCATCACCCTCTCCCCTTTTCTTTAAGAAAAACAATAACTCTTCTATGCTGGGGTTGAGTTATTAATACCCGCCCGTTCTGAGGCCCTTTTGGGCAGGACACCACGCTGGCTGTGTAACATCACGAAGCTCCCCCACAATGTCCCATCCTTCTTTAGGAATAGCTAAGAAGCAGGCGTTTCTCTCTCAAATGAAGGCCCTCGGAACCCCGATTTTCAGGACCTCATGAGCGGATTGAGGCCCTCCATCCTCTAGCACCAGCCTGCCCACCTGACCCGCCCACCCTTTAAACAAGAGTGTCCGCCCTTGGCCTGCTGGCTGGCTAGTGCTTGGACCAACCAACCCGCCCCGTCCCGAGAATAGATACCACTCCGGTGATGATCGCCAGGGTGGCCAGTGGCTGAGCCTTGAAGGAGTAATAAAAACTTGCCATTAGACCCTGCCAGCGCACATCTTGCATGCATGTGCGGCATAATAATAATACTGGCGCCCTCCCCATGTTTCCCCTGCCGCCTTTGTAGCACAGGTTCATTACCCCCTTCTCCCCAAGCCACTGAACAGAAACCTCACTTTTGGAAAACATTGTGTCTTCCTCCTCGTGATACATTGAAGACTGGAATATATATATATATCCTGATATTTTCTCTGGTATCTAGTCACTCTCCCTTGAACAATTCCCTGAGACGATTTCTTCCCTGGCAACCCGCTTACACGCTCCGCTTACACGCTCCGCTTCATTCTTACTACCTCGTGGACCTGCAACGCGCTTGGAATTTGAGGATCTGGACACGCGACCTGTGTAAGCCTTGACTTGAGCATGGTATCCTCGGAGCCTTATTTTCTTGACCAGCGACGGTGAAGGGGAAGGACAAGGACCGCAGCCGAGAGACAAACTGCCCGCTCTCTAAATTCTCGCCCCATGTGCATCGAAAGCTGCTCGATAGGATGACCGATTACGTTGGCATCGGAGGCTCGGACCTCTTCTCTTTCGATAACCAAGCAGCACTAGACAGCAAGATCTTGTACGATGACAAGTCTAGGTCTAAGATTGAGTATGATGAGTACGTGGTATATGGCCGACCTTATGACGCGTTCCTCGGACCTTCCAGTCAGCATGAGTACGGTACCGCGCATAAAATCAGTCATGGTGACGAAGAAGGTGCCGATATGCTAGCTCAGGCGTTTCGTGAGAACAAGGTTGTCGATTATAATGTGAGTGCATCCGCGGCGTGCAGGGAGAGAGACTGGGCGCGGGTGGCGGTGGCCAGCTTAGGCGCACCTTTGGATGCGTGAGATGAGAGAGAAGAACTAACAACGACGACCATGTAGGGCCGCTTTGGTCACCCCGCCGCCGATGACTTGTCCCACGACCCGGATCTTATCGAAGGGCGGGTTCGCCGTGTGTAAGTCCGCTTGGGTGAGAGACCGTCCTCGGCCGGGACTTGAATCTAACCTGGCCTCGCTTCTAGTATCTGTTTCCGCACTTTCAAGCCCCGAGAGGGTGCTCAAGACGGCTTGTCGCTTAACCTTGCCGACTTTAACGTCCTGCAGCTTCACCCCGCCACGCTTCAGTACTCTCGCCGCACCACTACGGAATCTCGCTTCTGGTCAAAGGACCGCTCGCTTCTCAGCGTCGTACTGTCCTTTTCTTCAAACGCCAAGACCCCTTATGATTTCCTCTCCATGACGTACAATGTCAACACGCGGTGCTCTACTATCCTCGTTCGTCAGTCCTATCACCCGAGGCGGTCCCCGGCAGAGAGCCTGGACGAGTACGACCGCCGGATGGAGGCTTGCAAGGCCCACTGGGCCCACCCGTTTGTCACCCCCGTGGTTCTCCTCCAGGTGCATTTCTTGCGCACCGAAGAGGCCGTCGGGTTGAACAACCAAAACGTCACCGATCTGGAAACGAAGGTGTCCAATATTGCGGGATTCGAGGCAACGGCCGCCACCGAGAAAAACACGTCGAGGAAGCGCCGTTGGGGCAAGTCGTCCAAGAACCAGGCTTCTCACCAAGCCGATGAGGATGAGGATGACGACGACAACCAGCAAAACATGGGTGTCATGAGTATGACTAACCTCATGAAAAGCGCGCACGGCGTACTGAAGGAATGCATCGAGCTCCTCGACGCCATCCGATGGACGGAGCGCGCTGTCAAAGTTTTGATTATGGCCGGGGATGAGCTGGAGGAGCGCCAGTCCTCGAGCCATACCTTCCGACCAGGTTCTCTTGCACCGCGGAGCGCTCATCCAAACGAGGATCAGGATCAGCCGCCTCGGTCGCCCAACTTTGCCGAAGACATGAGAGCAGATGCCGTTCCGAGCCTCTTCCTCCCAAATATAACCTTTCCACAGGGTCCCCTGGGCGTCCACTGGCACGAGATCCGGCAATATCTCGAGGGATTATTAAGAATCTGCATGAGCTTGGAGACGGAGAGGCGCATGTCCGAGGCGAGATGCCGCGCTCAAATTGACATTGTAAGTCACGCGAGGAAGAAAAGAAGAGGGGCTGAAGAAGATGTTCCAATGGCCAAAAGTATCTAGCTAACGACCTCATCCCTACCTGCAACAGATTTACAGTAAAATGGCCCAGGAAGACAACGTGCTCAACGCGCGCATGGCCGTCGCCTCCTCGCGCGACAGCTCTTCCATGAAGGCGCTTGCCGTCATTACGGCCATTTTCCTCCCAGGCGAATTCCTTGGCACTCTTTTCGGCATGTCCATGTTCGATTGGATGCCGGAAAGCGACGACGAGGGCGCACCCACGGCCCCGTCGCGGGGAAGCGACGAGATTATCAGCCGGAGGTTCTACATCTACTGGATCGTAGCTATCCCGCTCACTCTCTTCATCCTGGCCGCCTGGCGAGGCTGGTGGGTCACCGAGGATCGATTCTTCCGCAGGCACCTCTCAAAGGAGTTGAGCGAGGAGAGGTACTGGACCGTGGATGGGAAACCTCGCGTGCTGGAAAAGTCCTTTGCTTACGACTTCATGCGGCTCTCGGCCCGTTTTGATGAAAAGATTCCGAAAAACACGGCAAGGGCGGAAACCGCGGCGAGAGGCCCAAGTTAAACGACCCCGAGGCCGGGGCTTCGTCGACGACTGCAATGGCCTCCTCCCCTGCACGGCCATCAATGGACGGCGAGTCTCTCCGACAAAAGAGGTCACTTTTCGCGAGGGCGAATACGTAGCCTTCCATGGTCATGGCCTCCCAAGAAAACAAGGTTGGGCATTGGCACAACCTTTCTCTGTCCTGTATATACTTTGAAGAGCCCACTACGGGGCACCGCCAGGATGAACTTCATTACTGCATCGCCTTGAAGCGTATACCATAGCATACATGTATCAATTGATTTTGAATGGATTGACGAGTTCGCCAGTTTGCCCCGTATGTTCCTTTCTAAGGCGCCCGAATTCGCGCGACATGCAACTGTGCCTCGGGATGTTCCCACATGCGATAGATTTGCTTTTTCTTGTCTTCGTTGGATCTTGCGATTCGAGTTACCTTTTTGGTTGACGATGTGGGAGCGCAGACATCAAGCCTCTGCATGACTCTAATCATGATGTACAATGTACGGCTAAAGATGGAAACCCCGAGGAACACACGAAATAGCAATCAAAACGGGAATAAAAATTATCTCTTCAAGATACAGGCGGGCGCCTTTGTAGGCCACCACAATTCCTTGACGATGCTTCAACATCCTTTGAGGTGGACGGTGGACGAGGGGAGACCGACACCGCCTTCCTAAAAAGAGCAAAGGTTCCTGCTTCAGTGACACCCCGCGGGCAAAAAATTATTTTGCACACATTTGCACTTTATCGATAAGATAAGATAAGCTCGTCCCGGCGCCCACTCCAGCAAAAAATTCGTCCGTGGTGGCTTTCCTCTCCCATTGAATGGAAATTCATCTTTGACGAGCAGTGCGGGACACACGGGCAGAACTCTCGATTTTTGACCGCGTCTCGACTCTGCTTTTTTCCTGAACCACAGGCCCAGTTTAGAGAAACTAGACGGCTCGGCTTTCGAGCTGTACGCCAACAGGCAGGTCTTCCACCATGGTCAAATCCTACTTGTAAGTGACGATCGAGGGCCCGCCCGCGTGCCCCGGTGTCTTGGGTCATGGACACAGGCCTTACCCACTAAACGCTGCGCTTTAGGAAATACGAGTATGCCAAATCCTTCGGTATAGTCGCCTCGAGCACGTCGAACCTCGTGTGGACCCCGAATTCGCGAGCGGGAACCGGCGCCGGCCAGGCCATCGTTGCCGCGAACGAGCAGGTGCTCTGCTGGGACATCAAGAAGGGCGAGCTCCTGAGCCGCTGGAGAGACGAGAAATGCTCTTCCCCGGTCACTGCTATCGCCCGTAGCAAGGCCGACCCCGACATCTTTGCGGTTGGCTACGACGATGGCAGCATTCGCCTCTGGGATAGCAAAATCGCCGCCACCATTGTCAGCTTCAATGGCCACCGCTCCGCCATCACCGTCCTGACCTTTGACAAGTCCGGGGCCCGCCTCGCTAGCGGTTCGAGGGATACCGACGTCATCATATGGGATCTTGTGGCCGAGGTCGGCCAGGTCAAGCTGCGCGGCCACAAGGATCAGGTCACCGGCGTTCGCTTTGTCGAGCCTGATCCGGTGGTTCAAGATGCCGATGACTCCGAAGAGGCCATGGCTGTTGATACCGAGTCGGAGGCGGAGGGGTTTCTCCTCACCACCGGAAAGGACTCCCTAATCAAGCTTTGGGATCTTTCTTCTAGGCACTGCATAGAAACGCACATTGCGCAGTCAAACGGCGAGTGCTGGGCGCTGGGCTTATCTCCCGACTATAGCGGCTGCGTCACGGCGGGCAACGGCGGCGAACTCAAAGTGTGGTCCCTCGATACCCTGGCGTTGGCGGCGTCCTCGCAGCAGGTAGACGCGACGCACACTACAAAATATCTCCAGGACCGAGGCACCCTTATCCGAAAGTCCAACGATAGGGGCACCGAGATCGTCTTCCACCCGCGCCGCGACTACTTTGCCGTCCACGGCCCCGAAAAGGCGGTTGAGGTCTGGCGCATACGGCCAGAGGCGGAAATCAAAAAGGTTCTGGCCCGCAAGCGGAGGAGAAGACGAGAGAAGCTAGACAAGAAGGCTGGTGCGGATGCGGATGCCGACGCGGCCGAGGACGCCGAGGACGTCTCGAGCGCGACGGTGAGCGACGTCTTCGTCCACTACGTCACGGTGCGCACCAGCGGAAAGGTCCGCTCGATTGACTGGGCCGTCAACGGCGGTGTCAAGGATCTCCAACTCGTCGTCGGAACAACAAATAACCAGGTTGAGCTTTACAACGTGCCCCCAAGGACAAGTCCTCCAAGTCGAAAGATGAGGCCCCCGACTACGCAAAATCTCTCGCCGTCGAACTCCCCGGGCATAGGGCCGACGTTCGTGCTCTGTCTCTGAGTTCCGACGACAAGATGCTCGCGTCAGCGGCCAACGGAAGCCTAAAGATTTGGAATGTCCGAACTCAAATGTGCATCCGAACGTTCGAATGCGGCTACGCTCTATGCTGTGCGTTCCTCCCCGGTGACAAGGTCGTGGTCGTGGGGACCAAGGCGGGCGAGCTCCAGCTATTCGATGTCGCCTCCGCGAGCTTGCTGGATAGCGTCACCGCCCATGAGGGAGCCGTCTGGTCCCTCCAAGTTCACCCCGACGGCCGGTCCATGGCGTCAGGCAGTGCCGATAAATCCGTCAAGTTATGGAACTTTCAAATCGTGCAGGAAGAGGTTCTTGGAACTACCCGCACAACTCCGCGGTTAAAGCTTGCGCAATCAAAGGTGCTCAAACTCACAGACGATGTCCTGAGCATTCGGTTCTCCCCGATGCCCGAGTTTTGGCTGTCGCCCTCCTCGACAATACCGTCAAGGTCTTCTTTGTCGATACCCTCAAGCTTTACCTGAACCTCTACGGCCACAAGCTACCGGTTTTGAGCATGGACATCTCCTACGATAGCAAGTTGATCATCACAAGCTCGGCGGACAAGAACATTAGGATATGGGGTTTGGACTTTGGCGATTGCCACAAGGCCTTGTTTGGGCACCAAGACAGTATTCTTCAGGTGGCCTTTGTGCCGCACAACTCGGACGGCAACGGTCACCACTTCTTCAGCAGCAGTAAGGACCGATCCATAAAATACTGGGACGGCGACAAGTTTGAGCAGATTCAGAGGCTGGATGGCCACCATGGCGAGGTCTGGGCGCTCGCTGTTGGTCACAGCGGTCAGTTCCTGGTTAGCGCGGGCCACGACAAGGGAATCATCGTGTGGGACGAGACGGAGGAGCAAATCTTCCTCGAGGAAGAGAGGGAAAAGGAGATTGAAGAGCTCTACGAAAGCACCCTTACGGCGTCTCTCGAAAAAGATGAGGATGCCGGGGATAAAGAAGCCGAGACCGCCGCAGCCAGCAAACAGACGGTGGAGACGTTGATGGCGGGAGAACGGATCGCCGAGGCCCTCGAGATGGGCATGGCGGATCTCAACCTTTGAAGGAGTGGGAGGAGGAGAGGAAGGTGAACCCCGGACACCGGCGCCGCAGAGGAATATCGTTTACATGGCGTTGGGCAACATCAGCGCGGAAGCCCACGTCATGAGCGTGCTGCAAAAGATCAAGGCTGCCGCGCTCCACGATGCGCTCCTCGTACTGCCATTCGCCATGGTCTCCCCTCTTCACGTTTATCAACATCTTTGCCATGCGCTCCATGAACATCCCCTTACCTGCCGCATCCTCTTCTTCATGCTCAAGACCCACCACCGCCAGATTGTCGCCAACAGGACAATGAGGACGATGCTCGACGGCATCCGCGCCAACCTTCGGGCCGCGCTCAAGAGGAACAAGGATGAGATGGGATACAACGTGGCGGCACTCAAGATTATGGGTATGCAAATACAGGAAAAGAGCGTCAAGGAGTACGTGGACGAAAACTGGGATGCCGGCGAGGAGAATGTGAAGAAGAGGGCGTTCATGCATATCGCGTAAAGAATGGTCGGATACTTTCCCTGCTTGGATTGTTTTTTTCCCTTTTTCCTTTGCGCTCCTCTTGTCTTGGTCAAAACGGTGCATAGAGTACATACCTACTACAAATTCATCAAGTTATACCAGCTAGTTTCCTACCACTTTCAACCTTTCTCTCTCGATTCCTCTCTCCATTGTGCTGTGCAAACTTCCAGACTTATACGGGAGAGCGACAGTTCTGGGGTGACCATCCGCACTGTATTTTCAAACGGGTCACGTGCCTTGATCGCTTCACGCCTGGACCCGCGCACCGCAGACTGCCAGGTCAGTAGTAGTGGCATAGCACAGGACTCACTCACAAGCGAAACCCGAACTCTCTAAGGTCGACGAGCACTTGATTTTTGGCTGCTCTTTGTAAGCTCCGCATCCGCCAAAAGTCCCATCGGAATATGCGAAGGACATAGAGCTAAGGATTCTTCGATTTGCCCCTTCCAAAGCAGCCACTGCCACCCCGGACCGACCTTCAACATGCTCTTCTTCAGGTGCGGAGGTTTCCTCATCCTGTCTTGCCCTCTGGCTGCCCCTCCATGAATAGCCGTGAAGCTAGATTGGGCAACCGGCTCGCGCGCGTGCTGCCAAGTATGTCTGGATAGTTAGCTAACCAAAAACATGGGTGTGTTGCAGCTTCTTCAAGACCCTGATTGACCAAGAGGTCACTGTGGAACTCAAGAATGACATTCAAGTGAGGGCACGCTGAAGAGCGTGGACCAGTACCTGAATATCAAGCTTGACGACATCTCAGTCGTTAACGAGGTGCTATATCCTCACTTGGTGCGTGCATCGTCTTGTTCTTTTCTTTTTACTCCTTTTCAGTTTTCTTTTCAATCATCATCGTGTTTTATTGTTTCTTGAAACCTTTTCCGAGTTTCTGCGAATCCTACCCCTGGCTTCGATCACCATGAAGGGTGGTTGAGAAAGAGATTCTTGTCTCTCATCCCTCTTCCCCTGTTTAACCCTACCACGGCCCGCGCGTTGCTGGCGCCTACTAGAAGGACTGGTCGAGCTAACATCTCTACAGAGCTCCGTAAAGAACGTCTTCATCCGTGGCTCTGTCGTCCGATACGTTCACCTCCCCCGCTGCTGTCGACATACCCCTCCTGGAAGACGCCACAAGGAGAGGTGAGTATCCGTTCCTTCGTTCTCTAGGCTGCGGCCCAGGCCTTGCTGTCCTCTATACTAACAATCTCAACAGAGGCTGCCGCCCAGCAAGCCAAAGCGAAATGAGAAGGATAGCGGTAGTACCGTCAAGGTAACAGAGTCTTTGCGACGGTAGGAGAACTTGGCCTCGACTCGACTTGTAGGACCGCCGAGCGTCGCCACGCCATGCACCTGCCCAGGCTGTAGGGGTGAAGTCGAGTCTGTCGTTCCCCCAATGGGTAGGAATGTGGTTCGCCGTCTACCTCGCGCCGTAGGCCAAAAAAGTCTTCCACTGCGATACCCTGAGACTTGCTCACAAGCCCAGTCGTCAACAAAGAAAACAAACGCGCATAGACTCAAAACGATAATAGGCGAAGCAAAATGTCTCCAAGTAATGTGTCATGTCTACCCAAGAAAAATTGAAAAGAAGTAGAAAAAAGAACTCCGATAGGGTACCCGGTTGCCCTCACTTATCGTGACCCATGCATCCTTCTATATACTTGTTTTAGCCTTTCTCATATGTACTAGCCTCACCAGTAGACCTCTCGCCTAGTGCCCTTCCCGTCCCATTCTTCGATAGAGCCGGAGTCTGACCCGGAATCTTCGATTCGCGGCTTCACCAAACCACCCTTGGCCCTGTCAGAGAGCCACTTATCAATCCATCCCTTCATTTTGCGCCTGGAGGTCTCACTTCCCACATTCACCGTAGGTATCACCCGCTCAATGCGCAGCGACATCAAAAACATGGCGAGCTCGCGGAAGCTGCTGTGCTCGGAATACGGCACACCAAAACACATAGACTCTTTCGTGCTACCTCTCTGTTTCTCGAGGTTGTTGGCGCTGAACCTGCTCCGCCAGGCTTTGCTGTGGAGCACTTGTGTCGTCGCAACCGCGCCAGGCTGTGTGTTGCTCGAGATGAGCTTTGATGCGCCCACCGGTCGGTAGTTCCAGCCGCTAGGCCTGAAGCCTACGATGCGGTCAAAGTGGGGTTTGTAGCCGTTCAAGTACTCTTGCAAAGTCTCGGCACGAATTTCCATCAGCATCTGCATGTGGACTTGCGCCTCGAGGGGGTTTGACGTTAAAAGAGAAGACAACTCGGGGTCGTCAAGAAGCTTGAACATTTGTATCTTGGAGGCAGAAGCATAAATCTTTGAGTTTAGCGCCTTTGCGATAGCCACACATATACGTTCCTTGCCGATTGAATACGTCCCGCAGACAACGAGAAGACGAACCCGATGCGGCTTGTATTCCTGCACGGCATCACCGCCCACTTTCTTGGAGCTGTCACTGAAGAAGCGGCTTACTGTAGTCGCACCTGCTTCCCTAGCTAGTTTGCCCCAGGCCTCATCCGAATCATCGGCAGCCATATTCAGCGAGGAACAGATGTCAGCGCAAGCTGAGATGACGTCGCCCTGTGGCGGGAAAGAATAGCGCGGGCTGAGATAGGTTGTATCCAGATAACAAATATCGATGCGTTGTTGTTTTATTTTCCCTGAGACGTAATCCAGTATGTCTGGTTTTAAGCGGTCGTGATTCACGTGGGCCGGGCAGGCCCGGAAATCGCCGCAGTGCAATATCCGTTGGATTCGACCGCCGCTTCGGCCGTTTGGCATCTTCTTCTCAAACAGGAACATGGAGCTGCCAGGGCAATGGTTCGCTGGTATCATCACCACTGTCGCACCATCGGTTCCCGGGATCTCGAACACCTCGTCAAACTCCAACTCTACAACCCACTTCTCGTCAACTTTTAGCCGCTGCTTGACCAGGCGGCCAGTAACCCGGCTGCAGTAGATCGGCCCATGCCTCCAGCTTCCCGTGAGCCCGACGTAGTGATCACTATGAAAGTGGCTCAAGAAGTAGGCGTTGCAATCTTTCACGGCGCCATACCGGAATGCATCGACACAGATGGAAAATCCAGGCATAATTTTATAGAACGGACAGGTTCGCTGATAGGCTTGCTTCCCTCTGGAGGCGACGTGTTCTGCAGCCGCCGCAGCCCATGCTGAATTCTCCGCATTGCCCGACATGAGTTTCGAGAAAGCAGTTGACTTTTCCGACTCCACGGCGAGAGAAAATGGGTTTCGCTGGCCCGGCCGAGGAATTGCCGCTTTCAAGGATCTACTCCCCGAATCGTGAGGACCCTGCAGGGTTGGTTGCTCGGGCTCTGGTTGGGCGCATAGCTCGTCCTGGTTGGGTAGAGGGGTTGGATTGCCATCGAGGCAAGAGTTGACATGGCGAGTTGATTCCTCGGGTGACGCGCCGATAAGACTGCCGTTACAAATGGGACATGCCTCTATCATCGAGTCGTCAGGGTGACCAGTGGGAAGAAAATCATCTAGGGCTTCTAGGCCTGCTTCCTCGGCCTCAAGTCGTTCTTGCTCACGGGAGAACATCATCTCTCTATATTCTTCCCCAAGAAACTCATCTCCCACATCTTCCAGGTTATCAAGCTCCCTTGCAACTCCCAGCTCCTTAAATAGCCCTGGGAGGATTGGCTTCTCATCTGCTTCAGCGTCTCTCCCCAAAGCAGCGTCCGCGTCAGGAACCAATCTATCCTCTAGTTTTGGACTACGGAGGGGAGGTGATGTTCGTTTCGGCGGCAGAGCTGGTTCGTCGTCATCTTCGCTATCCGAGCACAGTACAAACCCTCCAACAACCTTGGTGGTGGTGTGGTTTGAAACAAAGGCTTTGGCTGCTCTCGACTCCGTTTCTTCTGGTGCTTTCAAGTTCGGAGCATCCTTAACGTGGGGGCATCCGAATATTCGACATTACTGAGTTTCCTTCGCTTCGCGGGCTTTGTAGGAGACTCAGGTTCGGCTTTTGATTCATCCTCCGCAAAATTGTCATCATTGATACCAGACGGTTCATCGGTATCAGGAAACCCGGTCGTATCGGTGCCATAAAACAGAGTATTTTCAGTTTCTACCTTTTGAAGAAGGTTAAAATGCTCGTATTTGACTTGGCATCCTTTTTCGATAAAGTGGCTGTGAGAGCCTTGCGAGGGGTAGGCTTCCTGGGCGGAGCTCGTCTGCTCGGCGGGGCCATGCTGCTAGATTCTAACAATTGAAGCACAGTGTATTCATGAAATCAAGGGTATGCAAGGTAGCAGTGGTATTTGTAGTGAAGGCTGAACCCATCGGGACGGTTGTTCAGAATTCCGAATAGCTACCAAGGATAGGAGAGCGCCTGGTAAATTCAGAAAAATCAGGATACATTATAACGGGGATGACACGGTCTGTGGTGGAACCGCGATTTGGGGGATGGGTTCCTTTCAAAGGAGGCGCGAAATCACGTGGATGCGCAATAGTTCACTGTGCAATCCTGCAGCCGGGGTCCGCCAATGCGAAGGAGAAGGTTAGATGACATAATCGCCGCATTTCGAGATGTGTCAGCAAGAAGCATTGTTCCAAAGCTCGGGAAAATTGCCTGAGCTTGAGGTTACGAAGCAGAGCTCGGCCAAACTTTCTGCAAACGACAGACCCGCCATCCGACATAGGCACCAATTTGCCTTTTCCTTTGCATTTCCTTTGATACCGGAACGATATAAAGAATGTCGAGTGGAAAAAGCCCCATGGAGGAGGCCCTGCGGCGTTTCCAGCAGGTTGCGCAGTCTGGGCGTAGTGGGTTCGGCAGCGGCGGCAGACAGCCACCGAGAGGATTCGGAGTAGGCATTCTTGGGTTTGCCGCTGCCGGTGCTGGTCTATTTCTCTTCCAGAACGCTCTGTTCAACGTGGATGGTGGTCATAGGGCGATTAAGTATCAAAGGCTAAGTGGTGTCAGTCCAGAAATCTATGCCGAAGGTAAGAGTCGCCCATCCCATGCTTTCTTCTGACCCTGCTCTGTTGTCAGGAAATGAAAAAAGGTCTAACAATGCGATCTAGGAACTCACTTTATGATTCCTTGGTTCGAAACCCCCGTCATCTACAATGTCCGAGCGAAGCCGCGAAACGTTGCCTCCCTCACCGGAACAAAGGATCTTCAGATGGTCAACATCACCTGCCGTGTTCTCTCCAGGCCCAAGGTTGAGGCCCTTCCCCAGATCTATAGAACCCTTGGCCAGGATTACGATGAGAGGGTGCTCCCTTCTATCGTCAATGAGGTGCTGAAAAGCGTCGTCGCCCAGTTCAACGCTAGCCAGTTGATCACCCAGCGTGAAAACGTTGCCCGACTCGTTCGAGAGAACCTCGCCCGGCGCGCGGAGCGATTCAACATTGTCCTGGATGACGTTTCTCTTACCGTGCGTACCCCCTCCCCCTGCTCCTATATCCCTTTAAACAGCATGAAGCACCGAAGCGGTCGTCTAACAGTACGTAATATAGCATCTTGCCTTCTCACCCGAATTCACCGCCGCGGTTGAAGCCAAGCAAGTCGCGCAACAAGAAGCCCAACGGGCTGCCTTCATTGTTGACAAGGCCCGCCAGGAGAAGCAGGCTATGGTCGTCAAGGCTCAGGGTGAAGCCCGATCTGCAGAGCTCATTGGTGAGGCTATCAAGAAGAACAGGGCCTATGTTGAGCTGAAGAAGATTGAGAATGCCCGTGTCATCGCCGCAACCATTCAAGAAGCAGGTGGAAAGAACAGGCTGCTTCTCGACTCCGAGGGACTCGGCTTGAACGTGTTTGCTGATGGCGAGAAGAAATGAAGAGAGCCAAGGAGAGGCCGGGAGGACATGGGGTTGTGATGTACGTGTAGGTTCACAAAGACGGATGGTAATTGTACAATATAACTCCAACTCAATGAAAGCTTTTAAAACACTCCAACCAATCTACGCCGCCCTGGTGGTGAAGTGGGTTCCCAAAACCTTGCGTGAGGAGACTGCCGAGGTAGATACTACCGCAATCGCAGTTTCACCCCCGTCCGTTTGAAAGCGTTGCCGAGACCAGGCTGTCTATTCCCAGGGCCTTCTAATAAGGAAATTGAACTCGCCATGATTGAATTGTCAATGATGGTCTGGATGTCAGGATGCTCAGGTGGATCCAGGACCCACCAGTGACGGCAGCCTACGCTATTGTGCGAAGGCGCAAGATGATTAATTCGACCCCACGTCGAACTACGGCAAGAGCCAGGCCCAAGTGTGCAATTGTTACCTGTTTGCCCCTCCATTCATTATAGCCTCAAAACAGCCGAGCAGCCTCTCCTTTCTTAGTCGCAAACTGACCTATTCTCTTGCGAACATTCCCCTTTAGCTTTTTTTTTTCTTCTTCTTCGTTTTCTTCCCTTGGCGACTCACCCTCTTCCGCAACCCCACCTTCCACTTTTCTCTCCTGCTCACCCTTTGGTTCGCCACCCATCTCTCCTGAGAAGCTGCCCCACCTTGCAAGATGCTCATCAAGTAAGCGCCAACCCCGAACTTGTAATCGTTGGTTATTAAACAACGCCGCCAACGATGCTAGAAGCTTACGTGCCACGTTTTAATCTAGAGTGCGAACCCTGACGGGGAAGGAGATTGAGCTGGATATCGAGAGCGATTACAAGGTGAGCACGAGATCCGCTCCTCATTCTTATAGCGTTTGGTTTCTAGACTGCAAGAGGTCTTCCTGGAAAACGCATATCTTAACTCCTCAATCTTGACCCTCTAACCTTTTTCTCTTTCCCGCGCAGGTCGCCCAAATCAAGGAGAAGGTCGAGGAGAAGGAGGGCATTCCTCCCGTCCAGCAGCGTTTGATTTACAGCGGGAAGCAAATGTACGCTCCACCCCGGGCTAGCGCCCCTTCCTAGAGTTACCATCGTAGTCTCCCCATGGAGGCAGAGGGTAATGTAACGGGAAAAAGGAATAAAGGAAAAAACGGAAACGAATAAGCTGCTAACCCAACTCTTTCTCGGTCACAGGGTTGACGACAAAACCGCGGCCGACTACTCCCTCGAACCGGGCGTAACGCTCCATCTCGTTCTTGCGCTCCGCGGCGGTTCCGCTTGAATCTCGAAACATGCCCGATAGGCTGGCGTTGCAGGGGAGGGCGTGTCGGCTGTATAGCAGTCGATATTTGAGCCTCCCAGTCGGCGGTTGACAAATTTTGTCGTCTTTTAGTTTCTTCACACATATACATACGCACTCTGCTGAAGGGGAAGCACTGTTGATTATGAAGAAGATGATGATGTGTCTGCGCCTCCAATTAATCATTTCGCCTTTAAACGACTATCTAGAGGAGGCGTATAGTCTAGCAGAGGTATTGTTACAGCTGAATGTAGCATTTGATTCCCCAAATCCCGTTTGCCCGAACGCCTAGAGTCACTTTCCCCCTTTGTAAACTTTGAGTGTGTTGGTCTGTGTAAGTGCATGTATGTGTGTGTGTGTGTGTGTGTGTGTTTGTGTGTGTGTGTGCATATACGTTTAAAGAGCATCCTCCATCTTTACTTCGTCGTCGTCTTCGACATCGGAATCCCCGTCAACAGCATCTGGCGCCACATCACCGGGCGTCTGGAGATGGGGGCTGCATGTTCCGGTCTGAGAGACCAGTTGTTGGCGAAGCGGCCAGTCTTATTCAACACGGCAATTTTCTCAAGGGTCTGGCGCAAGTAGGCCTCGGGTTGCTTGAGCTCAGCGCGTAGAGACTTGAGAGACCAGTACTGGAACCTGCTAAAACACTGGATGATCTTGTCCATGAGTTCGCTCTCGGGGATACGAATCGTTTTCATCTCCACCTTCTTTGCCTTGGTCGGCTTAGGTTGCGATTTCTAGAGACTAAGTTAGCTACATGGCACCGGCGAGGAGGGTGCGAGTGAAGATTGTAAATGCAACATACAATGAAGTTGGAATCCCAGTCGGCGGCGCGACCTGTTCCGGTGAGCAGAATCTGGCCGTTTCTGCGGTCGAGAATCTGAAGCTTGCCGCTTCTGAAAGCCTCGCTCGTCTGCGCCTGAAGGAGGTGTCGCTGCTCCTCGGCATGGACCGGCGCACAGTTGAGCTCATACGCAATCTTGCCGTAGATTTTCGTTTTCTCTTTAGGCCACAGCGTTAGTGACGACAAGCCCGAGACAAGCGCTCAAAAAAGGGGATAATGAACGGATATACGTACTTGGGATGGCCTTCCTGTAGTAGGGCTTGTTCTTGTCCCACTTGGGCTTTTCCACCTTTTCGGCCCGGGCTCTCAGGATATGTAGTGGAAGGCCGTTGTTGGAAGCGTCGGTTCGAGCCTTAGACTTTGCTTTATAGCCGGGTAGGTCTTCCTCCGTAAAGACAAAGTGGTGGTCTACACCGGACGTGATGTCTAGGTTGTACTCTCGGGGGACAGTCTGGTGTTGCGCGATATCGGAGTTGAGAAGCATTTTCATCCGAGGCTTGAACCAGAATCTTAGCGTCAGGTCAACTTCTTTTGGCTAGACTACAAATCGAACACTATACCTTCATAGTCCCATCCGGCGCGGAATCGTACCACTGCCTCAATGTGCCAATTTGGATTTCCGCATCATCGTCGAGCTCCGACCAAGACTTCCACAGAGCTTTGGGGACGCGCGCCAAATAGAGTGAGCCAACCTGATTCGTTGGAGTCGATTCGAAGAATTCAAGGTCGCCAGCATCCTCGTAAAGGTCGTCTTCATCCATGGGCAACGGCGACGCACCGGGTTCAGCCTTGACGACGGGTTGGTCCGACATGGTGAATGAGTACGGCCGGGCAGGCTCGGCAACCGGTCGCGATGTTCGGCGTGTGCTTCTTCGGATAAGCGCGTGTAGTTGATTCTAGGTATGGGATTCTGTATTCTGATTCGGGGCGGGTGGTGAGCGTCTGGGGTACTAATCGGCGGCGTATGGAAGTGGTGATACAAGGTGCGGATTGAAGCTTTGGCGAGGCTTTCGATTCTAGGTTGTGCATCATTGCTTGGCTTAGTAAATACAACAGGTGGGTTTGCGACCAATCAGACGCAGGGACCATCCGACGAGTAGAGCTCAAGGGCCAGTGGATCAATTGATCTGTCGGCTACATGATGCATTATCAGCACGGTACATGGATGTAATACGCACCAAACGAGCTGGAGCGACCAAGCCCCAGAGGTTCCTTGAACTCATTGACCCTTCGACCTTCTATCTTTTAGCACCTTGAGCACCAGATAGCGCCCGAAAACGGCCCAAAAGTGGCTCTTATCTGCACCGTCAAGCTCTGCCCGACGTCATCAATCGATTGATCCACTGGATCCATGGGCATGGTCAGTGCAGGACCAAGACATACACCAAGTATTATTACAGCACGTCTTCAACCTTATTAGAGCGATACGCTCATTCCTACAGCCCTGGCCTAATTATCGATGTGAACAGCGCGACGGTTTCAATTTGCTGCGGAAACGCAACTCGCTAGCGAAAGCAGCACTGCCACCCACTTGATCGCCTCAAAGTGTGAATGAAGCCTTGATTCTCCTTCTCCACCACGGCCGTGACTTGATTCCAGCTCCACTTCAGCCAAAACCCACTACTTTCTCCCCTCATGCATCGACGAGCTAGAGGTGAAAAAGAACCCATTTCCCTCCGCCCTCAAACTTCGAGATCATCCTTGCTGCACTCCAAATGAGGATGTCCCCTCTCTGCCATCAGCACGCCAGACCACGGACCGCCCAACCGTCGACATAACGTTCCCAACGACGAAATACTTCCAGGGAGGCGCTCTTCCGACCCGACATCCCGCACTCAATATATCAACTCGAGCATAACCTTCGCGTAACTGCTCGATCGTCATTTCATAGATTCCCCGACCCTCCCCTTCTCGTGCCATCGCCATCTGAGGCCCCTCTAAGCGAAGCGATGCCGGTCAAATCGTTAGTTGACCTGTGTCTGAACACAATTTTGAAAAATATCAACCTTGTTTCGGGCATTGGAGATGAACTCCCACATGATAACCCTCATGTGGAGAAGATCCTGGCGCGTGTGCCCACGGCGGCGCAGCTACGAGAGATGGAGGTAAACTCGCCTCAACTTCAGGGTCACACAACAAAATACTGGAAGGCGCTCATACATCACAAATTTCCTTCGGCAAGGAAAAGAATTATGTTCCGTCAGACCCCGCCGGCTGGTGGAAGGTTTATAGGCGATATGAGAAAGAGAATGAGGAATCGCTCAAGCAAGCGACCGCTGCTATGAAAAACGCCTTTGCTGGGTTAGCGAAAGAGTCTTCCGGGAATGTGGCCACCATAGTAGAGGGCAACCGGCTGCCTCGACCGCCCCGAACGGGTCGCAGCATCGGCGGGCCTCGCATGGGCCAGCGCAAAGCGGGCGCTAGCACTCTTACTTTCACGGCTGGCAGCAGAACGAAACTGGTCAGCGGCAAGAGTGTTCTTCGGCGAGCTAGGAGAGAAGCTAAAGATATAGCTGCGCAAAGAGGTTCTTTAAGCTCTATATCTCGGGCCATGACCGGAAGTCACCTCAGAGCGGCACCCTCTGGGTTAGTCGAGCACCACCGAGTCGCATCCCAACCGGATTATCGCGCGGGCATGGCCGCCACGCCATCCCGCTCTGGGCAAACATCGAATCAAGAGGAGAGGGCCGCAGCTAAGCGCAAAAGGGAGGAGCCGGAGGCCATTGTGATCAACGTTTCCGAAGATGAGTCTGGCGATTTATTTGGAGACGAAAGCGATGGCGAGCCTCCCCAAAATCCACAAGAACAAGCTCGAGCAAGCGGACTGCTTCGTCCAGGGCAGATTACCTTCTTGATGATGATTATGGAGACTCATACTCGAACAGCCGCCAGTCCTCGGGTGCCGCTAAATACCATTCAAGAGCCCCGGAGCCACCCAAAGCTTCATCTCCGCAAAAGCGGCCAAGCTCCGGCCTGCTCCCTGGGAAGCCTGGGTCCACCCGTTTCCTGAAAGGGTCAACAGCTTCCAGTACCTCCTCTGCCGCGCTCCCCAGCAATACAAAATCCTCGAGCTTACCGTCGAGTAACCCAAAGGTAGCTTCTCGACCGCGAGCCGCCTCTCCACCCCAGCCGCCACAGCCGCCGCAAGCTGCCCCATCTTCCCAGCAATCCCCCGACGCCGCGTTCATCCGCAAGCGTAAGACGGACATCTTCATGAAACCAAAGAGGCGAGCAGTTTGACCGGAATTTTACTCCGGAGAGTGAGGTCCGACCATCGAATCATAACAATTTCTGGCTAGAAACACTCTATAATGAAAATAACGAAGGAGTATACCAATGTATTCTAATGATAACTAGGCCTGTAAAGGCGATCAGCCTCTTGTCCATCATCAAAAAGAGGTCAACCGACTTTTTTCCCATGTTCCTCTACCACATCTCGCCTACGCAAAACACCAAATCCGGCCACAGGTCTCGTAGATGTGGAGATGCGATAAATCTCAACCGACTAGAAACCGGAAGCCGGGTAGACAAAGTCGTGTCGAGACAAATGTCTCTTGCCGCGCGGTGTCCGGGATTCTATCCCAAACAATCGGAGACCGGTGGGATCTAGCAGCGTCCAACTCGAGGAAGCTCGCCGATCTAGAAGTCCGGTGGCACGCCGGACATCAGGAGCTTCTCGCAATCGTTGAAGCTTACATGTAGGTCGCCTTGCCTACTAGGAGCTTCCGTTTCTGGAAAGCAGAGAGAAAGCTTGCCCAACCTATCTCCGAATAAGGCTACCGGGGAAGTATCAACAGCGATACCCATTCTTTTCGGCGAGCCTGTTAGAACCATGGCGCGACCGAGAAGGCTGCGGCCAAGTGTGAGGAAAGTTGTTGAAAAATAATTTAAAAAGAAATATCATCCCACGCTCTAAGAGCCCCAACGACGTGGGATTACTTTGGACAGCGCCCATCTTCCGCCCACTAGACATCATGATGTCTATATCTACTAGATGACGAATAGTTGAGGCTAGTAGCGCCTGTGCCAAAACCTGAGGGCAGAAGTTAGAGTAAAATTACACACCGCTCCGTCGAAAGAGTGTGATAAATAATAAAGGACTCCGTATTCTACATCATTCAAATTGCGCAAGTCAAGTGCGCTCATATATTATTGACATCAGGGTATCACTATTCCATGCAGTGCATGTACATGTATGTAGAGGGTAGTTCAAAGCAAACAAGGGACGGAATAGATCCCCAGGTCTAGGTCTTAGGATCAACGCTTGTCTCGCCGTCACGTATCTTCGCCTTGTATGCCCTCGGGCTTTCAAATTCGCTCGCCTTTTGGCTCCACATGCCGACCCTCTTCGTCTTAGCTTTCGCCTCAGCTGCCATATACACCTTCTCCTTGCCGCCAAACTCAGCACCAGACTTGGCCTCGTAGGTCGTGGCGAGCCCGCGTTTGAGCATCTCGAGCCCAACGTCGCGATGGAGGAGGAAAGGAAGAAGGAAGGAGAGGACCCCGGCGCGGCGAATATAGACAGTGGCAACGACGCGGTCGTACTGGTCACGCTTGTGGATGTGCGCGCGAACCCGACGGTGAAGGATATAGGAGGTGAGCCAGGACAGGGCAGCGTCGGCATAGGGTTGGGCGGGGCGGCCGAAGTGCGCCCTCGGGGGCGTCGATGCCTGCGATGCGGATAGGAATCTAAGAGGAAGAGCGTATCATGCGTGAGAAAAGCGGCGACCTGTCATGGGAAAGGAGGGGGTGTCAAGCTTCTTACCGTTTGGCCCCTGAGCTGAGCCTTGGACTCTGGAATCCGCCGCAGCCAGCCCCACCCGGCCAACCGGCCACCGGGGTATGGTAGAAGTGAAAGCCGTCGCCGTCGCCCACGCTCGTGACGCGGCCGAAGAGTGACCTCTTGCGGAAGGAGGAAGGTTTTATGTATGCGGTTCCCGGGATGCGGCGCAGGTAGCGGGTGTAGACGCCTACCAGGCCGAGGATACCGATCGTCGAGAGAGCGGTAGGGATGGCTATGCGGAGGCGCTCGTCCTCGGGGAGGGCGTCGTAGAAGAGCTGGGTCAGGGGCTTGGAACGGTCATCTTTAGGAGGTGGTGGTGGCTCCGACGAGCCAAATGGCCAAGGCGCCATGGCTGCCGTCAGGTCGAGGGAGGGGATAGTGATGACCTCCCTTTCGTAGGAACTACGAGACGGGCTGTACAAAGGCTTAAACTCGTGAACTCTACGAAAGGCGAAAGCGGCATGGATTCATCAATTGGGGCGCCACGGAGACTTTTCGAGGGGTCTTTATTATTATGAAGGTGGTGCTGGAGGGGAGCTTGATTGAGCTTCCCCTTACTACAATTGCTATCAGCTGCCACTGACGACAGCTCACCTTTCTCTTTTCCTCCACCATGAGAAAACCCCCAGAACCCCAAACAGGGCGCGGAACCTCCTTGATGTGTAGAAGATATTGACCCGCTAGTTATTGGTTTAGTATGTTCATGGTTTCCCTCTCAGAATGGCTCTGAGGCCCTTTTTATCATCAGCGTCAGCATCATGGGGATCATCGAAGCTTGCCAAAATGGCCTTAACAGGCTCGGTTTCATCGTTCGACCTATGCATATGGATGGTTAACCTCACTCCTTAACTCAAGAACCTTTCTTGTTCTTCCTCCCTCTTCATTCAAGGGGCGACTTAGAGGGAATTTCAATTTTTCTCACCCGTAGTTGTTTACTCGAAACCAATCCTCAAGCATGCCCAAGGTGCCGACCTACCGCTCGTCATGGGCGGCCTTCTGGTCCGACTTGCAAATCTGCGCGCTCAAGAGACGAAGCACCGTGTTCATGTTGGTGACATGAGGGGCAACAAGAGTCGCGAGGGGCGCCACAATACCTCTCTTGGAGATCCGCTCACCAAAGGTGGGGAGATCTGGCATGCCAGCCCCTCGGTGCCCTGGACCGCACGGAATCCAAGCTTGTGGTAATCATCATTCAGCTTGGGGATGCCGTGGTTCCTGCGCAAAAAGGGAGGCAGGATCTTGCACTGCTCCCAGTCGATGAGGCTAGCCAAACCACAATTCGTCGGCCTGATGAGGACGTTGCCCATGTGAAGATCGTCATGCTGGACGTAAGCCCACGAACCGTGGAACGGGCCGTTCTCGGGGTCGAGATTCTTTTCGTACTTGGCCGCAGTTGCCTTGAATCTGGCCAAGACGGCTGCGCCAAAGGCAAATGAGGCGCACGCCCTGAGCTGGATGGCCATGCGAGTGTTTGCATCAGTCGCCTGCGCACCGTCGTAAATACCGGCTCTGTGCCTTGTCTGTAGAATGCTTTGGAGGTAGTCCTGACACGACTTGAACGGGCCACGGTTACCGATGGAGAAGCGGTAGGTATACTTGCCAAGAAACCTGGTGTCCACAATGGGGCCGACGTAGAACAAATTGTCATCCCAGTTGTAGTATAGGCTTCCGATTTTGTCAAACTTGGTGGCTTCGAGGTTCCGAGAGAACTTGGCCACGTCCCGGAGCAAAATGTGCCCGGCCGCTTTCGCCTTGTTAAACACGGCGTTATTCTGGTGGTCCCTGTTGAAGCTGACCTGGAGCGAGATGGCTTTGTCGACCTTGGCGAGAATCATCCACTCTAGTCGAAAGGGGTTCTTGCCGCTCGAGTCGAAGAACAAGCAGCAGGGGATAGGAACGCCGCTCCGCGCAGCGTACATCATGGTGGCCACCTCCGACTCGGTCTTGTACCAAGGGTCGTAGGGCATAGAGATGCGTAGAATCGTTGTTTTGTCCTTCCAGTCGGGGCAATTAAGCTCAAACAGGATGTTGAAGGCGCCAGACTGGAAGTGCTTGACCCGAACATCCTTGCTCATGGGCAGGAGGCCTCGGCCCATGGCATCAAGGATGATGATTTCAGCATCGCCTGCCGTGGGCTGCCGCTTCCAGGTTCTCAAACTGTCAAAGTCACCTTGACCAACGAATATATTACCAATGGTAATCCAGTCGATCCAGCGGCTCCGTTCCCTTTCCGCCTGGACCAAGGCCCGGGGTGCGCTGGGCTGGACTTTGATGGGAATTGGGGTTTCTGATGCCATGATGGGCTTTTTTCTTTTCTTTTCTTGTTTGCTTGAAGGCTAACTGCTGCCCAAAGTCAGTACTCGGCACTACAGGGGACACTTCGTTTGTTTAGGGCTACCATACCTTTTGAAGCTTTTGGGGATGAGAAGAAGAGGTTGAGGTAAGTGGATGGATGCATATAAAACTAAAACACTAAAGGTGTATGCATTCACAGTGGGCTGTGAAGAAAAATGTTCTTAGACCTCATTCCAGCATGAAAGTAGTTGAAGAAAAACAGAGTATCAAGATCTTGATTCAAACTGAAAAGTTTTCCTTTAAATATACACACTGACAAGGAGGTTTGAAGATATAGAGTGGTCCTTCCTTATCTAGATATATAGAATTAATCTGGTTCCTGCGCCGGTGAATCTGGCTTTGAACCTCAGGGAAGAGGCTGAAGGCTAGGTGAGGCTATGGTAGGCTGGTCGGATGCATCATGGGCGACTTGCCTTGACTTGAGATCTGGATAGGCTCTTTTACCATTCTCCCACTGCTCTGCTCATGCAAATTGCATTCAACTTTGGCATGAACAGCAGGTACAGATGGAAGAAACCCCGATACTCGGTAATAAAAGACAAGCTCAGAAGGTAGTCTCGAGGCCGATCGAACTGGTCCAGTTGGCTAATGATCTTGCTGGCTGGAGAAAGCCGACTGAGACTGATATCGCGAGTATATCCCGTGTCCTAAAACATGGCCTCTTGTTGTTGTTGACGTCCACATCATCATTCAATAACACGGGTGGATTCCGAAGCAATCTAGGCCCATCAGAGAACCCACGCTTGCGTCTATTTATGTCTGGGCAGATCGGCAAACATCCGTGGCTGTATGGTGGAGAACCAGCCGTCGATAATACATACAGATGTTGAGCATTTAGACTCTGAAGTCTTCCGGCCCCTGTAAGACTTTGGGCGAACACTGGCAGTCCCTTGCCCACGGCGTCGAAAGAACGTGGCACTGTTGTAACTGGAGGATACGGAAGTCATGATGTTACTGCCGGGCGCGATTCGGGCCTCTCAAGTGTTGCCTCCTAGGTAATATACAGAATACGGAACAGAAAGACTTCAACAAGTTCTTATCTATCTCTCTTACACGTACTCCTGAGTCTCCTTCTACTCCCTAGGCTAGCCAGGGTATTAGATGAAAACAAAACGAAAAACATGAACACTTAAGAAATAGCGCTATTTCGCGTCGCCTGGAGGCAGTGTGGTACCAGGGACACAATGGAAGGCTGCGCGATCCCCGACAAAGGAGGATCGCGGTCCAGCCCACCGTCATGATCGAAAAATTGGTCCTAAACAGGAAGCGACCGGGGGATTTGGGGACCCCGGCCTCCGCGCGGTTAGGCGTCGGAAGAACAGATACTACACACTGATCAGAGCCACTATGGCCAAGAAAAGCTGGAGAAGAAAAGAAGGAAGAAGAGGAGGGAAGAAATGGGGAAGACACTCGTGAATTTATACTCGGGCGGCCCTGCGATTCCTTGTCTAGGCAGAAGTCGTGCCTAGGCAGAGCCGGTGGCTGCCTAGATGTGTAGATGTTGATTAGGAAGATGGATGATATCAGAACAAGCCCGCCCGAATCCATGAGCTGGTGCCTAAACGATGGCGCCGCTCCAGGCATAGAAGACAGGATATTGTTTAAATCTGGTGATAGCCCAAAGTGCCTATGTGGAGTCCGGCCCCGCTCTATGACTTCCTAGGCATCCTTGACCACATCTTTGCCCTCCATCAGCGCGACCATCTTCTCGTGGATGCCCTTCCAGTTGCCTTCACACTGCCCTTTAATGACGCCTACCAAGAGCCGCGAGCACGAGATATTGACCTCCTCTACCAGCTCCAAGGCACCAGGGCTTCCTTCCACTTCTCTCACCTCCCACACAGTTTCCATCATGACGCTCAATGGGCTTCTTAGCCTCACAAACATGCCCTTCTCCAAATCCGTAAACTCATAGGTGCTCACCACGTCTGAGTCCCAGAGACCAGCCGGAAGAGCGTGGACGCGATCCGTCACTTCGTAGACGGCGGGGGCCGGCGCCCAGCGGGCGGGGAGCAGGCGGTGGTGGCGGGAACAGGATCCGACGTTTGGTCCGCAAGAGGTTTAAAAGATATCATGTGCGGGTCACATTTTATGAAGCCTTCGTGATTCTGCACGCTGGCGATGGCCTGCTCGAGGGTGACGCCCGCGGGGATGGGGGTAGCATGCCGGAGGGCCGCAGTGGTATTGAGGAGGGCTTTTGAGCGGGGAAGGGGGTGGCGAGGTTAGTGAGGAGCATGATAATCTAGGCAGCCAATTCACCTTGGTTTTGTGCTTGCTGCGGACTGGAGGCATGGAAACTTACAAGTCATCGTGCGGAATTAATAAAGTAGCGAAACTGTGACAGCAATGGAGAGTATGCGCTGCCTTGCGTTTGACGGGACCTGCCTGTCTCTACTAAAAGAACTGGGGAGATTGGTGGGTAGGTTGGACGTAATGTAGGAAATGGAAATAGACCTCGAGAGTGGTGAATTAGTTGAATTGGTATTAGTGTCCTCGGGCTGCAGCAGAGTTCAACGTTCTTTATCAATCCAGACCAAGTATGTCATAGACGCAGGATCTTTGGGGGATCTAACAGCCTATAAGTGCAAGTATGGTGATGCTTAATCTTGAAGTGACCTCGAGAAGTTTTGGTGGTTGGCGGACTGGATCAATTGGCGAAGTGCTGGAGTGCTCCTTGATTCCGCACTGACACTTCAACTGTCTCATCGCCCTTCTTTCAACCCTGGTCCACCGGCTTCTGGAAGCTCTTTGTTCTCCATATTTACGCTTGACTATATGTCGAAAAAGGAGGACGTAATATCTGGCACACTATCATTAGCAATCGTAATCTCTTAGGCTTGCGCTCGACCCAAACTCGTTGAAAAGGACGACCGTGGTCAATCCCTCTATTGAGGTATCTTGTCATGGAAAACAAAGATCCAACTCAGACTAATAAACGGCGCTAACAACCCGTCAACCGCAAATGCATTGAATTCCCCATCATTGCCCTCTTAAGCATTGCGGAATCCTAGGTCCCGGAAAACTCTCATTCCGGCTTAGGCGATCGGTGAATATGCACATGGTCTAAGTTAGAGACGTTGAAGACCCGGTCGACGGTTGCCCTCAGATTCGACAGACTATCTTTGATTGCGGCTCTTACTATATCAAGAGCGAGGCAATGGCGACACTTCTTTTGGACCCTATGCGAACTCAGGGGCTAGAAGTTTTGGCTAAGCAGGCGGTGGTAGGCTCTGCGCTTTGCTCATGCTTGACTTGAGATTTGCACTTGGCCAGTTGTTTACCCCATTCTGTATGTTGGCATTCATAGAGAACGCGCCGGTAGTAGCACATGTGTCGATGTGGTTTTTGATCGGTGCTATTAATTCGTTTATAGAGTGCCCTGCAATCTTTGACAACCCCAAAATACCAGGATCCTCTTGAACAAGCCGAGTCGTCCAATTCTACGCTGTCTTGTAAGTAGCGATGATGATAGCGATGTGATCAACCTGTAGAATCTCTACTATCTTACATCTGCGGGCGAGTCATATATAGTCATCATTTTTGCCCATAAAAGAATCTCTCTAAAGACATGGCACCATAGTAGCTACCGCTGGTTTGCTAGGGATGACAAGGCAGAATATTATAAAGAATGCCCCTGTCCTTTTCATCGAGGAACAAAGAGGCACAGGCACAGGCACGGTGAGATGGACCCATCACGTTTGGGCATCTTCCCCAGGGCTCAAACATGAAAGAGTACCGTTTTCCAAGACCTCTTCAAAGTCTCGAGCCCATACCAACTGACAGGGGCCCTTGGCCTTGCTGGCTTCTTTCACGTGTGGCACGTGGAATCCGATGCGGCATAACGTGCGGCGCAAGGAAGAGTCCTCAGCAGAGCATATGACGACTCCAAAACGTGATGCTAGACACTCAAGGTCGGTGGAGGAATCCCCAAAATATACGAAGGGGGTGTCCTTGAGACCGGGGATGTCACCGAGGGCACGGAACTTATCAGCCGAAGTGGCCAGAATATTGGCACCGCCGGGACCCGAGATCTTACCCCGGCAACGATTTGGTTGGAGAAGATGTGCATTTCAGCCCCGAGATGCTGGAGGGCTCCTTCGATGAAGTCACGGGACCAGTTCACCGACACAACGTAGACGGGCCACGCGCGATCGGCGGCCAGAGCCAACAGTTTAGCAATGCCCGGTCGAAGGATGACGCGGCGCTCACGGATAGCAGCAACGCCGTCGGCATGGAAGTCGAACGGCGAGATCCCATCAAAGATTCCCGACTCTTCCACACGCGTGACTGACACTAAATCAAGGTCTTCTAGTCCGTTTAAAAACTGTACTTCTGCGTCGAAACTGACGCGTTCCTCCTCTGGTACGGGATAGTTGGAGACGTAGTCACTATAGTCGTTGCTGTATTCTCTGAGAATATGTTTCCAGGCATCGGAGAAGTCATCGCCCCGGTGTCTCTTATGAAACGAGATGGCGTGCTCACCAAGTATGCCAATAGTGTCACTGGTCGTAATGGTGCCGTCGAAATCCAACACGATGGCCATGCTGCTGCTGTTTGTGAGGGTGTGAGTGTCGCTGGACTGGACCTCCCCAGATCTACCGAGTTAATAAATTGGGAGGTTCTGGGGCAATCGAGAACAACAGTGGGGATGGTGGGGGTAGCATGAACTTTCTACGGTGTAGTGGGTGTTTCTCGGCGATGCCAACTTGAAGGATGGGACGCCTCTGAGAGGGAAGAATGGTTGAATGGCTGGTCAACTGGTGTACAGGCAAATGCTGGGGTTGCTGCTCCAAGACTAGGTTAGTTGCGCAAACCAATCAGGGCAATTGATGAACATGCGCAGGAAGCGGCGACCCCACACTGTCATGCAATTGATCCATTGGATGCTTGTAATTTGGCCGGTCAGAGATTTCCCCAGTGGGTCAGCCAACGTTGGCCGAGTTTGTGGCTGGAAACGGTGCAGGCGTGACGCAGGTGCCGTGCACCGGTCTTTCCTGCCATGCAACCAACAGAATTGATCCATCGAAGGGTTCTCGGCTGAAATTCGGCAACTTCCGTTCAGGGGTCGACGGCACTTGCTTCAGCTTTGTTTCTCGATTCCAGGAGTCGGTCGAAGGTGTTTCGAGCAGATCTCCACGCAGAACCAACTCAGGAATACTGGTTCTGAGAATCATCGACGGTTGGGTATATCCATAATAGTATGGACTCGGCGCCACTTCTCTAGTCCTTCAACGCGCCCTCCCGCCCACTTCTTCCTGGGCTCCCTTTTAGCCTTGAGCCTCACCTTCATCAGGTCTGGTTCCTGCATCTCTACTGGCATTCTCAGGGCGGCCACTCAGATCCGCTTCCTCAAAACCATCTCCCTAAGTTTTTCTCTCGAAAAGAATTCTTGAGGGATCGTTTTCTTGAAGAAATAAATGGTTTGTTCTCCTTTCAGTATATGTTTACTTAGCCCTGTTCCAGTTCTGGTTTGAAAGACATATCTCGGGGCAAGCGCCTCAGGTCTAGTCTCGAGGGCTCAACTGGCTTTGCCTGCAATGTTCCCAGGTGATGTCCACTTATAGGACTTGATATTTATCTTCCCGAGAGCTTCACATCTCACTTCACGGTAGCGTCTCATCCGAGCTGTCGTGGCTTTTGGCCCCTCTGAATAGGCAAGGCCGAGCAGGTGAATACCTGAGGAAGCACGCACACTTCTTGAAGCCCTGTTCTTGAAGCCCTCGATAGGAAGCCAAATTTGAAGCATGGCATCACAGACAACGCTTTTTCGCCCTGGTAAAGGGCCCTGGCCGCACAGAACCGAATACTATCACCACTCTTGCTCATCGCCAAGTGGTTTTGCAATTCGTGGGGTGTGGCCGGCCCCTGCTACGCCACTGGGAAGTGGGTGCTTGAGGTCACCTGGAATGCTCCTGCCTTTTGTTCCTTTGACGAAGGCCTCATGGAAGAGCATTTTGCTGCGGTCGTCGCCATTCCGGCCTGGATGAGATGGCTTGCTCCACTCCTCTGGCCTGTGTTTACACTTTATTCATCCTCCCTTTATTTCCAAGGTGTGTCTCTACACATCAAAAGCCCCTCGGGAGATTTTACAACCAGCCCTCCTATCCATCTGCCTTCAAGCTCTACTAGCCCTTGCCTCTCTCAGAGTTTCACCACTATACAACTATCCATGGCAAATATGTCAACGAGCATGAAAAGGGAATCGTGGCCATTTCGTCAAAGCGATGGAATCCCGGGGTCTACCGAATCTCATTTTCCCCGAGTATTTGATGGCTCCAACCCTCGGCTGCTGTTGAAGCTCATGAATATAGGCTTCGTCACGGTTTCATCGGGGCCATCCCATCCCAGGGGTATGCAGCGCTGCACGACTGTCGGGTTCGCGAACGATGGGAGACCTGGACCGCTATCCGTGATTTCGATCATTACTGCGATCGATACCCCCTTGAGGCAGTTCCACCAAGGCATGTTCTAGAGTGGCGGATCGAGTGGTCCTTTTTCCGCGAACTATCGTCACGCCTCATTGGCACTTCTTACGTTCACACACCGCTGTCACTCTTAAAAGCGCTCTCCATAACCCCTCTTCGTGCTGACACTTCGTCCCTTGTAGCTTATCTGGCCCCGGCGAGCATTGTGGCGTTGACCCTCCTAGCGACGAGGAAGAATCGATCTTTGAAAACAACAGCAGTAGTCGCCGTGAAGATTTAGGGAGCGATCATTCGTTCCTTACTACCTATCTTGCAAGGTCTACCAGCGGTCTGGGCAAAGGTAACTATGCCTTGCGCCGCGAAATATCGTGACCCGGCAGCTAACCCATCTTTTAACAGTGCTTGACTACTTGTGTGGTATCTTTCTCGGAGCTCAAGTCCGGCCGAGACCCTTCCCAAACCTTACGCAGCATTCACCACCATTGATAGTGCCGACAGAATTTTCGAGTGGCCATCCACCACTCGCGGCAGTGCCATCTTGCCCAGTCTAAGTCAAGGGATCGCCAGCGCACCCCGCCCGGACCAGTTTCGCCAGCTTCAAACTGACACCTCATCCTCCTGGAGCAGGCCGTGCCCTACATCGTGCAAACAAGGTCCCACCGGAGAGACCCCGTCCTTGATTTCCGAGTATTCCTCGATTGAGGGCCGTGACTCTCTATCCCTCTTAGGCGAGGGAGGTTCCGGGACAGGGGCCAGGCCTATTACGAGCCGCCCAAGTGTAGTTAGCGGGTTCTCTGACTCGTCATCGCGCACACCTTAACATCGGCAAAAGCAACCTGGCTCACCACTCTTCAACCCATAGTGGAGCCAAGAATTCGAGGGCTTGATAGATTCGCCACCTGCCCTCCCCACTCCTCTCTCCCATCTTCTTTCTCCTATCTTCTTTCTCCCAGTACCTCCGCCCCATCTCACATTCGTCCGCCTTGATCCGAACCCTAGATAATCACAATGGCGACCCTTCAAGTTAGGGGCCCGACTTCTCGGTCACGAGACAAAAGGCAATCGAGGATGCCAAGATGATGCAGTCCACGGTCAACGAGCAATGCGCTTCTGCGGGCCAGGAAGTCCCTCCTTATATCCTCTCGGAACTGATTGGTAAGGGAAGCTTCGGAAGGGTCTACAAGGCCACCGCGACAGAAAACAGCCAGTTAGTAGCTGTCAAAATTATTGATATCGAGGAGAGCGACACAATCAACCCCAAACTCGCCGACACCTACGGCGAGTTTCTCAAAGAAGTCAATGCTCTGAAGTTGCTTAGCAACAGCGGAGCTAGAAATATAAACCACGTTCTAGATGCCTTGCCGGTTGGCCAATCCATGTGGATGATTACGGAATACTGTGCTGGTGGAAGTGTAGCAACTCTGATGAAACCGACGGCGCCTGGGGGTCTTCAAGAGCGGTGGGTCATCCCTATCTTGCGCGAAGTTGCGGAGGCAATCTTCTGGGTACATAAGCAGGGAATCATACACCGTGATATCAAGTGCGCCAATATTCTCGTCCACGAAGCGGGCGGCGTTCAACTCTGTGACTTCGGTGTCGCTGGCGTCATTGAGACCAAGTTTGACAAACGATCAACCTTTATCGGAACACTGCACTGGATGGCCCCCGAACTCTTTGCCTTCGAGCAAACGGCCGCATACGGAACCGAGGTCGATATTTGGGCTTTTGGCTCCATGGTCTACGAAATCGCATCCGGCCTACCGCCCAACACCCAGCTGATGGATATGGTCCGCCTAGGGAACTATCTGAAGCAGCATTCTCCGAGGCTCGAAGGTGACCAATACAGTGACGCGCTCAAGGACCTTGTCGCATACTGCTTAGAGGAGTCGCCCAGAAACAGGCCGACTATCGAACAGGTCCAGCGCCATCCATACATATTCAACTCCTCGTCAGCGTACCCCACCGCATCCCTCGCCATGCTTGTGCGCGCCTACAAGCTCTGGGAGGCACAGGGAGGAAGCCGCAAGTCACTATTCGCCCCGGCGGGGCGCAGAACCTACCTCAGGACCTCTTATCGACTGCGCTCTCTAGCGACGAGTGGAACTTTAGTACCACGGCCGCTTTTGACCAGCAGGTCTTTAGAGACGGCGATCCTCAGACAGTTTACGATGCATACGGCACACAAGTCGATTTTGGCGGTGATTTGACCGAAACGGAACAGACGTCGAGGCCGCAAAAGGGCCGCGGCCGGAGGAAGCCCCGAATTTCCCCGTGCTCAAGGCACCGCTCGAAAAGGTCTTTGATCCCAACACCCTTACTGGGTACGAAGAAAACTCGAAAAATTACTACGGCGTAGGGCCGCCACCTCCGCCAACCTCTGACCTGCCTCTTCGGGACGTAGGCCAAGGCTCTGATGTTCGCGAGTCGCTCATTGACTTGGATGCGTCCCTCCATGGGGGCGAGCTCTCCCATTTTGTTGACATGGAGACCATCCGAGCCTCTGGCGCCCCTCGTGCATCGCTCGACTACGGATACAGCATGCCCGAGGCCCAGGACCTAGCAAAGCCCCCGCTTAGCGACCCTGAGCAGTTCAACATGAACCGGAGAACCCAAGACTGGAAATTCCCCACCATGGCCCCACCCGCCTCGGCCAATCCGGAAATGTCTCGCTTCCCTTTCAACACGGACCATTCGGCGCCGAGCTCCGCTGGCCAGATGGGGTCGCAGCACTATACCGCAGACTCCTCTCCATGGCCCCGAGTTATCACAATGAGCAGCTTTCGGTTCCCCGAGCCGTCTCCCAGGCGGCAAACAGAGCCTCTGCTAGTAGCCTAATCGATCTTGACATGAGCTTTGCCGATCCCGTGAGCGATATGACGAGGCCGTCCACCGCTCATTCCGACGTCGGCTCCGTGGCGGGGTCGGAGATTGGGGAGGCAATAACCCCTTTGAGCTCGAGCGCCATGCCAGTCTCTATGTTCCCTTCTCGAACCGCGAACCGTCAATATACGTGTCTGATGACTCCACTTTCGTCAACGGCTTGGCTGACCTCGCCGCCGCTAATGCCTCCCTGACTCAGAGGCAAAGCCGTCGAGGCTACCACTCGGGCAGCCACTCCTTCAGCAGCAGCAACGAGTACTCGGATCCCGAGTACCTAACTCCCCACCACATGCACCAGCAGTCCTTACAACCCCAGTATCAAATGCAGGCACAGCCCCTCTCCATGCCCCCTCCTCGTCCTCCCACTCATCCCGCTCATCCCAGTCTTCTCAGCGTCTCCTGCCCGCGGCCCCACCTGCCCCCTCAGGTAGGGTCATGCTCGGAGAGGCCGGTCTCGAGGAGGTCAAGGATGAGTTTAGACGCCTCATGATGAGCTTTGGAGAGCACCTCAACATTGCCAATGATAATCTGGCCGAGCTGCCTGTGAGGAGAGGAAACAGGGCCGAGGTTGTCCTGAGAGATTGAACCGTCACTGAGGGTTTTCACTGAAATGCATCGGCAAAGAGCCTACTTAGCAGGAGTCTTGTGTTGTTCCTTTTTTTTTTCTTTAGGGCGTGTGTACGGCATCATCATTCAAGGTCATTATTGCAAGTAAAGGGACATGATGACATTTAGTTCTGTTGGGCATTGTAATATACCTCTGCGCTTTGTTTTGTGGCATTTCATCTTTTCTTCCCATTTTTCCTCATTCGTGCGCGACGAAAGACATGAGTGCACCATGTTAGCAGGAGAATAAACCACCTCCTTGCCATGTGATTCTTCTTGCTACCATTACCCTGTACTCTTGAGCTTTTGCGAGAGCACTACTCTCAGCAAAATTGGTGAAAACTATTCGTACATTGCCCTCCCCTAATACACCGCCCCCATGAGATTCATCCGATATTTCTCGACTATTTGGTGGAGACGAACCATGACGCCGGACGCTAGTAGTCTGACATCGTCCTCCTCTTGCTCGCCGCCTCTGACAATGGTGAGCAGTTGGTTGAGCCACTCAATCGTGTCCGTGATCTGCGGCCCCAACTGGGACACGAGTCGTTGTGTCGAGTCCTCGTTGACGTCGAGAATGACGGCGAGAATCGTGAGGCCCGCAGCCGTGGCGGGAGGTTTCCCGCCATGTAGCTGCGGATGGCGAGCACCGCGTCCCACGCGAGATTGGTGAGATCCAAAAGGTCGGGCATGGCAGGCCCGCCCGCGTGGTATGCGACGGCGACGGTCTTGAGGTAGGTCGTGAGGAGGTAGGGCTCCGCGAGGATGCGGGCCATGCGGGAACCCTTGACGCTAATGGCATACTGGTAGCGCTCGACCAAGGGGCGGAGGATGTAGGCCGCGATGACTTTGGATGATATGTTGGGGGTTCCGGTCTTGTTGTTCGTCGCCCTCTTCACCTTGCTCTTCAAGGTGGAAAGCTTGAGCGCGTCGGGGCCGGTTGCCTTGTCGGCGGCTTCGGCCGCCAAGGGCCCTAGGAAGGAGGTCGCCATCGACTTTGCTATACCGTCCAAGGCGGTTGGAGGCAGGGCCTTGAGGTTGGAGCCCGAGGCTGAGGCCTGATCAGAGCTGGAGGGGCCAAGAAAAAGGCGGTCCATCTTCTCCGTAAGTTTCTTGGAGGGAAACGAGGCGCCTGCTGCGTACGCCGACTGTTGGAAGCCCCCGAGTTCTCTGGTGGCAATGCCCAGCGCGGCGAGGATAACGCCCCTTTGCGACAGAGAAAAGTCGCCTTGGAAAAAGCTCTTGATAAACCACGGCCCCATTGACTTGGGAAGGGCGACGACGAGCGATACCATGCTTTCGAGACGCAGCTCGTAAAAGTCTTCCATGTCGTACTTGTCCTGCAGGCCTACAAAAAGAGTGGCCAACTCCTCGGCGTGATCGCGCACTTCGTCTCCGAAATTGGCCTTTCTGCGGATGAGAGATGGGGCCGTCTTTAAGCCAATCTTTTGCTTATCGTAGCTGTCGATGTCGCGGAGGTACACTATCAAATTGCGTATATAGACGGGGGCTTTGACGTTATCCCGCCGAACAAGTGTGGGATCCTCTTCAGAGTCTTCGTCATCCGAGTCGGGTTTGTCGTAAGGTGTAATGTCATCATCGCTTGAGCCAACCTCTTCTATAATCAACTTTGACTTCTGGGAAGGAGGGGCCGTTGGCTTAGGTTTCTTGGGTTTCTGTTTGATGTAGACGGGACTAGGGTTCGTTTTGGGAAGTTCCTTGGTCGCTAAAAGAGGCTTGACGGGACCAAGTTTATCGTTGACCTTGGTGAGGCTCTTGAGTCGCCTGCTGTCTGCAGAGTCGGTTTCGGACATGTCAAAGTTTAGTCGCTGTTCTGGGTTGTGAATCAGGGCGGAGATTGCTTCGCCAACCACCATTCCGAGGCCCCTCGCCGCGTTATTAGGGGTCTCCAATCGAGCCGAGACCATAGCAGTGTACAGAGGCCCACCCGCAATCATTCGCAGGTGCGATCTCTTGGGTGGGCTCAAGTAGGCTGAGCTGATGAGGACCACCTCGGCCACCGCTGTTCATGACGCTAAATTAGCGAACAAGGTTGACAGGATTTCCAAAGGACGAAGAACATACTCTGCTGAATGACAAGGGGGCCCAACCAATCCACAGGGGATCACCAAAGAGGGCCAGTGCCTTATTCAGGAGATCGGCTAAAAATTCCACGTCGTCCGAAAAGCCCGCGATGATGGCTCTTCTTATCCACACGTTGGAGTCAGACATGGAGTCGGACGGTTCGGGCACCAGCCAAGCGATGTATGAACCTTTGCTCAAAACGTCGCAGGGCAACACACTTTTGATCATTGTAGCTGCCGCCGAAACGACCGAATTGTGAAGAGAGGGCTCGGTTGCCTCTATTACGTCCTGTACCAAGCGCGATACGAAAGAAAGTAGGCCATAGGAAGCCTTGTCTCTTTGTGTGGGCGAGATCCTCATCAAAAGCGTAGAAAGCGCCTGCGGTTGCGCATCTCCTTGTAGGAGAAGGGAGGTGAATAGCTCACGATGCATGTCGTCTAGCCTTGTTAGTCCAACGGCGATCTAGATAAGGCTGCAGCCCGATGGAAGCGACGGGACTCACCAGAATAACCGATACTCCAGGAGTGTACAAGGACCTCTGCACAAAACTCGATGCTCTTCTCTGGGGGACTTTTCTTCATCCAGCGAGACATGGATCGGGCAAGCCATTCCACGTACTGTTTCGCATCGGAGACCCAGTGTAAGGATGAACCCCTCCGTCCGATTAGGAAGTCAGCCTCAGCTGCCGTTGAGACGATTACCCCACGCCCAAGGAGAGATACTATGTCCTTGGAAGCGTGTGAGGCGGGGTCCGTGTTAGGACTGCTAGTAGATCTTATATATAGCGACTCCAGCGCGTCATCGGGGCCTAAGAGCGCAGAGAGTAGATCAAGATATATATCGATGTGTAGTTCCAGGTCCGGCCGCTTAAGGCCACCGCTGACGGATTTCACCTCAATGATTAGACCCTGTAGCCGGCGTAGGATACCATTAGTACCGCCAGGGCTTCGAAGGCATGACAAAAGATCTCGACGTCGGCATCACTCCCTGGCTGGAGATGTTCCGACTTCTCTTTGAGAGATTCCTGAAAGATGGGCCAGTAGTTGGGAGCAATCTCATCTACAAGCACTGTCGTGATTGATGAGGAGCGGGGTCCCGGGGTAAAGAGACTGAACTGGCGACTAGGGTGAGAAAGGTATTTCAGGACATGGATGAAGTCCGAGTAGTCTGGTTTGGATTTGAGGATCTCCAGGGCCTCCTCCGGAGTCGTTAGGCTGGTGGCATTCCCGCCCCGATTATTCTTAACTACAGAGGTGCGTGTTCCACCAGGTGAGGCTCCCTGAAGCCTAGGGTTGGTGTATGTTGTGCTGACTGGTGTGAAGAAGTCGTCCATTATCAAGGTGGGCCAAGCAGGAGCTTGCGCACGATGCTTGTGTAGCTGAGCAGGGGAAAGAGTGATGGTAAGCTAAATGCTAGATAAAATCACCAAAATGGTGGTGATGCTTTTATTTAGCAGACGCAGCAACGCAGGTCGAGCAGGTCTGGTAATTTGAGTGAGAGAGGAGGGTGAAAGAATAGCCACATCTGCGAGCGACAACGGCTACCTAATTGCTCATAGATCTAACGATGACATGAAGGGGAAGGTGCATACCCAAAGATTGCCGTATAGCTAGAGAGACCCGCGACATGGAATATCAAATAGGTCTGGAGCTTTCTCCCATGCTTAATATTAATTCGCTGCTCTGTTCGCTCTTGGATTACTGCGCAGTTTTATCCCAGGGATCAATTTGATCCATTTACTCGGGATCCGTCGATAGGTGTGGTTTGGCTGGCCCTGTCCAGTCTTTAATCGATCAAATCGAATTAATTCTTGCTGCATTGATCAGGTAGTTTCGGCTTACATTTTGGTTGCTTCATGGATCGAGCAAAGTGACTGAAAGTAACTAGACTCACACTCACAGCGCCCGTGCCCCACTTTCAACCTCAGCCCCTCCATCAATCGCCCCGACTAGTCTTGCACTCTCCGCGCGCGCGAGCTCGAGCATCGTAATTAGACTCGCTCTCGGAGACGAGGAAACCACCCAAAATGGATATTGATTCTACCGAGCAGGACGGGACCTCGTCCCCTGGCTATAGGATTGTGGATGAGGAGAAGAGATGGTAAGGGAGGCGGTTCGGACCTCTCACAATTCAGCTCGGTCATGCTTAGCCCTTGTTTTACAGGAAGTACGTGGAGCACATCCGCCGCACTCCGGGCCCTTACACGGACCCCGATGCCGTGAGCCAGGAAGCCGTTGACCAGTTCGATAAGATGAAGATATTGTATCCATTCTCTCCGCCCCATGAGCCTTACTTCCCCCTCTTCGTTAGTCTTAGCCTGTCTGCTAATACCGCTATTTTCACAGAGTGATGTGAGTGCTCATGCTTCGCGGGAGCCCGCGTGCGCACCCATCCTCCCCTATCTAGCTCGTAAATACTAACGCCCCATAACAAAGCGGCGCGGGAGGTCTTGGATGCGAGATGCTCAAAGACCTAGCGCTCTCCAAGTTTAGAGACATCCACGTCATCGACATGGGTATGCTACGGTGCCAACCTTCCACCCGCCCAGCCTCGCACAACGCACGACGCTGATGTTAGATGCTTGCAGACACCATTGACATATCCAATCTAAATCGCCAGTTCCTGTTCCGGGAAGCGGATGTGGGAAAATTCAAGGCCGAGGCTGCGGCCAAGTTCGTTATGCGCAGAGTCAAGGGCGTCAACATCACCCCCATTGCTGCCGGATCCAGGACAAGGACGACGACTTTTATAAACAGTTCCAGATGGTCATTTGCGGCCTAGACAACATCGAGGCGCGGCGATGGATCAACGCCAAGCTCGTGGCCCTTGCCGAGGAGGGCGACGGCCCAGACTGCATCAAGCCGTTAATTGACGGAGGCACAGAAGGTTCACCGCACCGCCCCATCTCTGATTTTCTAAAACTAGTCCGTCCTAACCGCCCGATGATGGCCATCTAGGTTTCAAGGGCCAAGTCCGAGTCATCATCCCCAGCATGACATCCTGCTTCGAATGCCAACTCGACATGCATGCCCCCGAGCAGCCGTCCCCTTGTGCACCCTTGCCAGCATTCCCCGACAGCCCGAGCACTGTGTCGAGTGGGCCCACATAATCGCCTGGGAAGAAGAGAAGCCCTTCCCGGATCTCGACAAGGATGACCCCGAGCACGTCACCTGGATCTATCAAAAGGCTCTGGAGAGGGCCAAGCAGTTCAACATCACCGGAATCACCTACTCCTTCACCCAGGGCGTCATCAAGAACATTATCCCCGCCATTGCGTCCACGAATGCCGTCATAGCCGCCGCTTGCTGCAACGAAGCCTTCAAGCTTGCCACTGGCGCGGCCCCCGCCCTCGGGATGGAGGAAAACTACATGATGTACTCTGGAGACGACTCCATATACACATACACCTTCAAGCACGAGAGGAAGGATGATTGTCCGGTTTGCAACTCTGGCGCTCGGCCTCTGCAGGTCAATCCCGATATACTCCTTCGCGACCTGGTAGAATCTTTTGCCCTGCGGCCCGAGGCACAACTCAAGAAGCCGTCGCTTAGGTTGGAAGGCAAGACTCTTTACATGCAATTCCCCCAGGCTTGGAGGAGCAGACGAGGCCCAACCTCGACCGCACTTTGAGGGATCTGGGCATCGAAGATGGCCAGGAGGTGGTGGTGACCGACCCCGCATTTGCTGTGGAGTTCAACTACTTCTTTCGCTTTACATCAGATTGAGCCAGTCCCTTGGCTGTGTATGTGGGGGAGAGGGAGGTAGGTCTAAACCAAAAGACCATTCCCGGGCGTACCACTTCCTAGCATAGTCTAATGTGACGGAGGAAACACAATGCTGGTATCATTAAGCCATAACTATCTAAAATGGTGCGAAGGTGTTGTACATCGTTTCGTGATCAGATTCGTCCTCAGATCCGTACTACCGGGCCATGAAGACGACCTGCTTCTCGAGCGTCAGGCACTTCTTCTTCAGCACACGAAGGGCCTCTACGAATAATTCATCGCTGTCCCATTGACCCGTGCTCTCAATTCCAAAGATGAAATGGTCTCGTTTCCTTCCCAGCTTCACCTTGCCCTGGAACTCGGGGTGCCTCAGGCACTCTCGGCTCACCGTGTCCTTCATGGCATCCACCACCACGGCCTTGTCCTCGCCCTCGCGCTTCTCGTAACCGCTACCTTTGATGGCGGCTTCCTGTCTCGTGACCTTTTCAATCCCAATCACTCCCTTGGGGAAGCACCCTTGGAACTTGTGTGCATCCTCGCCTAGGATAGGCTGCATGATGTTGATCGTGGGCAACAGACGATACGACGCCGTAGCGACGGGAGAGAATTTGGCGTGGTCCGCGCCTATGCCCTTGTGCATGTGCATTTCGAGGGCGATACGCTGGCCAGGGCGAAGCTTGGCAATCAGAATGTCGGGGTTGCTCGGCCTAATGGCATCCTCGCCCGAGAAGTACTCGGCCTGCCGCCCGCTTGGGGTGAAGACGATGTCCTTGGCGTAGACGTTGGCATTGTGGTAGAGCTTTTCGGGATCGTTTTCGTCCTCCGCGGCATCCTTTCTGTGAGTGCACTCGATGTTGAGGAGAGGCTGACGGTATTCCAATCAAAGGTGTTGGCGAAAGGGTCCTCGCCGGGCTCGCCCCGCTTGAACTCTTGGAGAAACTCTCGGATGCCCTGCTTGGAACCCTTCCAAGGGATGAGGCCTAGTCGATGCGACAACACCTCGTCGTGGATTACCGATGTATTATCCTCGACAAAGACGGTTTCGATCGCAAGCGTAGAGATTTCAGCAATCATGATCCGACGGATGGCGTTCGCGATCGAAGCGTCGACGCCCATGAGGGAGAGCGACATGTCGCTTTGTCTGTTGTAGTGAACCTTGATGTTCAGATCCTTCCGGAACTGTTCGAGGCTGAAGCTGCCATCCTCGCCGTAGAAGTGGCCCGGGAAGTCGGTTGAGATGCCATTGGTTACCGTCTCTTTGTTGATATTGATGGTCTGCGAATCCAATCGTTAGTGGGCAGGGAACGGAGAATTAGTGCAGTTCGTAGCTAGAGCTAGGCCCTACACGAAATACGGCAGGATGCACTCGGGACATACGTCTCTTTCGTTACCGCTGGTGTGTAATTTGTGCGGCGACATTTTGGCGGTTTTGGTCGAGTCTCCCCTCGTAGCAGTTGGAATTGGGTAGTTCGTTTGGCTCGACGCAAAAAATCTGATAATGGGAAATTTTCTGGACAACCCTCCAGAAGCCCACCCGATAAGAGGATAAGAGACCGGTGTCGAGGGGCAGAATCCTCTATCGGGGCACCATGGCGTGTTCCTAGTGGGGGAAAAGCCCATTATTAAGTACAATGGTTTGATTGGCTAGAAACCACGTGACACAACACCCGGCAACTTCCACCATGATGAGAATCTTGAACAGCAGACCAGTTTGTGAGATCTATGGGCTGGATGGAAGTTTGCAAGCGCACGTCACACTCGACTACACTCAATTGACCTCGCGGAAGGGTTCCAAAGAGGAGCAGAGCTCCCCGATACCACCGTCGTCCACCGATACCCGTCTGCCCTCTCCATTCCCTCGCACATGATGTCTTTTTCCACGGTGTCCCGACTCGCCGGCCACAGCGCCAAGCGACTTTGCCTCCGGCCAGCTCGATCCGTCATCTCGCGACCCATCTCTACGACAGCTATTCGGAGATATGCCGAGCCTCACGATGTTGGCATCAAGCTTGTCCCCGTAAACGAGAGCTTTTCCAACTCGAATGACCCCCACGGCGAGCACTTGGAAGCCCAGGCCACAAAGTCGCGCGAAGAGGTCGAGGACCGAAAGATCCGCCACTACACCGTCAACTTTGGTCCCCAGCATCCCGCCGCCCACGGCGTGTTGCGGTTGATTCTCGAGCTGAGCGGAGAGGAAATTATTCGTGCCGACCCCACGTCGGCCTGCTTCACCGAGGCACCGAGAAGCTGATCGAGTACAAGTCCTACCTCCAGGCTCTACCCTACTTCGATCGTCTCGACTACGTTTCCATGATGACGAATGAGCAGTGCTTCTCCCTTGCTGTCGAGAAGCTTCTCAACGTCGATATCCCCATCCGAGCCAAGTATATCCGAACCTTGTTTGGCGAGATTACCCGTGTCCTCAACCATCTCATGTCCGTCCTCTCCCACGCTATGGATGTCGGTGCTCTTACCCCCTTCTTGTGGGGTTTCGAGGAACGTGAAAAGCTCATGGTATGAAATGAACCAAACTCTCTCACACTCTGTCTTTTCCCTCCGGAAAAGCGTGCGCTAATATTATTGTGACCACTCACCTCTAGGAATTCTACGAGCGCGTCTCTGGTGCGCGTCTTCACGCCGCATACGTCCGCCCCGGTGGCGTGAGCCAGGATCTCCCTGAAGGCCTTCTCGACGACATCTATCAATGGGCCACCCAATTCGGCGACAGAATCGACGAAACCGAAGAGATGCTTACTGACAACCGTATCTGGAAGTCGCGTCTGGAAGGTGTCGGCGTTGTCTCGGCCGCCGAGGCCCTCAACCTCTCTTTCAGCGGTGTCATGCTTCGAGGATCCGGCATTCCCTGGGATATTCGCAAGAGCCAACCCTATGATGCCTACGACCAGGTCGAGTTCGACGTCCCCGTCGGTGTCAATGGCGACTGCTACGACCGATATCTCTGCCGTATGGAGGAGTTCCGCCAATCCTTGAGAATTATCCACCAGTGCCTCAACCAGATGCCCGCCGGTCCCGTTCGTGTCGAGGACTACAAGATCTCCCCTCCTCCCCGCGCTGCCATGAAGGAGAACATGGAGGCCCTCATTCACCATTTCCTCCTTTATACTAAGGGCTACGCCGTTCCTCCCGGCGAAACCTACTCCGTCATCGAGGCTCCCAAGGGCGAGATGGGTGTCTACGTAGTAAGCGATGGTAGCGAGAGGCCCTACCGATGCCATATCAGGGCGCCCGGTTTTGCTCACTTGGGTGGCTTTGATCACGTATCAAAGGGTCACTTGTTGGCCGATGCTGTCGCGGTTATCGGAACAATGGATCTGGTGTTCGGTAAGTCTTCTTTGTCTTCATTGTTCTCTCTACATATGTGCATAATTGATGCGCAGTCCTTTGCTAATACTCATACTCTACAGGTGAGGTCGATCGGTAAAAGAAAAAGTATGCCTAGAAAGAAACAGGACAGGGGACTCGGTATCATACTGTGTAATTATAGAGTCAGTTGCAAGAAGACCTCGCCGTATATATCAATTTCTTTTTTTCTCTCGTTACAAGCAAAACCTCTATGTTCCACGTCTGAGCGATATGTTTTTGTGGTATATAGTACAACGGTAAGATTACAAAATGCTGTTCGTACAAAAGGAACCTAGAAGAGCTTGGCGCCACTACCAGACGCCTGGCTCATGAGGAAATCCTTGAGGGGTTTCATGGCATTGACGGCATTGAGACCCCATGACCTCAGCGGAACCAAAGGCCCGCTTCCAAAGGAATAAATCTTGTGAAGCTTGTCACAAACGCCCAGAAGAACATGGTTTGCCGCATAGCGTTCCGCGTTGTATGACTCGAGTGACATGAGCGTACCAATGTCCTGGCCATGAGAGACGGCGTACTCAATGGTTCGTACTAGGCATTGAATATCGCCTTGACCCTGGTTGAGACCTTGGCCGGCAAGGGGGTGAATAGTATGGGCGGCATCTCCCACGAGGGCGACACGCTCGCCAATGTAACGGTCGGCATGTCTGAGCTGTAGGGGAAAGGACGCTATGGTTCCTTCTTGAACACCGGTGACGACCTGAGGAACACCGTGGGGGCTGAAGCTAGTGTGCTGCAACCTCCAATCGAGCTCGTCTGTCTGACCGGAGGGCTGCTTATGCATGTATTCTAGATCAACGGGGCTGAGGCGGAATCCCGCGTTGACAAGAGCAACGAAATCAGCCGGGGCCAGGCCCTTGAGCTTCGCAGCGTTTTCCACCGTAGTTGACCAGACGAGGGTTGCAAAATTTCCGGGAGAGGAAGCATGGCCATAGGGCCGGTAGGGAGGAAACGCTGATACGCCGTCTTCATTCCCCGGCCAGAATAGCCATCGTCCTCGATCTGGAGGGTGGCGACGACACCATGTCTCCCGTAGGCCCAGCCACGGCTTGGAATGTCGGCAAATGTCCTCACGGGGCTGTTCGCGCCGTCGGCGCCAACCAAAAGGCGCGCGTGCAGCTTCTGCCCCGTGGAAAGTTGCACGACGGGCCATTGCCTAAGGTCCATGCCATCCGTCTCTTCGCCGAGGGCAATGGCCTCCACTTTGGCGTTGTCGAATATGGACACGCCACCAATCTCCTTGATTCGGCGCAGAAGCCCAGACGTGAGGTTGAGGTTCTCAATCATGTAAGCGACTACACCGCCGTTCTTTGAGGTGGGAGGGACGTCAAACTCGATGCGTGCGTCGGTCACTCCGTCCCAAACTTGCATTTCTTGGTACTCTTGGATGCGGTCGCGCTTCATGTGGGACCAGGCGCCAATATCATTGAGATAGTTTGCAGACGCTGGCGTGAGGGAGCTACATCGGTTCGAGAACTTGTCGGAGGGGAGAGACCAGTCGCTGAGCTTTCCAAGGTCTTGGGCTTCGATGAGGGCCACTCGGAGGCCACTGGTAACGGGGTTCGCGCCTAACTCACAGGTCATTACAGTCAGTTTCAAAGGAGCCTCGTGTCTCTCGGCATGAAAGAAGATTCAGTGCTACTAACGTAGAGCTGTCAGAAGGCTAAGGCCGGCCGGGCCACCTCCGACGCAGACAACATCGTAGACATCCGGCTCAGTTGAAGTACTGTAGTAGCGCGGTAGCTTTGCCCGGAGCTGTCCTGTGCAGCCTCGGCACACAAATCGGCCACTGGGGAGTAGAATTCGGCTTGACATCCTCGAGAGAGAGGCTAAACACGGTAAGGCGAACCAATTGAGCCTTCTGGTTGTCCGAAGCTCTCTACACTACGGTTCCTGGATGCTTGGGGCGTGGGGTGATGTCAAAACTTGTGATTACTCAGCAAGAATTTAAGCTCATTTTTTGTTTAAGCTCGCAGCCCGTTGAGACGACGGATATTGGCCAATCAAATCTAAGGACTGCTCAAAGGGAGTTCCACAGGAGGTGGAATGTGGCAAAGCCACATTCCATCGCCACATATATTAGTCATGTATAGGCACGTGCTTAGCGAATCTTGCCGCAAGTCTGCCTATGCACTAAGAAAATGTTGGAGGTGTCCAGTGACGGCACGTTGCCCCGACGCTGAAAGCCGGCAGGTGGCGTATTTCCTGGTTTGTTATGTGATAAACACAGGCTGTTTCATTCGAACATCCCACTTGCGTCAACACCCATTATCCCTCCCTTTCTTTCACAACCACCAATCCTGGGTAGGCTTTGTGTCGGTCGCGACCCAAACCGCATTTATAATCTTCGCGGGAGGCCTACTGCTTCGCTAAGTATATCAGCAAGCTATTTCTGGATCTGCAATTTTTCCCTTCTACATCATCTCAACTTCTTCACAACCACACATCATCTTGCTTTGCTCAGGAACATCTGTCAACAGCACCACCATGGCCGATTACGACGGCTTTGAGTATCTCCAGGAGGACTTTCAGCCAGAAAGCCTAACTGTACCACGGCTGAGGTCCATTCTGGTTAAGCATAATGTGCAATACCCATCCACTGCGAAAAGCCTATCCTCGTCGATCTCTTCAACGACCAGATTGTGCCACAGAGGAAGAAGATCCTTGCCCGGGCCGCGAGGGCGAAGCGTTCGAGTTCCGGTATCGTAAACGCCGGTACCGAAGACATGTTCGATCTTGAGCCGCCGAAATCAACGCGAAGATCTCGCTCCCCGAGGAAATCTACAAATCCCGTCAAGAGCGAGGATTTTGACGAACCAACCTTGCCCGCATATTCCTCCCGTTCATCTCGTTCGGTGAGCCGCCAACTAGCGCAGACCTCGGATACCGATACTGTCCCCGACACAATTCGCAGTAGCCGACGAACCGTCACTCCAAGGATAAAATCTGAGGAGCCGGAAGGTCATCGTTTCGGAAGGCTATCTACCGATCACGTCTCTGCAGAGCAGAGTGTATTCACCAGCGATAACCCTTTCCAAAGTGGAAGCTCTCCGGTACCTGCAAAGACTCCTAATGGCCGTCGTTCCAGGACCCCAAAGTCGACCTCTAGACGACAAACCAACGGTGTGTTCTCCGCCAGCGAGGATGACACGCAGACCGGAATCTCCTACAACAAGGTGGCCTCGAGGTCAGTACGAAGACAGATTAGCGAACCACCTGAGCTCGAGCCCGGCGAAGAGTTCACCCCCGAAGCCCAGTTAGAACTTCAACAAGAGTGGGCCTCCCAGGGCAAGAGCGCCGTTGTCACCCGTCGAAAGGCCGCCGCCCCTGCAAGGAAGTCTATGCTGGTCACTTCTCTATGGGTCCTCTTCACCGCGCTCCTTGCGGCTTATGCGGCCTGGTATCGCCAAGAGAAGCTCGCAATAGGATATTGTGGTCTCGGCCGGCCGGCCACGCAGATCATCCCCCGAAGTTCCCGTACCCGAATGGGCCGTTCCCTTTATTGAGCCCCAATGTGAATCTTGCCCGGCCCACGCCTATTGCTATTCGAACTTCGAAGCCCGATGCGAACCTGACTTCATCCTGAAGCCCCACCCGCTCTCCTTTGGCGGTTTGGTTCCGCTTCCGCCCACCTGCGAGCCTGATGGGGAAAAAGTTCGCCGAGTGAAGGCTGTCGCCGATAAAGTGATCGAAGAGCTTCGCGAACGTCGAGCGCAGTTTGAGTGTAGCGAGTCCATTACTGAAACCGGAGAAAAACTCGAAACCCCTACGATTGAGGTTGAGGAACTGAAAGAAACCGTCAGCCGAAAGCGAAACAAGCGACTGAACAAACAAGATTTTGACGACCTATGGGTCGCGGCCCTTGGCGAAGTGCAGGGCAGAGAGGAGGTTGAGGTAAAAGAGTAAGTGATGATCCATTTCCGAGTCCCCCATCAAACATGCAGAGTCCGGGAGCTATCAACCCAGGCCGAAGTCGAATTACGACCGCAACCGTAACCCACTATCGCTAGCTTTCAATTGTATTCTGACGAGAGACTAACCAGATCCTCTCTACCTCCTGTAGAAAAACCGGTGCCGGAGGTATTCCAAACACGTACCTCTCTTCCAGCTCTCTCGCTCGTGTTCCCCTCACGTGTGCGATCAAACGCTCCGTCATCAACGGACTGGAACGACATCGCATCACAATTGGATCTTTGATTGGCACCCTTCTCCTTGCCATCTATGCCAGGTCCCGTTATCTATCAGAGAGGGCTATAGCAGCCAAGGTCCCAGCCTTGGTCGATCTAGTCCTTGACCGGTTGCATAAGCAGAAAGACCTAGCTGAGGATGTCCTAGAGGACCCCTGGCTTTTCCTACCGAACCTCAGAGACGATGTCCTTCGATCTGTGCACTCCCTTCCCGCCAGGGAACGATTGTGGCAACGAGTTCGAGCGGTTGTTGAACAGAACAGCAATGTTAGGACGGGGCAGAGAGAAAACTCCAACGGGGAGTTTGGCCGTGCTTGGGAGTGGATTGGGCCGATGGCGGGGATGGGGCGCGGCGCCGGAAGAGCGGCCGCGTATCGTGGGGCCCCGATGTTAGGGGCGATGAAACCCCTGAAGCGTCGGACAGGAAACACGCGAAGTGGGACGAGTCCCGGCCTATCTACTGATTGATGTCTCGTTCTAGCCCCTTGAGTCGGGATGATTGGCGTACTTTTCTTTTGTCTCTTCTCTTTGTACGAAGTACAATTTTCTGGCGGCCTAGTTGTGCTGGTCTCTTCGATCCCTTTATATCTCCACCTCAGCGCAGGCTTGGTGGTTGGGCGTTTTGGCGAAGACTGTAAGATATACATCTTCCATCATCACTTACTAGTAGGGGTGGCCTACATCAACAAACTACATAATCTTCTTATTTCACCGACCCAAAAAATAAATAAAAATAAAAAATAAAAAATTACCACCAGTTGCCCCTGTTTCTTTTTCCAGATTGATCCAAGGCCATCCTCGCCATATATCCTCGTCATCTTTTTGGCTGCACACGTGAATTTGGTTAATGATTATACACCCCGTATTCGATAGCCACATGTAGAAACCAATGAATAAATTATATAGCAACCATCATCTATGATAATGCAGCCTCGTTATTATGACATGGGCAGCAGTCGAAGTTCCAACAAGTGCCATGAATATTGTATAGCGGTTGGTGACCTTCACCGACAAGACAGCGGGGATATTCACTTCGTGCTCGACCGGACATCTTCACGAATGCATAGTCAAAGTGCCAAACCATTTATGGTTTAGTTAGGTGGTAGGTTCGGTTTAAATATTGACAACGTCCAGGGTGGACTCAAGTAATGAATTTCTTATGAGAAAATGGGTAAATATATTGGGTTAAATTTGACTATAGCACAAGGTCTTTTATTGACACTAGACAAAGGAGAAATTTCCTTCGGGGGTGGTTTCCTGAGGGTACAAATCTCAACCTTTTATCTATTGAGCCTTGGAGGCGACAATCCCTGTGCGGTCGTTAGAAATTTCGAAGTCTGGCGAGGAGGGGGTGGGGGTGGAAACACAAGCAAGCATGAGACTAGACTTACTCTCAACATCCGCCACGCTCTGCTGAAGAATCTGCTGGAGCGACTTGGGGCTCTCAAGCTCCTTTTGGACCTTGGCGATGACGCTCTGGGCGAGCTCCTTCTGTTGGCGCTGCTTGACCTGGCTCTCGTAGCGGACCCACGAGTCAAGAACAGTCTTGGCCTCGGCGGCGATAGCGGTCTTCTGCTCAAGCTCGAAAGCCTCGGCCTCAAGCCTGGCGGTTTCCTAGAGGTCGACAAATGTCAGCCGAGTTTTCTACCTCGGTATCCGAGCCAGTGTTCCAAAAGAAAATCTTGCGGCGCTTGGACAAGAACGCAGGATTCGACCCTTATGTAGATTCTCAATTATCGTACCTTGGAGACCTCGAAGAGAGTCTTGGTGATGTCAACAACACCTTCCATCTGCTTCACGTCCTCAATGCGGGTCTGGACGGCGGCGGTGTGGTCGGCCCTGGCCTGGTTGAGGATGTTGAGGATCTTCTGGTTCTGGCCATTGGCCCACTCAGAGTACATGGGGCCACCATACTTGATGAGGCCACCCCAGACAGCGAGAAGGCAGAAGGCAACGACGGTCTCCTCGTTCATAACGTAGTACTCATTGCTGATGGCGTAGACAGAGAGACCGGCAGCGCTGGAAAGAATGGCGGTCTTGGAGAGAAGGCTGTTTCCGGGGAGCGCATCGACGATGGACTGGGCCTTCTTCTTGGGGTCCTCGGCGGGAACGTTGGAGGAGTGGCGGGCCGTCGTGAGCGAGGTGAGGGCGGGAACAGTTCGCCGAGCGATGGTCGGTCGGACGAGGTTGGCGCCTACAGTAAAGGTCAGAGACCGTCACAGAGATGGACGGAGGGCGCCAATTGATCATCTCCATCAATAGAAATGCATTTTCAAACGTACCTACGGCGCTTCGAGCCAAGCGAGACGCCATTGTGTTGGAATGGAGATGCTGAAATGAGGGTGTTTAGCTGCTGGTTACAGATGGGAACATGGGAGTGATTGGCGATGTGAGGTTTTATCGCGCTACTTCGGCAATATCAAAAATCACGTGACACTACAGAGAGCCGGTTCCGGCCTAGTGGCCGATGTTAGTTTGTCGGGCCCACTTTATTTTTTCAAGTCTTGGCATCGCCTCTTGAAGGGAATTTCTGAGCAGAGGTGCCGTTCCCTTGTAGTGAAAGGCAAAAAGAAAAAGAAAAAGAGAGAGAGAAAGAGACGAGGAGACTCCTTTACTTGTTGATATCTTTCTTGTTTTCCTTTTGCCTCTGGTCGCGAAATCATCATTGGTCCTTCTTATATACGGACCAAAATGCCTGCGATCACAGCCAAAGACGATGGCTTAAAACGCAAGCGCAAGGTCACCAAGGACGATGTGAAGAAGAGGGCACGAGCGGGTGAGAGTGGCAGCGACGATGAAGATGTCCATTCCCAGATCCTCTTATTAGAGGCTGAAATCCTGGAATCCAAGAAGAATTACAACAACATTGTGAAACTTATCAACATCGCCAAGGATCATGAGTCGGACACCGAGTCCGCCATCTTCGCTTCCGTGGCTTTATGTCGAGTCTTCATCCGATTGCTGGCGGCCGGGAACCTCACGCTCCAGCGCGGTGCCTCTGACAAGGAGGCCATCGTCATTCAATGGTTGAAGGACCAGCTATCCGAGTACAAGGCCATTCTCGTTACTCTTGTGTCCGACCAAGACCTAGCTTCAACCGCATTAACCCTCGCGATGAAGGTGCTGAAGGCCGAGGGTGAGCAGCTCAACGCCAACAAGGACTTTTACGTGTTTCCAAAGGAGTTCCTCGAACACATTGTGCTGGCCCTCGTAAAGTCCAAGAATTCTGATGCGCGCGAGGAATTTGTCGAGAAGTATGTGGACGAGTACGACGACGTGCGCTTCTTCACACACCAAGCCACCAAGTAAGTGTTTAGGTTTCCTCAAATCGTTGCAGCGTACGGATGAGATAATCTAACCTTAGTCTAGGAACATTCTTACAACCCGGTCTGCCGAATTCACAGACCCTGAGTGGTTCGACCTCTTCTTTGACCTTTGCTCGCCATCGACGGGGTCCCCGGCTCTAACGCCGAGCTGGAGGACTTCTACATGCCCGCGCCAAAGAAGAAGGCGCACAACCTCTTTTCTCTCGCTCAGCATAAGAAGTACGCCCAAGAAGCCTGGCTGGCACTAGTAAGCCTTACCATCACGAGAGAACAGCAAAGAAGGTGCTGTCCTCTCTTGCGAGCGTCATCGCTCCATGGTTTACGAAACCCGAGCTTCTCTCCGACTTCTTGACGGACTGTTATAATTCCTCGGGCCCTGTCCCTTCTCGCCCTGTCCGGCGTCTTCTACCTGATCGAAAACCGCAATCTTGACTACCCATCCTTCTACCCCAAACTCTACTCTCTTCTCGATAGGGATATCCTTCACTCCAAATATCGATCCCGGTTCTTCCGGCTTCTTGATACCTTCCTTGCTTCAACCCATCTTCCAGCAGCCCTTGTAGCTAGCTTCATCAAGCGTTTATCAAGGCTGGCTCTCAACGCGCCGCCAGGCGCGATTGTCTTTGTCGTGCCCTGGATCTACAACCTGTTCCAGCGCCACCCCGCATGCACATTCATGATGCACCGCGAGCTGCGGAGCTCGGGGCAAAAGGAAGCGGTAGAAAGCGAAGGGTTTAAGGATCCCTTTTACCTGACGAGACCGACCCCTTGGAGACCAAGGCGATTGAGAGCTGCATATGGGAAATTGTGCAGCTACAATCACACTACCATCCTAACGTTGCTACAATCGCCAAGATTATCTCTGAGCAATTCACAAAACGAACCTATAATATGGAGGATTTCCTAGACCACTCCTACGCCAGCGTAAGTTGAACAGCCTTGTCCATACTTTGGGAAGAGGGGAGGACTCAACCTCACGGCTTGCTAACGCGATTCACTTTGCTAGTTACTCGACTCAGAAATGTCCAAAGATGTTAAGAAGGCACCAGTAGTTGAATATCAGATACCTAAGAGGATATTTCTTCCTCAAGATGCGGATTCGGGCGTTGCAGACAGTTTGCTCGTCAGGCTGTGGGATTTCTAATCTGTCGTTGACAATTATAGCTGGAGGTGTCCTGTATATATACCCAAAGTTGGCGGTTTTGTAAATAGCGTGTAGCTACCAGCATCAATAGCACAAGATCTCGTGCGCTAAACAAGGTGTCGTTGAGTCTGCATTTCCCGGATTTGATAAACGAGACAAGGCTTATATGCGAGAAGAACACATCGGTCCTGGTACCAGTCTAATACGAGAGCGAGCACAGAGATAGCCCGGCAGTAGTGATGTAACTCCAGAGGGACCCTCCGCAGACACGTCCACTGCCAGACCCGAAAAGGTCGACCGCAAAAAGAATGTGCAAAACATGGATCTATTAAGTTTATAGAGTATATTCTATACCTCAACAGAGACGGCTCGCAAAGCCTCGCCAGTATGATGAGAATCGTCGTACCTCAGTAGATAAAGTGTTCTCTGTCTGGTAGTGGTTAGGCGAGCAACTCGCAACCGGCACGGGGCTCCAAGACTCGCCACGATGACATAGGCGCGGCTACACGTTCAAGCCCACGACCGGCGAAAATGGTTTCTTTTCTTTTTCTTTTTAATTCCATCCCAAATAAGGGTGACGCAGAAGAAGAGGACCAAGAATAGGAAAGCAGAAAGAAAAGGAAGGGACAGAGGCTGATTGTTAGAAAGGGGGACGATCGATTGCCGTTCGCGCATATTTGAGCTTGGAACGCTTTCCGGAAGGCGGTTTAGTCTCAAAACCTGCTGATGCCTCCGACCGGATAGGAGGAGGAGAGGTAGACTTGGGGATATAGCGAACGACAATTAGGGTTGATGTGAGATTGCCACAGATGGTCGGCATGGGTCCTGCCTTCGCCAAAGTCTTTCCAGGTGGTGAACTGGAGCACTCGCTGGTTTTTTGGCTGTATCATGTCGCATTTGATAAGGTTGAAATCGGTATAGCACGCTGTACAACCGCGGACCACGTTAAGATTTGTTCGGAGCTCTCCGCACTGACGTTTATCGCAGTCCAAGGGGTGTTCCCAGATGCATTTAAAGATGTCGTTCTTCGGGGCCGGGTAATTTGAAGGGATGGTGAATGGATAGAGTTGTGACCACGAAATATGGGCGCAGGGGTTTGCGACTTCTCGGTGAATCTGGAGGCCGTGAAGGAGACTGCCCACCCCTTTAAGCAAGTCCTCAGAGATATTTTTGCTGGGAAGCACCCATATCGTCAACTTCATCATCAGGCGTCCGTGGACGACCCTCGTGGTTCTCTGGAAGGTGTAGGTAGGGTCGCCGCCCCCGAGGTCGTAGATCTTGTGGCTGTCCAAAAGGGAACGGGGAAAGCGGGAGTCAGCGCGCCGATGAGATTGCATGATGGCGGTGACCATGCTGAATGAGATGAATCCAGAGGCCCATTCAACCACAGACTCGCAGGGCTTCAACTCCACGTCAGAGCCCCAATCGAGAGGTTCTCCGTCGATTTTTGACCACCTGTGTCCATCCCGTATCAGAGATCTTGGAACACGGAAGTAGTGAAGCTTGTGGCACATAGAACACAGGATCATGTCCGGATACATGTTGCAGCGATCAAAGATCTGGAGAAGCTGTAAGCGACTAACTTGATCGCGGTTGACGGCGCCAGTCCCAAAGACCTTAAGCATGTGCTTGTCGACGAGGGCAAGGGAGGCACGGGAGCCTCCGTCGAGGTGGTCCGCGATGAGGCGCAAGAGTTCCACGGGCAAGTCGTGAATCGTAACCCGCTCTCGAGGGGAGCCGGGGGTTCTTTAACAGCGGGTCTAGAACGGGGGCTGCGCAACGAATTGGCAACTTGCTGGTCGTTATTACGGTCGTTGATCCGGTGCCCATCTTGTCGTTTTCAAACAAAGAAAGATGGGTGTGGGGGTATCCGTGGTAGCTCGAGGAAGCGAAGTCGGCGTGTGTGTAAGGTATACGAGATGTTGCGACCCGGAGACTACCAGAACAAGAGCAGTCTTTTTATGCCAAACATTTCGACAAAAATTTCGAAGTGGTGATCCTCTTGTTGAGGAATTTGCCCAAGGGGTTTCCGGCTCTAGGGCCTCGTTCTGTCGCTAGGGGGCAGTTGGGCACGTTTGTACAAGGGAACGAGGCCGACGCCTCTGGTCTGGTATTTTGGATCTAGTTTCGCATGGAACATGTATAAATGTCTAAGCTAGGTGCGCAACTTCAAGAAAATCGGTGCCACTGGGGTATCACTGGATATCGAGAGGTTTCGCGTTGAGGACACTTGCCCTCATACACATACGTGTGTGGGATGGAACAGTATCCTATCTCAAAGGAGGCAAAACCACGCTCCATGATGATTCCTTGGAGGTGAAATCCGCAGCATGGCGAGGGTAAATCGAGAATGGAATATCAGGGTCCAAAGGATATAAACGGCAACATGCCTTGCATCCATGGATCCACGTGTCCAACGAATGATAGACTCTCCTCTCGATGTTCGTGCATCATGTTAAATCCGACTATTAGCGCATGGGCGGCCCTGGTTTGCGAAATATTATGCAATTAGGATACACTAGACTCGATAGGAGCTGAATAACTTTAAGCTGAGGTTTGATGTTGTTAAAGAGCGCGCTGCCATGCAAAGAGGGAATCAGCAAGTTGAAGTTGAAGTTGAGGGAGCTGAGGCGACTTACCCATTTCAGCAAGGTCCCGTACAGTGCGATAGTCCATTGCAAGACCAATGCTTCCGGTCAGTCAACAATAGGTGCTTATCGTAGAGTGCATCGAAGTATTGGCGATTGCATGGGCAAATGGGAAGCATCCAAATGGGTTGCCAATTCGATCAATATAAGAGTACTGTATTATACCTCTCTACATGCGCTCGATGATCCGGGGGTTCGTTGGTTGTCTTCAAATTGGTGAGATTCTCGCAGGGCTGCAGCTCTGGAGGGAAGGATTGGTTGGCGCCAGCACCTCAATGTGCACTGTGTGACTTCATCGCCCCGGAAGAATGCTCCGAATCCTTGACCTACAAGGACAAGGGCGACAGGCAGAGAGAGAGAGAGAGGAGCAGGCAAAAGTCACTCCCTCGCACTCGCCGTCCTCAACTCAATGCCCACTTACCTTCGTCACCAGCTGAACCTCAGCAAATCCTTTTTCCAGCCTCTACACGTAGGTCTTTCAAACCCTCAAAACTCCCTGTTGGCCCTCTAGAATTCTCTTCTCTGGATGGCAGACGTTTCTTGGTGGGCCTCACTCTGATCCAGCCATTTCCCATTGTGGAGGGACTGACTGCCCACCCCGTGACGTGACGAACCGACCGATTGCGGCGAATGACACCGCTAACCTTGTCTGCGCAGTCCTCACTCTAGGATCATCGCCACGAGGCTTTTGCATTTCGTTTGCGTAATTAAGAAATCAACTAGGTTCTAGTGGTATTCGAAGCAAATCTTCCTCTGATTTACCCCTCCTTCTGTTTCGCCGGGGCAAACCCCGCGTAATGGAGACGAATCCCTTCGCGCCACTCGCGTCGACGAGTCGAGACCAGCGATCGACCCCCGGAGACCAAAACCCCGACCCTCAGAGCGCAGCTTCGTCCGCCCTCGACCCGGGCTCGTCGTCCAAGGCAAACTCTAAACGCAAAAATCTCGACGTGGGGAAAGAAGAAACGTTCCCGTCGCAAGTCGTTTGCCCCACTTCCAGGGGACTCCATCGTGGACGATGATCACCCCAACGCGGCAGACACCACGCGCGACGGCCTATATTCTCTTCGGAGGAACCTGAGCCAGTCTAGCCTCGGTAGCGAGCCGCTCTTACTGAACCATCGGTTAGTCCATCAACCCTCCGCTCCTCTCCCGGAGCTGGACAACACCCTCACGGGCCGAGCCCCTTCAACGCGACAAGCTAACCAACACTTCTTTTCCCTTCACCCTTTTCTATAGAGATCACCACCAGATTCCCCGTAGCCGCACAACTCCCACAATCCAGCCCTCGCCTTCATTTGTCCGTCGAAACAGCCGCCGTAGGTTGAGCGTGTCCGCGGATCCCGCAGAGAGAGATGTCGACAGATATGACGAGCGGACGCCTCTCATGTCGAGCTCCTTCCATATGAGGCGGGCCGATTCTGCCTTTGGCACATTGGGCCTTGACCAGAGTCAATATCGGCGCCGAGACTCCAACGCCTCCTCGAGGACCAAGCCGTCCGCCTTCAACGTCAACTATCCACCCTCTGTACCCGGAACACCCACTCTTGGTCCTAGCGCTGGCCTTGACATGAGTTTCGGCGATGTCATGATACGCGACGAACTAGCGCGGGCCGATACCCCCGGAAACCTAAGCTCGGATGAAGACGTCGGCGAGACCGACGAGGGCGGTGCACCCAAGTCTTTGTCAAATAAGTCTCGAAGGAATACGGGTCTTCAATCGGCGGAAGATGACGTCTGCTTCCCTGCACCAGACCTGTCCGAGGTTGCGGAAGAAGGGGAGTCCTTATACTCGGCTCGCAGCGCCTCTACCCCACAGTTCAATCCCCGCCGCCGCCGTAGGGGACCTTGGCCCGACCTGTCTGTCTTGGACTCGTGGAGCCGGTATGAGAAGGAGCAGGAAACGGTGCGCGTGAAGAAGATTACCGAGCCGCAGCTCATTAATGGGAGGTTGCGCGCTGTCCATAAGGGGTGGTATCTCTCCGAGGACGACGCACCTTACCGCTTCACGTACTTCAACGAGGAACTCCAGAGCACGATACACAGCCAGAGCATATCCGGTTTGGTCCAAGAGGGAGGCTTCCGTGAGCTCTTCGTCCCCGACCCTCGCCTGCTCTCCGACGATGAGTCGGATGACGAAGCCGATTCAATGGAAAGATGAACCCGTTTGCAACGTTCGCGTCGAGAGTCCGCCGCTCCAGCGAGCCGGGCGATGCCGCCAGGCCCTCGGTTTCGCGAAAACTGTCCGCCCTCACGACCCAGGGCAATAGCGACCTATTAGCTACCTCTCGGCAAGGACTCGACCGCGAGCGCCCCCTTAGCGTCGAGACTAGCCGGCGGCAACAGGTCTCGAACTCCGAGCGCCGCCTCCAAGCACAGCTCCAGCTCGCAACAGCGCAAGGGTCCAAAATATGGTGACCGGCCCATCTGGTGGCTTGATGTGCTCAGCCCGACCGAGTCAGAGATGAAGGCAATATCGCAGACCTTTGGTATCCATCCCTGACGGCCGAGGATATCATGGTGCAGGAGGCACGCGAAAGGTTGAGCTCTTTCGCAACTACTACTTTGTTAATTACCGGACGTTCGACCAGGACATCAACAGCGAGAACTACATGGAGCCTGTCAATATGTACACGGTTGTCTTCCGCGAGGGCATCATCAGCTTCCACTTTTCTCCCACGCCCCACGCTGCTAACGTGCGCCGCCGAATCCGGCAGCTCAAGGATTACCTGATGGTGTCGTCGGACTGGATCTCATACGCCATCATTGATGACATCACAGACGTATTTGGCCCCTTGATCCACAACATTGAAGAAGAGGTTGACGATATAGACGAGTGTATCATGAGTTCATGGGGTACTGCAGCTAAAAAGGTAGAAAAAGACGACGAGAAGGTTAGCGATGACGGTTCCTCCATCACCGAGGTTGTCAACACAGCCGACGTGCTTCGCCGCGCGGGTGACTGTCGAAAACGAGTGATGAGTCTGTACCGTTTGTTGGGCAACAAGGCAGACGTCATCAAGGGATTCGCCAAGAGATGCAACGAGCAGTGGGAGGTTACACCCCACTCCGATATTGGTCTCTATCTCGGCGACATCCAGGATCACATCCTGACCATGACGTCCAATCTCAGCCACTATGAAATGTATGTGTATCTTGGGCTGTTCTGCTCTTCTTCACCCTGCTAGTCTCTCCCAGCTAACGTTTCTTTTGTGCGCAGGATCCTCGCCAGAGCTCATGGAAATTATCTCGCGCAAATTAACCTCAAGATGACAGAGCGCTCGGAGCAGACTGCTGACAGCCTCAACAAACTGACAGTCCTTGGTACCATCGTCCTCCCTATGAACATCATCACTGGCCTATGGGGCATGAACGTCTGGGTGCCCGGCCAAGAGTACGAAGGCGACCTCACTTGGTTTTTCTGCATCACCCTAGGCCTGATCTGTTTTGGTTTTGCTTGCTATTATGCCGCAAGAAGAGTCTACCTTATATGAGTTACCCCTTTTGCACAAGAGCACACAGCCAAAGCATTCGGCAGTCCTTACGCCCTTACTTATACATTCCATCACATTCTCATATTCGCTATCCCTGTACTTTCTTTGGCTTTTTCCCCATCTACTATACCGAGACATATGTCGTCCATCTCTTTTCGCGACTTTGGGGAATTCGACAACACTTCCCACCACTTTTGTTGGCATCCAGGCCATTTGTTTCTTATCCACTTGCATCATTGATGGACACTGATGCATTCTCCCAAAACCGGGCCCGGAAGGGGCTGGTTATATTACTTGCATCCTCAACAAATTGAGGCAGTAGCGACTAGAATTGGCTATCAGCGCCATCTAGACCCTAGAGTTTTAGAAATCATCAAGAAATAGGAAGCTGCTGTTCACTTCCTGTATACATTATTACTATTTTCCATCTCATCTTTTGCCCTCGCCGTGCGGATCCATGCGAGAAACCAGACAAACCAATCCCCGCACTCGCTTCATGACCGCTCTACTTGTAGCTGCCTTCGTTGGCTTTCGCCACCCCGTTCAAGAGGAGAGAGTTTTTGAGTGCGCGACATGGTACCGCTAATGTCCTCCTCATAGACCAACAGGATATAGAGTACAACACACAGCCCGAGCAAGAGAAGGAACAAAAAAAGACATGGAAACCCGACAGGGCAGATCAAAAAGAAAGAGAAGGGATGCTAGTGCACTATCCCGGAATCGAACCGGGGGCTGGTCGAATCTATCGGAAGATGGCAACGACCAAGTTTACCACTAACCCAATAGTGCTTCTGACTTCCACTATAGGACATTGCTTCCTTGTGCTTCTCGGACGGCTTAAAGGCTATCCGCCGATGAGGCAGAGTGTTCTGGTCTTTTGACAGGTGGAAAAAAATTGAAATAGAAAAGTTCACAGTAAAAAGGCCGCGGCACCAGGCTCTCCGGAGCCGAGCCCTAAGAGCCGAGACCGCGGCAAGTATCCCCCAAAAAAAAACAGAAAATCGGCCTATACCGATGATATCGGGAGAGGGGAAAAAGATCGTGTTGCACTATCCCGGAATCGAACCGGGGGCTGGTCGAATCTATCGGAGGATGGCAACGACCAAGTTTACCACTAACCCAATAGTGCTGTGCGCTTATTGTCTCTCCAATCCCGTTATCGCATACCATATACGTTCTACACAGCAGATCAAGGAAAGGAACGAAGTATGCCCCTGCGGCTCTCACGCCACTGCCCCTCGAGTATCCAAGTCGCAATCCAAAGCACCTGCATCAATGAGACGACATGGCAAACAACTTATTCTTACCCCATTCATCGGACAAACAAAACCTCCACCGCCTTGGCCCCCAACGTGCTTTCCAGTCTCCACGCCAAACCCTCCAAGTCGCTTCCCTTGCCCCGCTCAATGCCAGAGATGCATAATGCTACCATCCCCCGCAGCAACGCATCCAAGCGCCGCGAACTGACCACCTAAAGACCCTTGAAGTCCCACCTCAGTGTCAGAGCTCGCTGTGACATCGCTTCCTTCCTCTTCCTTCCACTCGCAGATCAAGGCGCTGCCTCGTCATGATTTTCGCAAGCTAACCAACCTCATGGCGCCCGTCGGAATGGACCTGAAAGGGCCTAAAACATTCTGCGAACTGCAAATATGTCCCAGCCAGCCCCTCGAAGATCTCTCTGTTACAAAGTATCTTGCGAATCCGCGGTCGCACAATAAGACGGAGGACAAACCAAGCAAGACCAGGTTGCGGAGAAATCTCAAAATTACAGTGTTTTCTTATTCGTAAACATCTAGAGTACATACACGTGCCGATGCATCGTAAACGTCACTGCGACCCTGAGCCAAGGGCTCCGCTTCTTTTCCATGCTCCCAATGGTATCTTCCCTTAATATTCCCTTCCTTTGATTTGGCAAGTTGCCTGGTCCACCTGAACGCCTCGCTATAAACACCCTTCATGATTTGTAGAGAAAAGGAAAATAGAATGAATGACGGGGATTTTTCTGAGCAACGGCTCTCATCCCAATGTAATTTCGGTGGGCCTGTGGACTGGCATGGGCCCCGTCTCGTCTGAGTGTTTACCGTGGTGACCAGAGTATCTCAGGCGGTTTGCCATGTGGATGTCGATCAACATCTCTACCAATGCTTCGGCATCGTTGTAGATGGTAGAAAGCTCCGAGTCATTACAACCAACCGCAGAGTCGTCGCCATCAGGACGAGGTTTCCGGTAAGCGGCGAAAACAATACCGCGATTGATATTCCCATTGACCGACATCCCTGTCGCCGTGCTGGAGCAGGAGTCGGCGGATCCACGGCGCCGACCATACTCCCCGCGATAAAAGGCACAGGCATAGCCACGTGCAAATTCGTTATTCTTGGTGCCTTTGTTACGGTACTCGATCCAGGTGCCAGTCTGGAGGATGTGGCTGTGGACTGCCGCGGAGATGCGGAACGGCGACTTGACAGTGAAAAGCCCGTAAGCAGCGAGAAGCCTGCCCGTCATGTTCCCTCCCGCCATCGCCGACTTGGAGGCAAGCGTCGGCGTGGAACATGGGTCCTGGTGAGGGTTCCAGTCCGGCCAAAGGTTGACCACGTAAACGAGATCGAACTTGTATCTTGCGGCGATCCGAGCGGCTTCAAAGGCGGCCGCAGTAGCGGGTCGGCTAGTATATGGAGGTGGGAGGGTAAGTAGAGACGCAGCACGCGACCTTGACGTTGTTAAGGATGAGGATGACGTTGAAGGTGGTGACGGGGTCGAGTCCCTCTCAGCACTGTTGCCCGAGGGCGGGTTGTCGGGGTGCTCTTCCGCGATGTCATCATCACTAAGGTCCATAAAATCGCAGAATGTAGGCTCTTTGAGGACGGAGCTATAGGATAGCGGGTTTCCCGAGCCTTTCTTTCGTTGGGGACAGGGTGTTGAAAGGGCGGAGCAATCCGGAATTTCCTCGGCCGAAGGGTCTAAAGCGTCCATCGAGCACCTGCTGGGTCTTAAAGTGACGTCCGCTGGGGAGGGGTCACATAGTGTGGCATCTAGGACGGGCGACATGGACGGTGATGGTCCTGGGGTAGGCATGCTATGCGACGGCGGAGCTTGTGTGGGCGATGGGAACTGAAATCGTGACAAGGCATGGGAGAATGAATCTTCTGAATCCGACATCGGTGGGGTGTCTAGTCTTAGCACCGGGGTCGACGCGTTACGGTGGGTGTTGGACTCCTCGTTTCCCAACTTGGCCACAAGTAGATGATCCTGAGACGGCGGCTCGGGAAAACGGGCAGCCATGTTGAAATGCCTCAGAACCTTGAGATCCGGAAGATTGGGTGAGTTGACGTGTGCATCCGAGTTGGAACGGGTAGAGTACTCTTCTCGAGACCCCCTCGAGTTGGAAGCATCAGAAGAATTGATAGACGAGGGCAACGATGAACGGTGGTGGCTATAAGCACGTGCCCTAGGGGAAGGAGTTCGTCCCCCTACTTCTTGCCGCGCCATCATGCGGGACGAGGTCGGGCAGATGAAAGAAGGTTGTGGAAAGACGGGTCCAGAAGCGTAGCCGACAGGAGGGTTTTTTGGAGGCTGCAGCCCTTCTTCGGGAAAACAGCCGCTCGAGGCGATGGCCTCGCGGCGATGTCGACGTCATTGTCATTGCGATAGCAATTGTGCAGAACGTTTAATTCAGAAGGTTGTTGTTCAATTCAACCTTGGCCCTCAAGAGTTGCACAAAGGAACGAAACTCGCGTGGCTCTTATGCGCCTGTCGCAGTACAGAGGCGGCTTCGAAGCGGGTCAATAGTGGGAGTACGCAAGGTATTACACTGCATGCGGGAAGAATTGCGATTCCCGTGAGCCGACAAGCCTTTGGATATAACCAAGGGAGACAGATGCCACGCCCAAGAGGCACTCAGCTACACGCGCGAAATGGGGAATCCCAAGCCTATTCCACTTGCATGGTAAGTAGAAGCTGCGAGCGACCAAAAGCAACAACAAGAGGCAACCGAGAGTGGAGTGTGTAGTAGAAATTGGCGTGAGGGCGGCGGCAATCAACGTCTTCCGTGGTGTAAGAGAAAGGTGTAAATGGAGATAACCTGGTCAAGTTCAGGCTCAGGTTGAGGTTGGCAAAGAGCAGGTTGCGTTGTGGTGTTTTCTCCCCAAGAGTAGTTCGCTTTTGGCAGGGTGGGGTTTCGACCGTGGGTGCTGTCAAATAACGGCTCTGTGCTAGAATTGAGGAAGTTGGAGCAAGGGATCAGGCCGTGACACTTGATAATTCAGCATACGGGAATAGAGATTGGATATTGGGAGGAGACGAGGGTTAAGTGAAAAACAATTGAAGCCGGGGAGTCTTATTTATTAAGAGTACAGAGGCAGGTGGATTCTTTATGTCGGGGGTCGAAAAATGGCAACAAAATCAGGGACCTGGTCTGGTGCTTGCGAGGATGCAGTTCGATGTACATGGACGGGTGCATGGGGAGGGGAGGGGGGGCGTGGGTGAGGGTGAGGGCGTGGGCGAGGGGTGAAGTGAGAGGTGAGATCCACCAAGTACCCGAATCGAACTGGTCGAGGAAAGCAGGAAGCAGGAAGCCGGAACTGGCGACGACTTCTTGCGAGCATGGTTGAGGTGCAGACAGAGCAGGGGCAGTGTTGAGAGACTTGGGTACACCAGTCAGAGAGTGCTTGCGCTGGGGGAGGTTTGTGTGCAGTGCTCTATTTGTTGGATGCCAGGGCAATTCCCCACTGGTCTCGCACACCCTAGTGTAGTAGTAGAGTTGAGGTCTGGTCGCTCGGGTTTGAGCGGGCGATGGGTTGGGGGTCAATGTGATCAATTGCTCATTGAGACTGTGAGGGGGTGGCCTAGGGTACAGCAGGGGGTCACTGGTGGAGTGCGAGGGGTGCTGGGGGAATACCTCCTCTCTGGCCTGGTGGGAAAGGTATCGAGGGAATGGAGCAATGATGTTGCTTTTTTCAACCCGCAGACCACACCTTGCTTCTTTCCTAATTAGGAAGTGGGGTGCCATAAGAGGCCAATGAGATGTCGCGAGGAATCCGGAGGTTGACCAGGCCCACAAGCGAAAGAGGCAGGGACGAACCGAATGTCTCTGCATTCCCCGAGAAACCTCTTTCCCACCCATCAGCATTACAGGGCAGGCAGATCTCGAATCAGGGAAAATTGCGACACTGTGCCCCCATGTCTAAACTAAATGTCATGTTTTCCTCCCGTGGGGCGAGATGGGTGAGAGGGGAAAGCTGACGATATCCAACGTCCCGCTCTTAGCCCGAAGCCCTCAACGAACGGGATGGTTCGCTGCAACTTGATGCCGTCTACAAGTAGTGTTGGTGTGCTCGGTATTAGGTGGGGGACAAAGATAGCCCAGCGCTCCGTCGATTGATATCAGAGAATGCGCCGCTAGCGTAATCGGAAACTGGTCAGCTCCGACCGTACATTCATTCAAGGCCCACACCATTTTCACCTCGGGAAAGGCAGGAGTCGGAGGCAGAGCGGGAAGAGAGGCTCGGTGATGAGCGTCCATGGATGGATCTGTGTTGCCAAAGAGGAGGAGGAGGGAATGTGTGTCATGGACCATCCCGGCAGCCCCTCGGGCGATCAAAAACAATCTCTCCCTCCGACTGCTGGGGACCTGGGCTGAAAAAGGGTCGTACAGACTGAAACATGACCAATGGCGACCGCCACCTTTCTCTCAGAACGAGCGATGCGGCAATGGTACGTGATGCTTTTGGAGAGACGGCCGCACCATCTCTTGCCCCGGCTACCTAGGCGAGGCACTGAAAAAGAAAGGAAAAGGAAAAAAGAGAAAAGGAAAGAAAAAAGAAAAAGCAACGGCCAGTCATCTGCGAAAGGGCCATTTGGGAATATTCCCGCCCCGGTGTTCACGTCGTCCTTTCCTCGACCCCAGCCCGGCTTCGACTGGCCGGCATTAGTTTCTCACTCTTGGCTCTCCACCCGTCGCTTCCCTCCCCTCTAGGAGCGTTTTGCGTGGCACGCATCTCGTCTAGGGTAGTGTAGTTCGATTCATCGAATAGGTACGCCCTCCAGTCGCCAATTCTTTTTGGTTTTCAGCTGCAAGTCCGAGAATGACTGGTCAATCCCAGCCCAGGCAACCCTCCTGATCGACCCCGACTTCGGAATCACCTCCCGAACGGGGTGTCGGTCCAATGGCGGATTTTTGGCAAGGATGGCGAGAGTGGCAAGGCCGAGGAAGAAGGAACGTCGTAAGGGGGTTAAGGCTGCGCTGGAGCGGCTCCTTTCGCCTCAAGGGCGGGAGGCCGAGACAGCAGATCGGACGGGATGCCTCCATCCATCTTTATTATTATTAGCCACACCTTTGACCCGAGTTGATTGCTTGCTCTTACAGGCATTGGATGCACACATCTATTCTCTCCCTACGTCAGAGCCAACGGGGCGGGAAGCGAGTCATGGAGACACGGAAGCTGCTACTAATCCACCCCCTTCGCTTACCCCAGGGTCTTCTTCCCCCGCCGCCCTCCTCATATGCCGTCGGAACTATTACTTGAGGAGATCAATTTTCGCCCACTCACGCATGAGGAAAAAGAAAGCATTCCAAGGGGAGGGGGGCTGCTGCACCAGGTGGCTGATGGGAGAAAATCACACTCAAGGGGCGGTGGGTGGGCCGGGAGACAGGGCACGTTGACGGTGGCTGACCTGTTCTAATGGAGTCTATCAGCAAGAGGAATTGCTTTTCCTTCCCGATCCAAAGTTTTTGTCTGGCAAGAGGATCTTCGGTTCATGAGGTGGAAATATTTGGTCCACGGGAGGTCACTATCCTAGTGCAATGCCTCTCTCTCTCTCTCTCTGGGTCTCTCTCTCCTTGCTTCTCTGATCTGCCAGCCCCCGCGTATGATGATTACTTACCCCCTTTTCAAGATCCACGGATAGTGATGCCATCTCGGCCTTTGTCGATCAATGCCATTTTGGAATCTAGGCTATGGGTGACGAGATCGCGAACCCTCGCCGCACTACCCTTGGGCCGGAGTTATAGTGGTAGAGTTTCTCAAGTTAATATCGTCTGGTCAAATTCTACTCCGCTAATGGAGGCGCCCATATCACGCCATGCTGAAGAGGCCCAGCCAGCACCCCGGAAAACCAGGCCAGGCCCTGTTCGCCAGCCTACGATTGCTTCTAGGGCTCGCAAACACCGTCACTTTTGAGTCAAAATTGATGGATCAAAATGTGGACTGACAGGGGTATAAGTGTTGCTGTATACCGAGGTAGGCCTCCCGATATTGTTATGACCTGTAGTGTATGACGCGCTCTCGGGAGTCAACCTCGAAGGAGTCTCACACACTGGCATCGTTATCATTAAGGCGCTCCCCCAGGTTTCTCGTCCGGGTAACAAAGTTTGGACTCTTCAGTGGCTGATGAGGGATTCACGATAGATCATTTTCCCCCCTTCTTGATATTGCAGCATGTGCAGTCTGCCTCCATATTTACACGCTCAGAGGCTGGCCCGAAACCGAGAAAAAGGGGCGGGGGGACTATGCACGTGCGAGGAGGATCAAGATGAACCCATCAAAACATGAGGAAATGATGCCAGTAATGGAGGCGTGCCAGAAACCCGTTGAACGGGACGGGGACCCTTGCTACCTTCCTTCTCCCACAACATTCAACGCTCGTGATATTAACGATACCTCGCTGCACAACACTCTGACTACACTATTATCATTTCTCATTTCGGTTCGCTTCTTTCGCCTTCCCTTCTCCACCGGGTTATCTTGTTCTTTTCCTTTCGGGGTTTTCCCCTTCATTTTTCTTTTCTCTCACTTTTGGCTGGAGGGAGCTCTCCACCCCCTCCAGAAGCGGGAGATTCCACACTCAGCCACTACGCCTAGCGGGTGGACCTCACCCCAGCAAGCCCCGGAAGGCACTGATCGGATCCCTGCCAACTGGCGGACTAACTCGACAGGGAGCAGGCGAGTGGGGACAGGGTTCGTCGCCAGCATCCCAAGTTGCCCAAGCTCCTGTCCTGCCGGTTTCCCCGTCCAGAGGGCTCTTGAAAGTTTTGGTGCTTGCTTGGCAGGCTTGTCTGGCGCACTGAGAGACTCTTC